GGGCGTCATTTGCGTCGGTGCAGAGGGGGTCTGTGGGAGGGGGGAGGGGTGTTGGACTTCGCGAGAGTTGTTCTCAACCAGTTAGCCATGCATAATTACAATGCAGGTTACAGGTCAATTTTAGACATTCACCCAGACTAAACTCGAACTAAACTCAGAACCGAGCTTGGAATACAAGCTGGGGAGTGCATGGGGAGGCGTAATTTTGTGTTCCGGAGGGTACGGGCTGCCTCCTCCGGTAATCAATCCATACAAGCTATGCCTAGTATGCCCACCTAGATACCTTGGTATGCAGAGTGATGAGGACAACCTGAGTTCCTTGTCACCGTACTGGACAATGCTACCCTTGCATCACGTCTGTTCAGCCTGACAGTTTCACTGCATCAGAATGCCGCGGGGGCCAATCTCGACTCGTTTCTTCAATTCCTCGGGACTGACCCCGTTTCGTAGCTTCTCGATCATCTCTTCTGGGTCGAAGTCGGTGCCAATTGGGTTCTCTTCGAAATACTTGGACATCATAAACTGTGTCGCTTCCGCAGAAGTCTCGAAGTTGTCAACTTGAGTCTCAATCTGGTTGCCGTCCGGGTCGGCGTAGTATATGCTAGTCGTCGGTCCGTGATTGACGCTCCATATTGGTAAGATGCCTAATTCTTTTCGTTGTCGATAGGCTTCGAGGAGGTCCTCCAGAGTGTCGAAAGAGAAGGCCGTATGCTCCAATCCACAGGCCTTGGGATTTCTCGGTGCGGTTCCCGGAATGCCAGCGATGGCAATGCGATGGTGTTCATCGTCGTACGAGAGGAAAGACAGAAAATCGTTTTCAAAGGCGGCACTGGCCCCTAGGAAGTCCTTGTAGAATTGTACCATCTTTTGGAAGTTGTCAGCATTGGTGCGAAGGACGACGTGGGCGAACTTGGTCGGCCTCCTGACGACAGGCTTTGATGCCATGTTTCGAGGCTGCTTGTCCACGAAGTTGCTGTTTTGAAAGACAGTTGTTGACAAATGTGTCGAGTCAAACCAGCTTGAACGGGCTCCGTCAGCCTTGATAAAACATATCTGGCCGCGCGTGGGACTTCGATCTTCGGCCGGAGGCAATAGTCCAGCACCCTCGCTCCCCGGAATACTGACATACACCGTCCAAATGTATCCAACCCCGGACTCGGAAGGGCCTCCGAGCCAATGAAGCCATCCGGGGAGGGGCACTCCTCCTCACACGGGGAGACACTCTGGGGGATCGACCCGAGTCAGCCAGAGGAGAATCGCTGCCGGGCTATAAGTGTACATGAATGCATCACGGTGCTATGTAGTGTCCACGTACTTCATCCTTAGCAACGAAGACCCTTTTTGCGTCACTCTACGCAGTATGGGTCAGCAACTTACCCCTATTGTGCTCGCTACAATCGTAGTGGGCATCGTCTTCTATGGCATATACAGGATCCTCCAAGTTGGCAAGCGACCCGCAGACCTTCCTCCCGGCCCTCCCACGATACCAATCCTAGGGAACATTCACCAGGTAAGACTCCTCAAGAGCGGCATACGTGGTGCAATTAGTGACTGAGCATGGTCATAGATCCCGACCGAGCGACCTCATCTCCAGTTTCAGAAATGGGCGCAAGAATACGGGTCAGTAGCCCAGCCCAACTCTGTCTTCGCCCTTTGGACTCTCACTGACGAGCGAAAAGCCCCATTTACTCCCTCATGCTTGGGACCCAGACCATGATTGTTCTTTCGTCACCAAAAACCGTGAAGGACCTCTTGCACAACAGGAGTGCCATCTACTCTTCGAGACCGGACATGTACCTCGCACACGACGTGGCCAGCAACTGTCAGCGATTCGTGACCATGGTCAGCACCTTGCAGCCAACCTGAGGCGAGACTGGAATCAGGAATGCTAATTGCCGTGCAGAAATATGGTCCCATGTGGCGCCTCGTCCACAAAATGATGCACAATACACTCAACATCAAGACCGCTGTCGCCTACATCCCCTACCAAGATCTTGAGAATAAACAGATGCTGCTGGGCCTTCTTGAGCGGCCGGACGACTTTGTCCTACACCTCCGACGATACACCAGCTCACTGACGACCCAGATGGTCTATGGCTTCCGCACCATCAGTACCGAAGATCCGCGGATGCTTCAATTTTTCAGGGTGAGCTCCCTCCGAGGTTGTCCCAGTGCAAGTCTTGTTTTTGTGCTAATCTACATGACTCCCAGGGCTTTGAGAAATGGGGTAAGATAGCTGCCAGCGCCAGCGCTCAGATCATGGACTGCTTCCCTATCCTTCGCAAACTTCCCAGCCCGGTCAACCCGGAGTACAGGAGTGCCAGAAAACTGTACGAAGATGAGCGAAAGCTTTACACGTCTCATTGGATGGATGTCAAGGACCGAATTCTGCGTGGAACCAGTCTAGTATGTCAATTCTTGATGTAGAAAGTCTGTCTGAACCCGTATACTGACTACAAGTGACTTTCCCCCCAGCCATGTTTCAGTGTCGATGTCTTCCTGTCCCAACAGACAGAGAAATTTACCGACGAACAAGCTGCATACATCTCCGGCTCGCTTCTCGAAGGAGGCTCCGACACTACTTCGGGGACACTAGTGGGATTCATTCAGGCCATGTTGATGTTTCCCGAGACGCAGAAGGCTGCACAGGAGGAAATTGATCGGGTCGTGGGCCCTGATCGGATGCCGGTCATGGATGACGCTCCCAACTGTACGTATATTCGCTCTTGTGTCAAAGAAACTATCCGGTGGATGCCAACCATTATCTTGGGGTCTCCCCACGCTGTGATCCAAGAGGACCACTACATGGGTTACAGGATTCCCAATGGCGCTTCTGTCGTCAACAACAACTGGTGAGTTTGTCGAGGGCCCCAATCGACCTTCCCCTTTCTCCTACCATGAGACCTTTGTAGTGTGACTGACCGACACCAAACAGGACGCTCAACATGGACCCCGAGCGCAACCCAAATCCTCGCAAGTTCGACCCGTCGCGCTTCATCAACGACTCCCAGACCGAATTCCAGTCCGCGACCAACCCCGACGAGAACCAGCGTCAGAACTGGATCTTCGGCAACGGCCGCCGCATGTGTCAAGGGATGCACATTGCCGAGCGCTCGCTGTTTCTCGCCACCGCGCGCATCGTCTGGGCGTTCAACATTGACAAGCCGATCGGACCGGACGGGAAGCCCGTCGAGGCCGACATCGACGACCTCGTCGGCGGGACCACGGTGCAGCCCAACGACTTCCGCATAGCCATGACTCCGCGCAGCGAGAAGAAGGCAGACATGATCAGACAGGCGTGGCGGAACTGCGAGGAAGAGCTCCTCGACCCCGTCACAAAGCAGTGGAAGAAGGTGCCAGAGGGTATGAAGTTTGGGAAATACGTTCCCGAGAAGAATGTCATGGCTTGATTTGGGGTTCTTGTAGAGCAGACGCTCAAGTCTACATTGCGTTTGGAAGGGGGAAAGATTGGATGGTGCTGGCCGAATCGTGGCCGACTCACGGAGACGCACAATCAAAGGATATATACTTTCTGTTATGCTTGATCGAGAGACACTCGACTGATACTCGAATGGACTGCTCAAGGCTACACGACTAACTGAGCAACACAAAGTGACGTGTTGAATCCAACCCTTTCCCAAAAGAGAAAACCAATGCATTCTGAGATACGCCATCTATCTAGTCCTTCTACAACTTTGGCGTTGAGTTCGAACTCGCCATCTCTTGCTTGTAAAGCTCCCGTAGATGTCTCTTCAGGTACTTCCCACTGGCCGTCTTGGGCAGGGCCGGCACAAAGACAACGCCCCCACCCAGCTGTTTGTATTTGGCCAGACGGGCCGCAACAAACTGTTTCACTCCGTCTTCGTTCAGGGTCTCGCTGACGTCTTGTCGGTCCGCTTTTCGTACAATGTATGCGCGAGGTAGCTCGCCGTCGACCGGATCAGAGGATGGCACACCGATCACGGCGGCGTCAGCGATTAGGGGATGCGACATGAGCACGGCTTCGAGCTCGGGAGGCGCAACTTGGAAGCCGCGGACCTTGATTAGTTCCTGTATTTCGCGCCCCACGGGGTAGATGTTAGACAGAGACAAGTGTTGTAACTTGTATTTTGGAGCCCGTGAGGTTGGAAAGGGACCAAGACAGGGTGTATAGGAGAAGGAAAGGGGAAACTGTATATATACCTTTTTCCGATCCACGATATACCACTTCTTGGTCGTCTGGTCGCAGTACGCCACGTCGCCAGTGCGAAACCATCCTGCAGAGAATGAGGACGAGTTTGCCTCCGGATTGTCAAGGTATCCCTTGATCACTGTCGGTCCACGGATCCAGATCTCTCCTGTCTGGTTGTAAGCCTTGACCTCGTGTCCATCATCGTCAACGAGCCTTTTGAGGGATGTCAGTTCGAATTGGAGAGTGTACACCTCTGGAGACCTCTTCAAACTCACTTGACCTCAAGGTTTGGCAGAAAATAGCCGATGCTTCCATCTGTGTCAGCAGCGGGCCATGGGTGGCAGGCGCCGATGCAGCTGATCTCGGTCATGCCGTAGCAAGGGTTGATACAGCCATCCGGATGCATCAGAGCCGTAAATCGCTGTTGGGATAGTAGGTCGATTTTGGCGCCGCCCGTCATGCCCGATCGCAGGCTTCTCAGCGAGTACTTGGCCGCCAGGGGTGACTGCAGGATCGAGACGATGACAGGCGGCACCACGAACAACTCGGTCACCTGATACTGTTCGGTGAAGCGGAGGAAATCCTCGAGCTGGAATCGGGCCATCACATAGGCGATGTGGCCAGAGCGAAGGGGCGTGATGTGGGCCATTATGGCCATCGCGGCGTGGAAGAAGGGGAGACAGAGGATTCGCTTGACCTAGGATGGGGGGCATGTTAGCCTTGAGATACAGAGACTGGGCCTGAAAGACCGGGGGAAAACTTGCTCTGTAGGGCTTTTGTACTTGCTCGTGGAGCAGTGTGTGCTGGGTGACCAGGTTGTGATGCGAGAGACAAGCAGCTTTGGGGAGACCCGTGGTTCCTGAACTGAACAGGATACAAGCGGGTGTAGACTGTGCGGTTGCCATGTCGTCGAACCGTATCCAATCCTGCTCACCATGTTGTAGCAGGGTTTGCCATGATGCCGAAGAACCCTCCCCTGGTGACAGAGAATCAAACCTGAGCACGTCTTCCTGGGATATGTTGCAAGATCTGGCGGCGGACAGGATCCCATCGTACAGCTCCGGCTGTGCTATGACGAGCTTGCTCTTGGACGTCTTCAAATGGTGCTGCAGTTCGTATTCTGTGTAGCCGGGGTTTGTCCCAGTCCAGGTGAATCCTGCACCGATAAGGGCTAGACAAATGCAGGAATAGTATAACTGCCCATGAAGCCCTTAGCAAACATGCCGTTTACAGAGAAGATGCCGTAGATTTGTGCCAGGGGAACCCACATTGTTGAACGCGTGGATACAGACGCAGTCGCCTCTCTCCAGTTTCCGGGACCGGAACCCGGCGATGAGGTGCCTTATCAGAGTCTTAGCCTGCCTCGAGCTGATGGAACGGCTTGGGTCGACGGGGTCAATGTAGATCTGGGGACGCAGGTGAGTTATGCGGAGCTTCGAGTGAGTGATGGCTCAATGCTCACCGGTTCATCTTGTGAATACTTGACATTGTCAAAGATCCACGAGAGAAGGTCTTTTGCCGGTATGTCCACCGTCTTTGTTGGCTGGAAAAACACCTCCTGGTCCATTTCCATATCTCGTCACGTTATTGAGGATGGAAAGGCTGGAAACATGGAAGAAGTCGTTAGCTTTGAGATTGCCGGGTCTTTTAATACTCTTACGGTCCACGATCTCAAGACGAAACAGGACCGGCTTTTCGCAAAAATACGACGTAGAGAGATCGGTGTGTTGTATTTTTAACACACGAGCCATGAAGTTCTGACAAGCGCGAGGACGTGCTCGGGCCGATGCTATCCACTGATCACCGAGGGTGTATGTACTTGTGGCGCTCGAATAGTAAGCGGGTGAGGAAGATTATCTACATGCTTGATCTCTGGCTAGGTTACGGCGAGATGGCGTTCAGTTCTTTGATACACGCATTCACGAACCCTGGCCACTGTTCTTCGAATACTCAGCAGCTGGCTGATCTGCATAGCACTGCAATATCGGGCCAGGAGCCTAGGATGGAACCATGGGTTGAAAGGGGGAGATGACTCGTCTAGCTTTCCCTCTCTTTCTGCATGCATACAAATCGGAATCAGGGCCGGGGATTGACGGATTGCCCTGTCTCTAGCTGTAATAGCTCATTCCACCTCGCTCCTCGTCCCATATCTCCCAAGTACTTCTGGTAGAAGACGTAGGGGATACCAAAAGCCCTCCTTCATTCGGTGTGTCTAATGATATACCATCCAACAATCAATACTCCCATGTCCAGCTTCCCTGTAGAGATGGTCTAGGATAGAGTGTTTGTTTTGGGATCCGCGTTGATCACTTCGTGCTCCGAAAATACCGGTTCTTGCTTCGAGGCTTTCTCGAGAGAAGCATCGTCGGCAAGAGGTGCCAGCTCTTCGACCACCACATCTCCAAAGGCCTTGCTGATCTGCTCTAACGTGAGTCCTTTGGTCTACAGTGTCTCAGTTAGTGATTCGAGTTTCCGTTTTCATTGGTAGAAGGGTATGTTACCTCTGGGAAGAAGAACTGGACGACCAGTGCCATCACGGTGGTGAAGCAGATGAAGACGAGGTAGAATTTCCTGGGTGGGTGTGGTTGTCAGTTCTCCGCCGTTCAGGTCTCTATTCCTCCTCAATGGCACACTGGAGACGAAACATACCATTTTATGTTCTCAAAGGCTATTGCAGCAGCGCCATTCAGGATCGCCGACCAGATCTGGACGGCGGACAGCGAGACACCCACCCCCGATGCTCTCCACGCGGCAGGGAAAATTTCAGCCGAGTACACAAACGACGGACATTCAACCCCTGCCGCGAAACTTGGTACGGCGTCAGCGTCGTTCCCTAATCGGGAAGCTTTCCAACTCACAAGCACACAAAGAGGAAGATGAAGAAGGTGGCTGCGGAATTCGCAGAGTCATTGTCTGAGCCGGAGTATAACGCACTCAAAATGACCGACATGACAAGGCAGAATAAGCAGCCCAAAAGTCCATACACTGTAAGCTTGGTCAGTGGCTGTGAAGGGATCACTCATGAAAGGAACCTACCAAGCTGGTGAACGCGGCCAATCTTGTCGGTGAGTATGCCACCAAATAGGTTGAAGATCATCAAGAGGAGCGTCCAGACACCAGCGAGGATGCCTTGAAGGAACGGGCTGAAGCCCAATCCACCATATATGACGGACGAGTATGCTGACGACTGTTCAGTTCACCATATCGACATTCGACACAGAATTAACACCCCAACTTACTCAGAATCACAATAGAACCGCTGGACTGCGACGCCGTGTTGACCAAGAACCCAAAAATGAAGCGCTTGCGCATGTGGGGATCCTTGAGACCTTCCCAGACGGTCCGCTTGCGCTCTGCTTCGAGGTCGAGCTGTGCCTTGATGTTCTGAAACTCGCGGTGTGCATACGAATGGGAGGGGTCGGATTTGTCCTGATGAAGTCGTACCAGAGTCTGCTCTGCCTCCTTGACATGGCCGTTCAGGTATACTAAGTCGAGTCAGGTCTCTTGCGCCGCAGACAGGAAGAAGCAAACCCACGCCAACGGGGGCTCTCCGGGAGGAGAGGTATGATGCATAGCAAAGCCAGAGGAGAGGCACACTGGATGGCGAGCGGCACGCGCCAGCCAGCCTGGCCGTTCACATGGAAGAATGCCACGCCGATCCATTGTGCGACAGTAAAGCCTGCCCCCACGATCCCCGCGTGGAGTCCTACAAGAAAGCCTCTGTTATGTGCAGGGGCGACTTCGGCTTGGTACAGTGGGCAGCCAGGGAGGAAGTGGCCGATTCCGATACCAGTGACGATGCGCGCCACACACATCATGGCGTTGTGTACCGCGCCAGCTTGCAATGCTCCCCCCACGATGACAAAGACAGATCCCACGCCTAGCGGAATGCGTCGACCGAATCTCGAGGAAGAAAGTGGATAGAGGCAACACCCGATGACGCCTCCCACGTACAGCAAGGCGCTGAATGCCGCGACAAGACTGTTTGTGTGAGACACGCCGGGTCCTTCGAGAGCGAGGTCCAAGTATTCGTAGAACTCGACGTGGCTAAAGATGTTGGCCATGATGGACGCACAGTAGCCGTAGCTGAAGCTGCCCAGCGTGACGGCCAGGACGACCTGGACCGAGTCAGTTGATAGCAACTCAAGAGGAAACGACTAGAGTGGCAACGGGGATTAGCTGTACCAGGATGTTGTATGTAGATGTGACTTCGCCCATGGTGCTCGATCGCCCAGATCAATAACTCATTCGGTGTCTGCAAGGATAACGACAGGGCTGACGTCCGGTTCAGGAGGTATTTAAGGACGAGGCCTCGGCGAGTTACCTGCGAGACTCAGGAGGACGTCAGGTACGACAAGAGAGGTACACCTTTCTGGACTATACCCCGGGTTCGGCTTTGTCATTCCCCTCAATACTCCAGGAAAAGGACTCGGCACCGACTTTGTGCTGTACCTCATTGGGGTTAATATGAAGCTGGGGTATGGAGGACACTGTGTAACGGTCCGGTTTGCTCCCTTATTTGGCGGTGTAAAAGTCAACATCATTACAGCGACGACAGAGCCTAGAATATGACCTGCTGCCAGAAGCCTGTATCAGATTCTAGGTCTGTAAGCACGCCATCTGACATAAACATTGCTAACAAGTCGAAGATGACTGTCGAGGGAGTCTGACCAACCGCCCAGGATGTCAAGTAAACAAGCATTTACAAGAGGCCAAGGCTGGAATACATGGCCTCTTCGGCGCTGCTTTATGTCTGCCTTGATCAAAGCTTGAATGATTTGATGGGGGTCAGAATGGCAACGTGCAGCCACAGTATCCCTCGAAATAATCCACCTCGCTGGTCCTAATCTCTGATTGAAGATACCGAGTGGTCGGTAACGACAAAGCACCTAGTTGACTTCGGCCCCAGTTGACCTCACAATGTAGAAAAGTGAGCTCGCACACCAGCTAGGGTTTGTATGAGTTCTGTGAGTATTAAAGCCTTTGAATCCTCCCTCCAAGTGGATAATATTGGCATCTAGGATAATCTCTCTATCTGTCTATGACTCCAGTACATTGGGACAAAACTGGCAGACTAGACTGCCATCATGCTATGCTGAAAGGACGATCACTCACTCGGCGAACGTGGCGTTGGCCGAGCATCGGTGCCGCACATTCGGCGCCGAGGTGTGGAGATCACAGCCATTGTGAGTTTGATCTCGCCCTCTTCGATCAAGCGACGGCACGTTCTTTCCGCGCATCATTCCTTGTAATGACCGAAGCGAGGTCCGCAAGGTTCCCCCATTTCCGGATAAGCGGCATCATGGCTGAGCGCTGAGCACTGTTCAAGTCCCGTACTGGAGCACACATAAGGTCTAGTGACATTTGTACCTCTTGGACTGGTACATCGCGTATGTACCAGGGCATGGTTGAGGCAATGACGCCTGGGGATGCACGACTAGCGAGGCTGGTGAGTTCAGGGGTTCCCCGTAATACCCCGTCAACCCGGCACCCCCGCTTTTCCCCCCCGATTCGCCTGGGACACGTGCAGGTCCTGAACCCCTCGTCATCCACCATCCACCATCCACCATCTGGACTTCTTCGCTGATGATTGTCTGGCTATACTCTGATATCTGATATCTCCCTCTCCAACAATGGACTCTCTCGACGAGAGCTTCCAACAGCGTCGTGGCCTCGACCAGAACCCTGCAAAGAGACCTCGGGCCTGCGTTCACTGCCATGTGCGCAAAGTGCGGTGCAATGCATGGCAGGTGGGCATTCCCTGTACAAGATGCAAGCGTCGCGACCAGGCCAGTACATGCACATTCTTACAAACCACGCTCGGAGGAGTGGCTAGGTGAATGCAGTCGCTTGTACCACCTCGTCGTTGACTACTGCTGATATGCTGAACCTGCCAAGGACATCTGCAAAGCGCCAACGACGCATCCATGACCCATCAGCTGGTGACCACTTGTCCTCTCGTCCAAATGGGGAACCTCTCTTGGACCCGAATCTCCTAGTAAGATCACTCTGGCATGAGGATAAGCTCGGATTGAACCCAGTAGTTGACTAGCCTGGCAGTTCCAGCCGTCTGTCCCACCGCCGCCGCTGGAGGGACCGCAACCTCAACAGAACATGCCGGCGGGAGAGTACAATGTTGCCACCAGTGAACCGGTGCAGCAACAAGACGGCCAACAAGGACGGAACTCTGGTGTGAGACCGTCTCCCGCGGCCACTGACCAGGCTGCGAGCATTAGCAGCACGCTGGACTCGGCCACCAAAGAAGAGGACGTCCATTTCCGTATCTGTGAGGAGATGTCGCGGCCCAGGCAGGTCGCCCTCTCGCCCTCTCCCCAATCTCAAAACACCGACCGACACGAGGTGATTGAGCTGCATGAAGGCGTGAATCCGATGACCATCCTCGGCGAGGCTCTGGGACGGCAGCACCCTAATCGCTTTGTTAGGGTCATAGTCGAGGACAACCACCCCAAGTCCTATCCGCGACAATACATTGCCGGGTTCGATTATGCCGACGTGGTGTATCTCGAGGCCAAAGGCGGTCTCAGCTTGCCGCCTCGACCCATTCGGTGAGTCTCTGCGTCGTCCTCATTTATCCGTTTACGTGCTCCCTAATACCTCGAACCAGCGACGAACTGCTCCGGCTGTACTTTTCCCATGTCTATCCGTACGCCCCGATCCTCGACCGGGTCAAGTTCATGCAGGACTACGCTGCGGACCAACACTCGACCTTTGTCCTGCAGTCCCTTTTCGCCAACGTCGTCCCGTATGCTCCCGAGCACCTCCTCCGACAGGCCGGGTACGAGGACCGGATCACGGCGCAAAAACAGCTCTACGCCAAAGCCGCGCTCCTGTACGACATGGGATACGAGAAGAACCAGCTATACCTGCTGCAAGGGTCCATCATGCTCAGCTCCCTGTCCTTTTCGTACGCCATCGACAAGGACTACCGGTACTGGCTCACCAACGCCGGACGGATCGCGACCCAGATGGGGCTTCATCGGAACTACGTGTCGCAGAATCTCGGGAGGCGCTCCAAACGACTCTTCCGCAGCATTTGGTGGGTTCTGTACGATCGGGACACGCTGCTGACCATCTCGGGCCTCGACAACCTCAAGCGGTTCGACGAGCGGTATTGCGACACGGCACCCCTCGAAGAATCGGACTGGGAGGACGAAGACGAAGTGCCGGCCGAGTTTCGAGACATCCTCCCGCCGGTGACGCGGGTTCAAAAGGCGTTCATGATGGAGTATAGCAAGTTGTCAATCATCAGTAAGCTTGGCCCAGCCCCATCTCCCAAAGCAGAGGCGCGGCAAGAGAGAGAGAGAGAGAGAGACAATAGTAGCAAAAAATGTGGATCGTCGAGCTGATCAAATGTGCTCTCGACTCGGTGCCAGGCGGGTATTTCATTCGAGATTTCAAGACGCCAGCCAAACCACCGACTTTTGTCGAGATTGACCGGCTGAGCAATCAGATCACGTCGTGGAGAAAACAGCTCCCCCTCGAGATCATCCACGCCTTGCAGGACGAGTGGACGCCCGACCACGTCCTGATCCTGGTCTTGCTCGCCATGGGGTACCGCCTCGAGGCGGTCTTTGCCCGTGCGGCCAAGGATCATTACCGGACCAGTGGCAGCAGCAGTGGCGGCGACGCGGGCTGCATGCAGCGCATGGCGCAGCGCCAGGAGAATGCCATGTTTGAGCTGTCCACCATGATCCAGCGTGCCTCGCTGCACGATGTTCTCCATCTGTGCCCTCTATCCTTGTGAGCCACGAGCCCTCACACTCCTTTTCCCCTTCTCTTATTGTCTCCTTTCTCCATGTCTCATCTCTCCTTGCTTCTCGCCATCTAGACGACACATCGCACCCACTGACGAAAAGTGCGCCGACAGTATGACATGTGCCTGCACGATCCTGGCCATGCGGATCGAAATCGCCCTCGACCCGAGCACCAGCCCGCACAAGCAGCGCGCGACCAAGGCGCAGATCCTGGCCGAACTCGAACACGTGCGCGAGAGCTGCAAGTACTGGAACAGCCTCATCTGGACTGTGCGCATGTTCGAGGCCGTCATCGCCCGAACCGGACTCGGCGCGGTTGGCGCGGGCGGCACGTCGGTGTCGCCTAATGGATCTTCAGAGGCGGAGGCGGACGAGGACGTGGCGTCTGTGAGTCACAACGGGGTAGGTCCCGGTGGCGGTGGTGGGTATGGCGACGCCTCACATCGTCGGATGGAGCAAGCGCCCAACGACCTGCTCGAAGGTGGCAGGGACCTCGACGCCGGAGCCCAAGTCACTGACGACGTCTTTGGCATCTTGCCCGTCACCGACGACTATGACTGGCTCGAAGGCCTCTTTGGAGCGCCACGCAGTGACGTTGGGGACCCGGCAGTCATCTTCTAGATTATGACAAGGCTGTGTATAATTACACACAGGAGGGGAGACCGGTCCAACCTGTTCAAACTGGTGAGAATAAATTCTAAGTGGGGTTCAGTTTTCCTCTAGTAATGGCTTTAATCGATGAGACTCATGACGCAAGCCCTTCTTCGTCCCACAGTCAGCCCTCAACGAGGCCGAACCCAAACCCATCTCTCATCCGGGTTACTCGTCTGCCACCACACCTATAGCGAGCGCGTCCATTTCTCCCAAAAAAAAAGAGGCCCGATAAGCCCGTAAATATTGAAGTCATTGTTCTTATATATAATATATACGTGTATTTCGCCCTTTCAGTAGACCGGGTCCGGAAACGATTGGGGCTGCCTGTCCTTGCCGTCCAACAGGCCATAGTACCAGGTGAGATCGCGGCCGTCGAACTCGCGGGTGTCGAAGCCGTTGCCGAGGAAATTGAAACGGTTGGACGAGAGGTAGTCGAGGTCAAAGTCCTCCCAGCGCGGGGTCTGCAGGACGGTGAGGTAGTGGACGCGCGAGCCGGGCCAGCACAGGGGCTTGTTGGCCGGGTTGCCGTTCTTGAACCACGAGCTGCAGGGGCCCGACCAGGCCGTGCGCTGCAGGTACAGGTCCGCGTGGCGGGTGAAGGCCTCGGCGACGCGCCGGTTCACCCGCACGCTCTTGACGTCTTCGACCTGGACCTTGGACAGGACCTGGATCACGTAGTTGGTGTAGGCCTCCACCATGGGGATGATGGACCCGTGGCCCAGCGGGCCGTACGCCCCGATGAAGATGAAGTGGTTGGGCACCTCTGGCGCCGCGAGGCCCAGGTACCCGACCACGTCGCCGCCGCCCTTGGGGAACGCGTCCTGGACGTTGGCCCCGTCGACCATGATGGGGAATGTCGGCCGGAAACTCGTGTCGAACCCCGTCGCGCAGATCACCACGTCGACCTCGTGCGCCTGGCCCTGTCCGTCGACGAACCCGTGGCTCGTCACCTCGCGGATCTCCTCGGTCAACACGGTCGTCTTGTCCAGCGTCAGCGCTTCGAGGAACCCGTTGCCCGGCGTGGGCCGGCGACACCCGACCCCGAAATTCTGCGGGATCAACTTGTCCATCAGCTCGGGCTTCTTGGCCAGTTTCCGCTGCATCTCCCCGATCGAATACTCGCGGGCCTCTTTGGCGTCCGCCGACCCGTTGATGTAGAACTTGAACCGGATGTTCAGCTCCGACTCGATCGCCTTGCAGTACGCCAGGTAGAATTCAGGGTCGTCTCGGAACCGCTGATGCGTCTCCTTGGAGTAGGCAAAGTTCTCGCCGTTGGGCCCGGCGTACGTGGGCGCGAACCCCGCCGTGACCCAGATGGGCGACCGCGCCACGACGTACAGCTGGTCGACTTTGTCGATGATGGTCGGCACTACCTGGACGCTGGAGCTGCCGGCCCCGATGATCAGGACCCGTTTGCCCTGCAGGTCGGCCTGGTCGTCCCAGCGCGCCGTGTGCAGGAGCGGGCCCTGGAAATCGTGCAGGCCCTTGATCTGGGGCCATTTCCAGTTGTTGAGAACGCCGCCCCCGTGGATGAAGAAGTCGGCGTAGTCGACCGCGACGTCGGCGGGGTCCTCGTTGCGCATCACGGTCACTTTCCACTTCCCGGGGCCCGCGAGCCACTCGGTGTGCACGACCTTGTGGTTGAGCCGCGCGTACTTGAGCACGTCGTAGTCCTCGGCGATCTTGCGGAAGTACTGGTAGATCTGCTTGGAGCCAGAGTAATACCGCTCCCAGTCGGGCGACTTGGCCCAGCTGTACTGGTAGCAGACGCTGGGGATGTCGCACGCGCACCCGGGGTACCGGTTCTCCAGCCAGGTGCCGCCGATGTCGTTGTTCTTCTCGTAGATGACCAGCTCGACATCCGTCATGCGCTGCGAGAGCTGATGGGCAAAGTTGATCCCGCTGCACCCCATGCCCATGAAGATGATCTTCAGCTTGCGTCGTGTCCCCATGGGGGTCTCCCGGATCCTGTACGCCGTCTCGTCCCCGTTAACGTGGCCATTTTGGAGCGGTGCTGCATCGGCCGTCGCGGGAGAGATCGGCGTAGGCATATGGTCCGAGCTGGACATCGTCTTGGTCTTTTCCACGTTCTCATTTAGTATATCGGCCGCGGCTGGGTGTGCCGCCTGTGCCACAGAGGGAGTCATCTTCCACCAGGCACACGGATGCAGTCCCTCACCAAGAGAGCAGAAATATTTAGTGCCAACGATATGATCTCTGCTCGTTTGGAAAAGGAAACAAAAGAAGGGTCCCAGACTTGCTGCTTGTGATATACAATGGATAGAAATGACAATTCGGCTTGGAGGAGAGAACAAAAGGGTCGGCCAGCACTGAGTGAGAAATCATACCATATCCAACGAGCAAGTAGTCCCAGATTGGGCCCCCTCTTCCCCGTTCGGCGTTGCCATGCCTCGTATGACACCGATGGGGACGGGTGTGAATGTTGTCTGCAAGGAACTAGAGAAGGCGAGATCGTCCACCGCACCCCCGCTGAACCCTGTTCGACGCCGAGCTTGGGTCATCTCGGTGCGCCGCGAGGGGGAACCGAATAGCCTGCACTGTCCCGTAGGACTGGCTTCGGTCTCATCTTGGACGCAGCGCAGGACACTCCAGGGGCCCCGTGGTGAATGCCCTCCTCGGTATGCCGATTTTATCTCAAAGGTTTCTTAGTCGTGCGAGTGTTGGAGGTGTGGAGGAATGTTCTCTTTTGGCCTCGGCGACTCTGCCCTCTGCCACTCGTCGTTGAAACGAGTTGTTAGTTGCCCGAAGCGAGCAAGTGGTTTTCTCTGATGAAGATGATTATTTTCACAGCTACTCAGTCTTTTGGAATGTCCTTGATTAAGATCCCAAGGGCGAGTATGACACCTGAAGCACCTATTGCTGTTATAATGCCATAGAGAGAGCAAGCAAGAGTCTTAAGCCTCACATCTTTGATTTCTAGTCTAGTTGATAGCCATCTCCTTTAGCCAACCTACCCCCTTACCCCCTTCTAGTCCTTCTAGACACTCTACAGCTTTGCAGAGCTCTTAGCCGTGTCAGGCTTGGACTTCTGCAGCAGCCGTCTCATAACCTTGCCGCTTGGAGTGCGAGGAATGACCTCGATAAAGTGCACTCCGGCTGTCAACCATTTGTGCCTCGACAGTCGGGTCTCGATATACTCTTGGACTTCCTTAGCCGTCACTGTAGATCCTGGCGCTCTCACCACAAACGCCTTGGGGTACTCGCCGTCTCGTCTAGGCTGTGTCAGAAGGAGTCACACAGCAATAAAGGTCCTCATCACGGGAAAGGGATAGGCTTGAGATCGCTTACCTCTTCTCACCGACGACTGCTGCATCGGCAATACCGGGGTGGGTCAAGAGCACTTGTTCGATTTCTGCGGGGGCGACTTGAAGGCCCTTGACCTTGATGAGTTCCTTTTGACCCGTGTTATTGTCACTGTGACGGTCACAAAAATGGCGTCCTCAAACCTACCTTGAGTCGATCGACAATATATAAACAACCCCTTTTGTCGATATAGCCAACGTCGCCGGTCTTCAGCCACCTGGTGCCATCGTCGTCGTAGAGGATGGTTTCCATAGTCTCCCGCGGCCTCTTGTAGTAGCCCTTCATGACGTTGGGTCCGGCGATCCATATCTCACCCACTGTATACGGGATCTCTGTTGACTGCTCGAAGCCATGCTCTGGCACCGGGACGATCTTGGCCGACACATTGGGGTTGAGCCAGCCAATGGATCGGCCATCGTCCTCGTCGTCCTGAGCAAACCCCGTGGCCGAGCATGTCGTTTCAGTCAGCCCCCAGCCTTGCTTCACCTGGACGCCAGGCCGCAAATGCGTCTTTTCAACCAGTCTGCCAATCTCCGGATTCAACGGCGCCGAACCCGTGACGACCGACTCGATGGCCTTCAAATTGTACGCCGTCGCGTTAGGGTGTTTGGACAGGGCGACCATCAAAGTGGGAACTCCGGTCAGGAAGGTGATGCGATAAATGTCGAGGAAGAGCAGGTACCGCTCGATGCTGTACTGCATCATGATGAAGACTTTGACACCCATTCGCGCCGCCGTCACGCAGTAGTACATTTGGCCCTAGATGGTACGTAAGTAAAAGGGACAATACGATGGAAGGAGAAGTCTTCGGGGAGCTTCAGCTCACATAGGCATGAAACATGGGCAGAGGAGCAAGCCAGCGCTCGCCCGAGAGATCGATGCGGGCTTTTCGCTCGCGAGCGCGCGGCGTGTCCGCCACCATGTTCCGTTTGAATATGACCTGGAGGGAGTTTGCAATGACATTTTGGTGCGAAATCTCGACGCCCTTGGGGGTTCCCGTCGTGCTGGTTCGGTGATTCAGTCAGGTTAGCCCTGTGGTCGTCGCGGTCTCGTTCAACATGATCCCCTTGGCCCTCTTCAAAAGACATACATACCCGCTGGAGTAGTTGATTGCGACCGTCGTTTCCCGAGCTTCCTTGGCTGAGGATATCCTCTTCCACGTCCATGTGGCGCTTTCTTCCTCTGTTGCCCAGATGTCGGCCCACGACCGTAACCCGCTCTGGGTCCTTTTGTCCAGAGGGTCGGCAAATTCAAACACTCTACCCTTTGGGATGCCCACTTGCGCCGCGGCTTCCAATGCCGTCTGGACGCCCGCAGCGCTCGTGATGATCAGTTTCGCATCCGAGTCCTTCACCTGGTAGCTGAGCTCTAAGATGCTGAACGATTAGCTCGGGTTCCGATCTTCTCCTCTTCTCTCTTGATTCCATACCTGTCACCGAGGCGCTGGGACTACACCCCGTAAACACGCACCCCGCTGCGACGGTGCCCCAGTAGAGGATGGGGAAATACAGCGAGTTCCCCGAATAGAGCAGGACCTTGTCATTCTTTCCGAGGCCGAGATCCTGTAAGCCCTTGGCCAGTCTCTTGACCAGGATCTCGGCCTGGTCCAAACTGAAGCAACGAGCTGGGCAGTCGGCGTCGAAGAATTGCGGGCGACGACGCTGTTCCCGGTCTCCCGACGAGAATATAAAGGTCGTCAGGTCGATCGGGGGGATGTCGACCGTGTATCTCGAATTGTGCCGAGTCGCCATGTCGCCGTCCATGGATTCGTGTCGCTCTAGGTGGTTGCGGTTGGCGACTTTAGAATCCCATACATAGTCTACTCATCGTCGCCAACGGGGTTTTGTAGTCCAATCCCACCACAGCCGCATCATATTTATACGGTGAACTGGAGTCACATGGTTTGAATGAGTCCCCTCTCCAACCCCCCGTATTTGGCCTGGTGGCCTCGGCATCGTGCAACTCGGCGCCGCTCCAGGGTCCGTACGGATTACTATTCCTCCTTTCAGCTCCAATAATTTGATCACTCGTCTACGGATGTAGGCTAGGCCAGGCCTCGCTAGTCGAGTGCTACCCCTCTGGGTGCCATCTCATCTTGCATATGTCTTGAACATTTCTTGTCAGGTACGGAAATCTACCACCCTACCCATACCGCTGGAAAGTGAAAGAAGGTGAAGCGTGGATACCACATAAACTTGGCATTTTACATTTTTTATGGTTTATGGTTTATGGTGCTTTGGTTAAAAACTGATCTCAGTCTACTCAATGCGGCAGAACCGAAACTCATAGTTCATTCCTTGACGACCTCAGTGAGTAGATTCTCCGGCCACCGCGCCTGATCGACCCCGTTGCCCCTGGTTCCCACATTGAATCCCAACCGCACCGTATCCGGCGGAAACTGCAGGACGGGCTTGGGTGTTCGAAAGACGAGTCCGTCCAAGGCGCCGGAGGTCCTCTTCTCGAAAAACTCCGGGTTGAGGACCGTCTTGTCCTTCTTCATCATCTCAATGTACCGCGGGATCGTGTAGTTCATGCTGTGGTAGTGCCGGAACGCCGCTCGGCCGTTTCTGGTCCAGACGTCCTCCCACACTTCGGGTGGGTACTCCCCGACCGTCAGGGCGAGCCATTGGTTGTAGTAGTTGAGGGAGGTGTCGACCAGGTACGAGCCGCCCTGGGAGGCTCGCTCCATGAGTGCGTGCAGCGCGCCACAGGTCCCGATGATGCCGGTGCAGTAGTCGGAGTTGGGGAACACGGGCGTCACGGCCTCGTCGTGGCCCATGGCGCGACCGTAGCCCATGGACACGCCTGTGTGAGCATCGCTGATGGGCTGCCACCCACTCCGGTGAGACAGAGGGCCGTCCCACCCGAAGCAGTTCTCGCGGATGTAAATAATACCTCGATCCCGATCTTTGACCATGTCAAACACCTGGTCTTGGCCAAACCCGTATTTGGTCAGGACGTCTGGTCGGTAGCCGTTGACCACGATATCCGCCTCCAAGATGAGATTCCTCAGCTTCAGTCGGTTCTCCTCCTGCCTCAGATCCAGCGAACAGTTCCATTTGCCCCAGTTGAGATCGGGCTGTAGACCCGAAAAGTCAGGGAGGTGAGAAGCCGTGACTCTCATGACACTGGCGCCGAGTTCCGCCAACCCTCTCCCAATTGCAGGCCCCGCGATCACCCTGGTCAGATCAACGACCTTGAGACCAGCAAGCGGTCGTTGTGGGCTGGTGAAGCTGGTCGACTGCCACCACGCGGCCGCTTGACTGGATCCTGTGTGCTTGGTGATCCGATACAAGTCAACCGTGGAATTTGCTTTGCCTTGAGGACTGGCGGCGTACTCGTCAGGGCTCAAGCAAATGGTCGCGGCCTGGCGATACTTTTCACCGAGGATCTCATCCCATTCCTCTGCAGTCTTCTCCTTCATGACCTTGACAAACGGGGTCCACGAGTCCTCGATGGTCGTGATTTCCGGCATGTCCCTAGGCATGCCGGCGGCCTCGAGTGATGGATCCGGATTGAGGCTTCCGTGGATGTGGAACCACTTGCCATCCTTGGTCTGATAAATGTTGTAGGCGGCGCGGCGATACAACGTCGACGCCATCTGGTGAAGATCGCAGTTTGGAAAGTACTTCGCATATCGTTCCGTGAGATCGCGGATCGGCGTGGGTGATATGGGAGCAGAGAAGTCCGGGTCGACCTCAAGCACGATCGACGACATGAAAAACAGCTGTGCGTGGTCCGTGTTGATGCGGATCTCCTTGGGGGGTTCCTGGTACTTTCTCCCGAGTAACGCGTTGATCATGACGGCCTCGAAGCCTTTCAGGGAGGCCACACTCTCAGCCAGTCTCCAGTTGATGGCGATGCTGGGCGCTGCTGAGCCTTCGAATTTGACGTGTTGGGCCAGTTCTTTGCATTCAGCCGGCAACGAATGCTGCAATTGTGTCCCCAAAATCCCAGTCTCCAGCAACGTCTTGCATTCATCTGGCACTGAATAGGGCTGCGACCGCTCTGGCTTCATCGTGGCTGACTTTTTTCTTCCTTTTAATCGTGACCTGTCCTGTCCCATGTAGACAATACCCGTTCGTCTTGGACATAAGTATATCAACGCATGGCTATGCGGGGAGGGGGGTGGACCTCCCACAGAATGAACCCCAGGACATGGAGCAATCTGCCTCGTCCATGATCGACCAAGCAAAGCTGTTGCCGACGTGGGTCAGGACCGAAGTCAATCCCCACCTGATATTTACCAGGCCGACGCAGACCTTTTGGGAGTGACGCCGAGGCCTGCTCGGCGGACATCTCGGCCAGTTGTGACCTTCCTTGCTGGGAGTTTTCTTCGCATCTTGCCGCTTGGTCGTTGTGTAGCCAGGAGAAGGAGGGGTTGGCATAGCGCTCAATTTCATCGCTCTAAGGGTAGACTTTAGGCCTTATCGCCGTCCTGTCTGTCGGGTCGTGTGGCCGCCCGTTGTTCTTTGGTTGATATTGAAAAGCCCAGGTATAAGTAATCATCGGAGCCAAGGTTCGTTAGAGTTTTAAGGTTGTCGCCAAAGCTGCCCTCTGAATCAGTCGATATCGCTCTTGTTCAAGTGTCACAATTTCGAGTACTATAGATGGTAAAGCTCTTTTACCAATCAACACATTTACGTGCTCATGACTCTTGATGCGGCTGATTTTGCTGAAGTTCTTGCTTTTTTACACTACGAAGAAATACAAGAGACGCCAGTAGACGAGCGCGGGGGTTATTCCTCAACCTCTTTGATAGAAACCATGCACTGATGCCACGAGGCAGGCACATGCCGAGACGGGCCTGACAATTCCATTCTAAGCAGGACGGGAAAAGGATTTGTCTTTATATCGTGTCTTTCGCCACCAGGTTCCCAGACCACAGAGAGAATCTTGCCCACCCGTCGTAGATCGCACCTATACGTTAACTGGCTATAGAACCGCCTCCTTGGCGAGAAACTTTTCCGGAATATCGACGTGTCGCGCGCGCAGGTACTCGGCCAAATTCTACCACAGAGTATCAGTAAGCGAGGCTCAATCTTGCACTCAGAGGTGGGAATGACAACAACGAAAAGGACTCTTACCTTGCCCAGCGCGTCCATCTTGACCGAGGTGCTCACGCCCGCGCCCAGGAGACCGTGAATGACAAAGTGGACGGCGTGGAGGTGGGGAATTTCGCACCGCTCGATGTACGTCTCGGGGGTTGTTTCGCGTGCGAGGAGCACTGAAAGCATTGATTGGGTTAGTCACAGTTTCTTTCCAATACGAGCTGTGTACCAATGTCCAGACGGAGAGGGGACACAAGAACGCAACTTACCTCGCAACCGCTCCGTCGTGAGAAGACTCCTCAGCCACTCGAACTTTTCTGACTCGTGGAGACCTCGGGGGATGAAGAAGCCGACGTTGACGTTGGCACCCTTATCGCCGCTGCGGGCGTAGACGGCAAGTCCTAGTGGCGCCTTGACGGTTGGTCCAAAGGAGGACAGCGACACCGGGTTCGCGGGTTGGTAGTCCGGCTGTTGTGGGAGGAGGTGGACGGGCGTGTAGGCTCCGGGTCGTGCAACGGGTATGCCTTCCCCGTCATTGCCGCCTTGTGAGGCGAAGAAGACGCGTAGCTGGACGTGGCTCTGGTTGACCAAACCCGGGAAGTACGTCGACATTTGTTTCGGTTCTGCGGTCCTAAAGTCCACGTTGGCCGTGAGGCCCGGGTACCCGGAGAGCTGGTTGCTCATGAGAGGGCCGAGGAAGCGCCCTGCCCTCAGGTACTGTGGGTCTTGCGCCTGTGCGAGGACTCGGAGCTGCAGGGTCGCTTCGAGCTGGTTCTCCGGGTTGTCCTTGGGTGTCCCGTAGAGTTGGAAATCCAGGACGTCGTACTTGTTGTCATTCAGTATCTTGCGGGTCATGATCTCGAAGCTCTGCGCTTTTTCCTTGTAGTCTAGGCCGGTCACGTAGACGGATACTTCGGCCTGGTAGCCTCCTAGCGCCATGATGGCAATCTTGAGAGTTTCTGGGGCCAAAAGGCCTGTAGAAATAGATTAGTTTAGCCCGCAAGTCATTGTTTCGCACGAAAGTATCCAGTAAGACACGACAAGCGAGCCAAGTGTCGAGGAAAACACACCTTTGAACCCCGAAACGTACACCTTGTCCTTGTCAACCTGCTCGACTTTCAGGCCCGACAGGTCGGCAATCACGTCGGGGTTGTAGTAGAATTGTCCTTGAATCTCGTATAGCAGCTGGCCCCGGACCGTGTCCACCGTCACACTGGGTTCACGTTAGTCGGCGCACCACATGGATGTGCTCAAGGAGAAGAAGGGTGATAGAAGGACGCACACGCCATTTTGATTCGAGTGCTTCTGAATCACACTCGTCCCGTCTATTGCAATCGCGGCCACCGGGTAGGATAAGTCATAGTAGTTGGGGAAGAGACTCTTAAACCCTCCAAAGTTGCCTCCAGTCTGTGTCGAAGATCGTTTAGCTGGCTGTAGATACCCTTGAGGCGATATTCGAGAGAGAACAACTTACAACGTAGCATCCGCATTCAATCAGATGTCCAGCCACAAGGGAGCCCGCGAGCTTGTCAACGTCGGTCCGCTTCCAACCGTGCCACCAAGCGGCGACACCCATGACCTTGTGGCAAAACCAGTCAGTCTCACATCCGTGCACCAGAACGAGACGTTGCTGCTCACCGTGCTCGCGTCCGTGCATCGTCCACAGATGACAATGTCCGCCCCGGCCTCCAATGCCTCGACAATCCCCCAACAGCCCGTGTACGCCAGGGCGAGGATAACATCCGGGTACTTCTGCCTCCAGCTTCGAAAGTCCCCAGTCGCCCTCGTCAGGGGCTGGACATCGAGCCTATCGATCTCAGGCAGCAAGTTGTCGCCGGTCACATACGCGACTTTTTTCGAGCAACCCCGTGACACCAGGAGTTTTTGGACCTCTTGGGCAAGCACTTTGGGATTGAGACCGCCGGCGTTGACGGCGATGCGGAGGTTTGGGTTCCTGTAGTTGATGTATTCGTCGAGAGCGTTGCGTAAGGAGTACAGGAACCCAGGCTCGTAGCCGCCTTTCTTGCCGTCGCGAACCTGGAGTGACCGCGAGGCCAAGTTGAACTGGGAAACGTGAGCAATCGATCATTGGTATTTCTCGAGGGCGTTTGAAGGGACATACCTCTGAAAGCCAATCCCCGATGATGGCATCGACCGTGGTGGTACCCTTGAGCATCGACTTCAAGCCTGATTTATTCCAGCATCCCTATTAGCTGTTTGTCCGTCCATTACAAACGTCGAGGAATCCAGGATATTATGGCTCGTCACTCACCATCTAATCGATCCCCCGTCGAGCCAGACACGTTTCCGACCAGGATCGGCCGTGACCCTTTCCCTGCTACATTTGTCGCCATATTGTATCCTTTGGTCCCCTCGATATGTGTCTATTCTCACTGCATCGATCGATCGATCTCAAGAAGCGGAAATGTTTTCGCCAACAAGAATTAAATACTCCAGAGACCAGCAACAGCAATAGATGTATGTCTTCTCTTACAATCCAAGCTGTCATCAAGCTCGTTGACATCTATGTCGTCCCATAATTTTATTCCACGCTTCGCCTCGCCCAAGTTCCGTACACCTCGGCAATGGTGGCCGTGTAACTCCAATCTTTCCCCATCCATGAAACTTTGCTTGGCCTTTGAGGTGAGGAGGTACAGGTACGTGGCTAGGTGGCTCTCGGCTTTTCTTCGCCGATGCTGGCTACTAGGGCTACTAGGCCACTACTAGTCACTAATACTTGTAGACTCTCTGAGGCACCTTACATGAGCCGGGCGGCCTGGGTGGAAAAGGAGGCGGCGCATTGGAGTAATTATCATTTCGGCCCGACAGTTCTACAGGAAGTTTCCAAGCAAATTGTTGGAGAAATCTGTATCTATTCGGTAAAGCATCCAGACAAGACCACTCACTACGATAGATATACACACACTCGTAGACCGTGGCTGGTGTCACGTCGCCACATGATTCTTCAACCATTCAATGATGAGGCCATCAGTCTTTCTTCGCACCGCAGGATCGGTCCATTGGGAGCCCATGGCATAGATATGGAGCTGGCCCCATTCGATGACCAGCTTGGATTCCACGCCAGCCGAGTGGCACATCTGCGCCCATTGCTCCGAGTCATATCTCGCGAACTCGGCGCCGCCGGTGAAAATGAGCTGCGGGCTCAACCCGCTGAGCTCTTCGGGCTGGCGATGCAGAGGATTGACCTCTGGAGACTCGGGTGGCCGGTCCCCGATAAACATCTGGACCAGTGCTGGCACGGCCTTGTTGGCCATGACGAAGTAGTCGCTCTCAACGGCTGGGTTCCCTCCTACGTAGGCCTTCAGGGCCATGTCGATCCAGGGGGAGATCAACACGGTTGCCGCCGGTTGTGGCAGATTGAGTTGCTTGACTTCGAAGGCCGCGAGGATACAGAGTCCACCTATATAGCCGTAGGATGTTAGTGCGGGAGATGGTGTAAACGGGACATGTGGAGCCTTAGGGCCTGCTCACCTCCAGCAGAATCCCCCATGAATACGATATTCTCGGCCGCGACGCCATTGTCGAGCAAGTACTGATATGCTTGGATGAAAGCATTCCTCTGTGCTGGATGGCTCGCTTTGGTTGTGAGGGCTACCGAACTTGCTTTAGTTCTCTCCCTCTCTCTTTTTTCTCCTAGTATAAAAGACTAGCACGCCCAGATTGGAATGAGACTCACGGTATTCGACGCTGTAGAACGCTAGATCGAGGTCCCTCCTCGCCGACTCCGCAACCCACCGTTCCAGATAGTTGATATACATCCTGGCCTCGCCACGGGCGTAGCCTCCCCCATGAGCGAACAAGACGACACATCTCTGCTTCTTCCCGTCGTCTTTTGGTTGCGCAAAGTCGGAAAGCCGTCGTGTCCCCGGGATGAGGTACGCGGGCACCTTCTCGTCCACCTGGCGCGCTCGTCGCAGAGACAGATTCCCCACGGGGAGTCGGTGCGTCAAGTCGGGAAAAGTCAGAGCAGCCGCACCGAGGTATGCTCGCTGGATCTGGAGTCGTAGGGACTGGAAGACCGGGAAGTGTGGTAGGAGCAGACGCCGTAGAAGCACGAGCGAGATCTGGGAGAAGAATGTGTGTATGAAGAGTAATGTCCTCAGCGGATGTTTCAGGAGGAGGAGTACGAGGTTCGCCATGGTTGCATAGGAGAGAATAAAGATTACATAGATAGTCTGGCAATTTGATGCAAGACAGACAGTTTCCCTGGCTTCTACCTCTCAGTAGATAAAACCCGAGCGAGTGTCCTTTGACTGAGGGGTTCGCTCAATCAAGATTCAAACCGATCTCGGTATTGCCCGCCAGGCCTGAACCGAAGCGTCGTTCTTGTTTCCCATCCCAGTCGGGCCCCCCTTGGGCCGAGATTTTGTAGACTGCTACCCCGGCTCGGCTGCTCGCGATGATATCATCCATCTCCCTCCTCTCTCTATATCTGAGACGGTGTTGTCGATGTATTTGTCCTGCCTGGCACCACAAAGACTCAGACTAAGTTACCCATGGCTTCCGACGGAGACTTGATCGAGCTGAAACTCGACGGGGTGGTTCGATACACCTTACGCACCACTGATACAGGCGAGACCATAATAGACGCCAAATGGATCTCAACACGCACCCTCGCCACCGGCCAGACAGGAACCGGTCGCGCCGTTCGACGAAAGGCGACGACGACCGAGGAACCATCGAGCGGAAAATCCGGCTTCGAGGGAGCGTGGACCATAGAATATTATGGGCCGGATGGCAATTTGGCAGTCACGCCCTTTCTTCTAGACCTGGTTAAAAAGGGAGAGGTATTGTCATCCACTTTTTGCCATGGTTCTTTCCAGGTTTGCTGGGGGCCCGTGGCCGGACGAGTATATTCACATATACATATACACATGCTAACCAAATAACCCTGCTGCCGGTACAGATCTATCATGGAAAGTGGGCAGACCCGAAAGGGCGACCTTTGCTGGAAGGCTTCGGCTTCGAGGACGACGGGAAACTGTACATGAGATATGGAGATAGATGGGTGTAAATCACAGCCGGGTATGTGTGTGTGTACAGTCATGTTGCATTACGGAGGGTGCGTCGCTGTGGACTTCATCTTTGCGATCGAAAGAGTCTTGGAGGTGATTGATGGGATTACCACTGATTTGATACACTGGGCTCTATATATATTGAATCTCTCCATGGCTGATTCTCGTTCAATTCGCTCTTCCTGAACTGCTTGGACAGGGACTCCCAATCCACGTGGCCATGGGCCAGCCGGTGAGGTCTCGTCCTCTGTGTTTCATTGAGACTCAGCCTTGACAGCCAACCGATGAGACGTGCGCAGCAAGATCTCCTGCAGCTCATCCAAATACTCCCCGTCTGCATAGTCATCCTTTCCAAGGTCCATATATCCCTGGGGCGCGGCATCCCGAGGAACAATACCGAACGATCGCCCTGTCATGAGATATTTTAGTCCTGCACGGCTTGAACTGACAATGCTGACAAGATGATGCTCACCATTTATCGATGGATCAGAGGCGATTTTGATCCATGCGCCAGCTGCGTCCTGGGCTTCGGCAAAAACAATTTCTTTGCTTTTGCAGTACTCTTGCACCGTGGGACTGAGGATCGTGGTAGCCACATACCTGGGACGAAAGAGTCAGAACGGAGGATCGGTTCGGCTTAACTATCAAAAAAGACTTGCCATGGCCCGGTAAGGTTCATGCGAACTCCATCGACAACGGTGGTCCTTCGAATGCATCTCATCAGACCCCGGCACCCCCATTTCGATGCCATGTATTGGGGAATGCCGGGGACATCGAGGAACCCCACGAGACTTGCGTTCACGATGAGGCAGCGATCGTGACTGGCGTCAAGAGGATGCTTCACGAAGTAGTGGCGGGCCAACTTCATCGTATACATGACTCCAAGTAGGTCAATGTTGACAATCTTTAGTTGCGGCTTGACCGGTTCGTCCGTGTCTGTCACTTATCAGAATCATTTTCGCCGTCATGGGCATCACGCTCCAGTCCACCCTCCCACCTTCGATAGTAAACGCATCATCTGGCCCGCTGATGCCGGCATTGGCGACGACCACGTCGATGCTCTTCCTGGGAGAGGAACTCAAAGCCAGCTTGAACAGGGCCAGCTGGTCCTCCCAGGACGTGACATCGCAGTGAACGAATTTGGCGTTCCTGATCCGACAGTTAGCCCGATCGATGTCTCGGCAAAGACAGGAAGGACTGATGCTGAGTTCGACATCAACATCACGAACGTACGGGGCCAGTTCTGCCTCCAGTTTCGTTCCGCTCTCTTCATCCAGGTCTCCGAAGGTGACGTGGGCTCTTAAGATGCTCGTTAGCGTCGAATATATGGCGATGGACCAGTAGGAATAATGCTTGCCCTGCACCGACAAAAGCCCGAACTCCCTCCTCACCCATCCCCTTTGCACCTGCCCACGATTTGTTAGTTGATGATTATTCGTCGATAATGTTTTATATCAAACGCACCACCGGTGATGACGACACCCTTGCCCTCGAGGTTTGTCGGCGGAGCAGCATTCTTGCAATCGACAACACCCTTTTGATACGCAGCGTAAGCCATGGTGTGCTGTTCTTCCTCAGGTATAGGACTGGACTGATGAGAAGAAGGCAATCTTAAGTGAAGGGCTCTTTTGAACGAACAAGGTGAGGCCGACGTCTAGAGTGATATTGAAGATCTTTGTCCGAGGAGGCATCGGCGCCGAACTAGCTGGGCACAAGGTTGAATATGACCGAGGGATCGGTCCGACCTTTGAAGAGAGGTTGAAAAAGGACGAACGAGCGAAAACAGGAGCTCCAAGATCAAGGACAGCCATTTTCAGGTGCTTCTGCATTTCTTTTTGCTTCATCATGGCGACCAATTCGCCCGCTCTGAATATTCCTCATTCGCTGTCCACCGTCTCCGTCTCGGTGATTGAGACAACTTCACGAATCATTGCAAAAACCAATATCGTCGTCCAGCCGCATATTCAGGGTCATGACGAGTTCAACTGCCCTTGCTATTCCTTCCTCATCGACCACAAGGGAACGGGGAAAAAGATTCTTTTTGACCTAGGAATCCGAAAAGACCCCGAGAATCTCTCGCCCAGAACATACGCGTTTACCAAGGCGATGACCATTGCATCGGAACAGAATGTGGCGGACATCCTAGGCGACAAGGTGTCCGAGATCTCCGAGATCATCTGGTCACATCATCACTTCGATCACATAGGGGATCCGTCAACGTTTCCGTCCTCGACCAATCTTGTCGTGGGGCCGGGTTTCAAGGACGAATTCCTGCCCGGTTACCCAGCAAACGAGGAATCGTGGATAAAGGAGAGCGACTATGCCGGCCGTGAACTGGCCGAGGTGAATTTCAAGAAGGAGGGTCTGAAATTGGGCCAATATGACGCCTTGGACTATTTTGGAGATGGATCCTTCTACCTTCTCGATTGCCCTGGGCATACCGTTGCTCATATCATGGGTTTGGCTCGGACCACAGCTGACAGCTTCGTCCTCATGGCTGCTGATTGTTGTCATCACGGTGGAGAGTTTCGACCGAACCCATACGATCCGTTGCCTGACTCGATCGATCTACCTGCGACCGGCCAACGTAAAGCACGAGTTCATCGAACACCCTGCCCTGGTTCGCTGTTCTTGAAGCTGCATCCCAAGAATTCTCCGACGGAGCCCTTTTATGAGCTCATCAATCCACGTAACTCTGACACGGTCCGCGAGGCGATGCGAAGCCAACGGAAGCTGGAGGAGTTTGACGCCAGTGACGACGTGCTGGTTCTCACGGCCCACGACTCGGACGCGGCCGAGATTATCGATCTATATCCCAAGACGATCGATGACTGGAAAAGTAAAGACTGGAAACGGCAACTTCACTGGGCATTTCTCAATGATTTCCAAGTCGAGTAACCTAGATCATCGTTAGGTATATAGGCCACGAGGAGACAGCCTAGACGTTAGCGTTCAAGCTCCAGTGCTAGCTATAGAGGGTTTATAAAGCGCCATAGTGGTATCGATTAGGAGCGAGATGCCCTGCACCAACGGGCTTCAACCATGGTGAACATGTACAGGGAGCAGTTGATGGAATGGACGAGGGCTCCTAACTGACCTTGGGCCACTGATATCCTCATGTTATCGATTGTTGAGCCTGTAATAAATTTCTCCGAGATATGTTTGGTCCTTGTCTGGCGGGCTCAACGAACCCTTTCCCTCAGGGGCACCAGGGGCAGAGGGATACGAGTAGATGCATGCCATGCCCAGCACGTGAATTTAATAAGACTCCACTCGGTATCAAAACATCCCGGAACCGAGTCACTTCCGCAGCGAAGATAGAAAAGAGAAAAAGCCAGAGATTACCCCTGTACTTAGCATTACCTACCTACAGGTTATAGGCCATGCCCTGAAAAGGAGTATGATTTTTCTGATGAGGAGTGCCGGGTTTGGTGATTCGATAGGGTGATCCTGGCATTGAACAAAGCATAGCAATGGTGAAGATGGAGATGCCAAACTGGAAATGGGATTTATTTATTTGATGCCAAGTCATTGGCTCTTCGGGTTGTGGAAGAAAAACTCACCGAGTGGCAGCCCCTAGAACGACACCGCCATTGGTACACAGGGGTGCCTAGAGGCCCGTAGCGTGCCCACCGAGTCCGTTGCCAGTTGGTGAGTTAGCTAAGGTTACGGGCGATGAGCGGCCCCTAGCGAAGTCCACTGGTCGTCCAGATCTCGCTTGGCCTGGGCATTGGTTTTGGACTCCGCTCCTCCCCCAATCTAGGCATCATCTATTCTACCAAACGCCCTGGGAAATGTCCATCGCAAATTTATCCTCATCCCACCCGCTAACAACCCCCCGTATCCGATCCCATGAAACGATTGTTTATTATATCTCTCGAAAAATCCGCCATAGATGTCTTTCTCTATAGAGTTTCTCCCTGCCCTTTGTTGGTTCAGGGCAATTTCCTTCTTCTTCCGCGGGCCTTGTTCCTGCTTTGAGTGCTACTAGGTCTTGATTAATACATTCACATACTTCGTTTCACTTCTTGCTCAGTTCACGCGTACCAAACATTTCTTAACGTCTTCAGCCATTATCACACGCGGACATTCTGTCAGACCTCTATTCTCCTCCAAATTCCCCTTCGTATCGGAGTTTGTTAGACCAGCGGAGTCCAGAGCTGAAATACAGTAAGCCCTTTCTGAGGCAATACGAGTACACAAATCCATCCCGAACGCCTCCATCCTAACTCAGTCCGAGGATTTTACAGCCTCGAGCGAACCACACAAACCCTACTACGAGTCGCAGATCCTTCCAGCATCAAAGATCTTTCCGAGACTGCACTGTGCTTCGTCGTGGTGCATCCTCGCAATGGGTCTGTTCGGCAAAAAGACAACGAGCTCAGCTTCAAGCCCCGTCGAGCCAGCCCACCGAATCAATGTCGAATCCGACAATGCCGCTGTCGTACCCAGCCTGAGTGTATCGGAGGCAGATTCTTTGGAGAAGAGTACAGGTTTAGAGACAACCATGGTGGATGAGAAAGGACCCGCGGCCAACCAGAAGATACAGGATGCTTCCCCAGTTGCAAACAACAATGCCGACTCTTCGCAAGGAACGGCGTACCCGCCGTCAGAGAAAGAGCGGAAGACCCAAGAGGATGTTCAGGTTGAGAGTGACACAAAGAGCACAAGTTCCGTGAGTGTGGTTGGTCCCGCGGGGCCAGGCGACGATGATGAAGTAGTCTATCCAGGCGGAGTGAAACTGGCACTGATCTGCCTGGCACTTTGTCTGTCGGTATTCTTGGTCGCGCTGGATAACACCATTATTGCAACGGCCATCCCCAAAATTACAGATCACTTCAAGTCCTTGGGCGATGTCGGTTGGTATGGATCGAGTTATCTGCTCACTACTTGCGCCTTGCAGTTGTTCTTTGGAAAGTAAGTGCCCATGCAGATCACGCCGGCGGGCATGGCTAAGTTTATGTCACAGGCTGTACACCTTTTACTCTATCAAGACAGTATATCTGGTCTCCATTGTCATCTTCGAGGTTGGGTCGGCCGTTTGTGGTGGCGCTCCGACCTCCGATGCACTGATCGTCGGTCGTGCGATAGCCGGTGTCGGTTCGGCTGGCATTTTCAGTGGTGCGTTGGTGATTATCGCATACACTGTCCCGCTGAAGAAACGACCCATCTACACTGGTATCATTGGGGCCATGTATGGCATTGCCTCGATTGCCGGTCCGTTGTTGGGTGGTGCCTTTACCGATGGGCCAGGTTGGCGTTGGTGCTGTAAGTGGCATTCAATGGATGTCTATCTTGTCCCGGCTGATCGATTGTTTAGTTTACATCAACCTTCCTCTTGGTGGCATTACCCTGGTGGTGATTTTCATCTACTTCCACTCTCCAGTTCGTAAGGCGGAGCAGAAAGTACCGCTTCGAGAACGTGCGCACCAACTTGACCTGGGCGGCACTGCGCTTTTCATTATCGCCATCGTGGTCTGCCTGCTGGCCTTACAGTGGGGTGGCTCTACCTATGCTTGGTCAAACTGGCGGATCATTCTGTGTCTCACATTGTTCGGCGTACTTACCATAGTCTTCGTCATCCACCAGTACTTTATGAAGGAATATGGCACCATTCCTTTCAACATCATCTCGCAACGAAGCGTGGCATCTGCATGTTGGTTCTCATTTACCCTGGGTGCATCATTCTTCGTTCTGATCTACTGGGTCCCGATCTGGTTCCAAGCCATCAAAGGTGCATCTGCGTTCAAATCTGGGATCATGTGCTTGCCCATGGTCCTGGCCCTCGTCCTGGCAAACATCGCCACCGGGGTGGGCACGACAGCGATCGGGTACTACGCTCCGTTCTATTTTGGATGTGTGGTTCTCTCTGCTATCGGGTCAGGTCTTTTGACGACATTTGAGACCACTACCGGCCATGAGAAGTGGATTGGATATCAAGTCATATACGGGTTTGGGGTTGGCCTTGGCATGCAACAAGCTCTCATCACCGTCCAGACCGTTCTCCCTTTGAAGGATGTGCCAACTGGGACTGCGATGGTCATGTTTATGCAAACATTTGGCGGCGCCCTGTTTGTCTCGGTTGCCCAAAACATCTTTAACAACCGACTCATGTCAGAAATCCCCAAACTCGCCCCGGGGATCGATCCAGCCATTATCTTGCACGTTGGCGCGACGAGTCTCAAGGAACAGATCCCAAAAGCGGCCTTGGCTGGGGTACAGACGGCGTACAATACCTCGTTGACGCAGACATGGTATATTGCCGTGGCGATGACTTGTCTGCAGCTCATAGGGGCTGTATTTGTCGAGTGGAAGAGTGTCAGGGGCATGCAGCCTGGAGGTATAGCCGCATAGGGACACTGACGAAGCCATACGCTTGAGTTTTTTGTTGAGCATTTTTGCCGGGAGTTGGTGGCGATCTCATGCTGGCGATTTGCATGTCGTGCATCTATCTCCAATGTTTGAGGAGATGCATTGGAAAAGCGAGCAGTTGACCACTGCAAGGTCTTGGATATGGTCCTATGGTGATTGATGCTCACGATATGGGGTGTCGTGAATCCCACTATTTCACGACTGGATAGACTAGACATACATGTTTGTCGGGACAGGAAGACGTCCTTGCTCTTCAATCTTGAAAAGTTGACCACCATGCTGAGATCTTTCCACTTCTTAGAAATCGAGCATATATTGAACAAATTCCTCATGTCCAAGAATTCGCCTTGCGTGTTCACAGCGAGTATACTTCTTAAGAGGCATGCTCGCCATCACCTCTGTCACCGTGGCTGATTCCTTCCATGCTCGACTCAGGGATGCCTCGTGTGAGGGGCGGAGGAAATCGAGACGGTAGTTCAGGTTGCGTTCTGTTGCCTCAACCACTCGTGGTCCATGTTCCTGTCGAACGGGCAGGTCATCCATGTACGTTCGTCCGCAGACCTCTTGTCTCCTCGAGCAACGTCCACCCGCGCTGGCGTCTAAAACGGCGTGCGATATTGTTCCTGACCGTGTCCATCGCCATCACCATCGCCATCTCCGTGGTCTTTGACTGTGACTCCGCCCCGACATCACTCTCGGTCCTCGATCCCAATCTCGGCGCGGTCAATGCTCGCCTATTAGCCAGCCAACCAGCCATCCCTGAAACCGTGTACTCGCATCGATTGATGTGGTTGGATACTGTTTCCTTATCGCGTCGTATCCTGAATCAGCGTCGTCGTCGTCGGGTTGACTTGGATGATTTGGTATTCGAGATGCCAATTCCTTCAAATGGGTACAGAATGTGGCCATCTCCATTCGCCCTCCTCAAACATCCTTGGATCTCCTTCCCTGGTTTTAGCTTTAGCTTTACTTCTCAGGCAGATCTTTTCGGGGTTTTACATTGCTAGAACTTACCATCCATACTATAGCTTGGACTCAATGCCCACTCATGGAAAGACGAATCATCCTTTCCCATTTCCTTCCTGGCAATCTTTTAAGTCATTTCCTCCTCCGAGAGCTGAGTTCTTTTGACATGGCCCATCTCGAGTGGGATTTCATTTCTTGTGCAGACCAGGCACGTACACATGGCGGAGGTAGATGCCGTAGATGCTCAGGAAGACGGACACGACGCCCGAGTACCAGATGGAGACGCAGATGAACATCTTTCCCGGTGGCTATCCTTGTTTTTCTCCGAGGTCTTTGAAGAAATGATAGAAAGTCAAAATGGCTAAGAGGGATAGAGACGCAGTGAATGGAAGAGGTAAAGAAAGAGATTGAATGAGTGGGTGAGTGAGTGGGAGGGAGGGTAAAACCAATGACTTATACTATATTGATCACACTCTTGTGAAGGGGATAGAGAGAGGGATAAATCGAGGAAAGAAGCCCTTTATAAATTGCAGAATAACGCTGATGGTGATGATGATGATGACTGAAAATAAATGAAACGCGATCAAAATTCCTCCCTCCATGGACCCATATAGACCCTCCCCCCCCCTTTTTTTTAATTCTCTCGTACGGGGTTCATAGCTTACCTAGCCTACCAACCGTCGGTTTATCCACAACACAATTTATGAGGAACCACGGAGCTTTGCATTACTCGTTCCAGCACACACTCCCCCCGTCTGGAGTGCAGTGCGAGAGATCAAACGGGTGGGTTGGTGGGGGAATGAGTGGATATTCGTGCGAGAGAGAGGTCGGCCTCGGCGTCCTAAATACGAGTAATATTAACGGACGACGGGTACGACGGTTGGGTACATACCCAGGCTGCCAGGCAACCGTGGCACCTACCTACATACTTGAGATGAGTACTTCGTGTACAAGTGTGTCTGGGAGAGTTTGCTCGTGCTGGCACCACTCACGGCATCGAGACAGTCACCGTTGATCGCCATGGCCATCAGCTTGTAAATCAGTCATGGTAAGGATGACCGCTTAGGTAAACATGCAAATAGGACCTCTACAAGTGGTATAGTCCATCGACGTGTGTGCCCCAGCTATGCTCTCTGGTTGGTGGTGGTTAACTCGTGCCTGGTATGGAAGACCTGGTAATGTTTTGTTCAGATGCACAGTTGGCGCCCGGATCCGACGCCCTTCCGCGGTCCGGATCCAGTCATTTCATTACGAGCAATGCAAAGTCGCGGATGAAATGGACCTGTGCTTTCATGGGGGGATCGAAGTGATCGAATTCGATCGAAATTTTTGATTGATTGATTGATTGCTCAGAACTTTTTTTCTTTTTGCCGAGGAGGATCAAGAGGATCCAATCTCGCTCGGCACGTCGGGAACAAGAACTCCACGCGAAACGAAATCACAAGCACGATCGGGCCCCGAGCCAGCCGGGATAGGGGGGTCAAATCAGAGGGCACTCATACTTGTAGATCCTCTTTGACGTTTCATGGGTGTTTCTCATCTACAAGTACAGGTATGTGAAACTAGTAATTGGTCAGGCACTCGGTTTTCGGAAGCCGAGTCTGACATATATACCGAGTTGATGCGCGATATATAAATACCGTGCATGCATGCATGGCACAAGGCTTGGGAACGGATGTCAAGTCCGTGACCCTTGTCGCGCTTTGTCGCCTTGTCTCTGACCTTTAAGTACCTACCTGCTCGTATGTACTATTGGGGATATCTTCATCGCGTCCTCGGTGCCTCTACCAGTGTTTTTGTTCCAGAGTACAAGCTCAGGCGGCATCGAGGCCGATGGCAAGCCAGAGTGAGCTGGAAATGCTTCCAGAAACATGCAAGTACGAGTACTTCAGGTATGTCTAGCACAACTCCTACTCTTGTGTAAGTTCAGCAAATTGTATTAGTCACACAGCTTCTATTGTCTGGATATATTCTCCTCCGGTGCTTGAGCCAATCAGAGGCACGTATGATATGGGTGGGTCAGACAGCCAGCTACAACCAATCAGGTGCCGTCAAAGACTGTGTATCAGTACCTCGTACTCGCATCAAGTTCGAGGCTGATAACGATCCGATATAATCCTCATATCAAAACCACTCACTTTGGTCAAGACCTTGGCATCTGGCTCACCTCTGTGGTCAGCATCGTCTCATCTTGTGAAGGTTGGGGTATAACAATACTAACGTGCAGCTGGTCACCCCTCCAATATTGGTCCAGGAACCTCGGTTCTCAGTTGACACACCAACAATAAACAACCCACAGAAAGATAACAGCTTCGCCCATCTCGCCATCTCGCCATGCCAAAAGATGCCGAGAAAGACGACGGGCTGTTGGACTTGTAGAGCGCGCAAGAAACGGTGTGACGACAGTCGCCCCTGCTGTTCTTCTTGTACATTGCGTGCCATAACCTGCTACGGGTATGGCGAGAAACCACAATGGATGGATGGTGGCGACACCGAGAAGGCCGTCATGGAAAACATCAGACGTCAGACAAAGGAGAGTTACCGACGAAGACGCTCTCGAGGAGGCTCCGGCGCCGCCGCCAAATCTCGCCACGCGAGGCGCGAACTGGCCCCGAGCACGTCCAAGTCCATCTCGACCTCGCCCTCCTCGCCTTTGCGTCCGCTAGGAGGAACCACAAATTCGTCACCTTCATCTGTTTGGCCGCAGGATAAACTTACGCCGTCGGACCATAGCACCGATCTTGCTCAGCGTCCCCAAAGCTCGATTTGGGCCACAGGTCAGGACACGCTCGGCGCATACCTTGTTGCACGCCTCGCGAGAACTGAACCGCAGAGTCCAAACTCGTTCGACCCGCTGGTGGCCGCGGACCGCAATTACTCCGTCCCTACCTCACCAAACACGTCCCTGGGCACCTCTTCTCTCCCATTCGACGTACAAGAGATCAACCTAGTCATGTACTACCTCGACCACATATTCCCCCGACTGTCCCCTTACTTCCAATACTACGCGGGAGACACCGGCCGAGGCTGGCTTCTCAACCTCTTCCTGCGGAATAAGCCACTGTGCAACGCTGCCGTCTGTCTGAGTGCGTGCGACAAGGCCCAATTCGTGCTGGGACCCTTGAGCGACATTCCGCAGCCGTACCATGAACTGGAAATGCAGCATCTGCGGAGCGTGGCAGACCTGCGCGACCATCTCGACCAGGTGTCCAAGAAGACGGGGGCCAGTCAGGTGGCGGCAGGCGTCGAGGCGCTGGCTTGTATCATACATATGATTTTCTTCGAGGTTGGTTTCAACTCACCGTTATTACTCTACATGAGTCTGTGCACAAAACTGACTAGTTTTCAGCTTTGGATTCCACGAAAAGGTCTCATGAACGACTGGGTCATGCATCTGGACGCAGCCAGCGCGCTGTTATCCTCGCTTGACTCGTCACCATCGCTGATGTCTGAAACATCCCCTGTTTCCGACATCTCGCACAGTCACGAATACTTGTCGCCGTCGCAATGCAACATCCCGACCGAGCTCCTCTCCGAAGGCGAAAAGCTGGCCTTTGACTTTTTCCTCGACTTCTACATCTCCTGCTTCATCACCGCTGTCGCGACCCTGGGCCTCACGCCGCAATCTGCGCAGTCGATCCGGAGAGTGCGCGCGTTGTGCGATCAAAACCCGACGAGGCTGTGGGACCGACGCGGGTGCGACGACACGGTCATGCTCACGCTCCTCGACATCGCCATCCTCAAGGACTGGAGACAGAGAAAATCTCGCAGTGGGACACTCAGTCTGCGAGAATTGACCCGCCGCGCGGAGCCGATCGAGAGTCTACTTCACGAGGGCGTGGCCAAGTTCGCCGCTACCGCCAGTCCACAATCCCCGGCCCCCGCGAGATTCTCATCCTGCATGGACGAAGAAAAGCGCATGGTCACAAACATCTACGTCAACGCGGCGCTGGTGTTCCTGCACGTCGTCGTGTCGGGCTTCCACCCCAACATCCCCGAGATCCGCCAGGGGGTGCTCCGCACGCTCGACGCCCTCGAGTACATGCGCGAGCACTCGTCGCACAATTTCCCCTCGTGGCCCTACTGCGTCGCGGGCTGTCTGGCCCTCGAGTCCGAGTATCCCCGGTTCCGGGCCCTGGTGCCGCCGAACGAACAGGGCAAACACCCGCTGGTGCTGTCGATCTGGACGCTGGAGATCATCGAGGAGTGCTGGAGGATTCGGGCGGCGCAGAAGCGGCAGCACCTAGAAGGGGGGGAGGAGTCTTGTGATTGGGTAGCGGCGATGAATCACCTGGGGACTCGACTTCTCCTTATATAAAACCCCGATCAACCTATCGAAGAAGGGGGAAACAAGGCGCCAGTGTTGCAATCAGTTAAAAAAAAAAAAGGGACTAACGTTGCAATCCCAAAAACAGGGGATCATTGTTGCAATAAATACAAATACTCATGAGCTCTTTTGCTTGACAGCCAATGCTGTGGAAATCAGCTCCACCAACCCGAGGATCTTCTCTTCCTGCAGTCTGCGACCCACCAATTGCAAGCCTACCGGTGTGCCCTGCTGGACTTCTGGGTCGTCTGTTCGCGCGTGAGGAAGAGTTAGCACAAAACTTCTCCTGATTGTGGACAATCCATAATGTCTAGGGTCCAGGGCCAACAGCCACACCGCCATGCAGACAAGCTCATCATAACTTACATTGTTCCCAGACTGTCTTGTCCAGGTCATTCATGGGCTTATAGTCCTTGTCGAACGTGTCGATCGTCTTGTCGACTTTGGTGACGGGGAAGACGACGGATGTGTAGTCGAGGGTGTTTACCCAGGGCGTATAGCCTATATGGGAGTCGGCGGTGGCATCAGCGATCCAAGTTCCCGAGACACGGCCAAGAAAGAAGGACAAGGGGCAAGAAAAATGGAAGACTGAGACCAAGGAATGAACATGACGTACCGATCGGCATGGCCTTTTCAAACTGGAGCGCCGCGAACGGCGCAACGGGCGTCAAAATCGCGTCCACCGGTCTACCCGACTGTGTCGACGCCGCGGTGCTGTTCCAGTAGTCCATGTATTCCTTCTGGTACTCGCGGACCCGCAGGTTCAGGTCCCAGACCTTGTCGACCGTCTTGGGCGTCCCGGCCTTTTCGCCGTAAAACTCGCGGACGCGGTCCTGGAGCGGTTCGCCCGAGAGTCCGATGTGGTGCCATATGTCGAGGCCGGCGTCGGCGGTGAAGGCTTCGAACTGTTTGCGGCGTTGTCAGACTTTGGGTCATGAGATGAGATCTTGCACACATACAGAGAGAGAAAGAGAAAGAGAGAAAAGGCAAGGCGAACTAAGAACTTACGGCAAGTTCGACGCCCTTCTTGTGCGACGGCGGGTTCCAGTCCACGACGTCGTGGCCCATTTCGAGAATGAGCGCTTTGACAGTCTCAAAGGCCCTGCGCACGCCAGGCTGGGGATTCACGATGCCGTCGCTGGGCAGCAGCCCAAACGTGAGTTTGCTCCCGTCCGCGGGGAGCGGCGCGCACAGCTCATCCCTCCAGGGCATCTCCACCACGGCCGGATCGTGCAGCCAGGGTTGTTGGCTCATGATCGATCGGAGCATCAACTTCAATGACCCCGCGGAAGAGGAGATCGGGCCGCAGACGGAAGGGATGGTGTTCTGGCCCGGCATGCTGTTCGCGGCGCCCGCGTATGGCAGGCGACCAAAGGATGGTCTGATGCCGTAGAGACCATTGAAGGCAGAGGGGATTCTGGAGATTGAGGTCAGATGAGGTGCGCTCAGAGAATCAGGGGAACTTCTCCGATGCATCGCAGAATGAACATGTCGGGGAGCATCGAGCTCACTCACCTGATACTGCCCCCAATATCTGTCCCGAACCCGATCGGGCTTCCGCGCATACCGACCAGAGCCCCCTCGCCACCCGAGCTACCACCACAGCTCATGAGACGATTGTGTGGGTTCAAGGTGAACCCGACGATGTTGTTCCACGTCAACCCGCTCATGACGGTGTGTGGGAGACTGGTCTTGCAAAAGGGCACGGCGCCTAGGGCTTTGGCCTCGCGGACCAGTTCGCTGTCGGTGTTCCTCTCCTTGCCCGTGCCCGTGACGCCTTCGAAGGTGTCGATCCACCCGACGTAGCCCATGGTCGTCTCGACGCCCTTGACGTGGAATTGGTCCTTGAAACTGACGGGGAGGCCGTGCAGCGGGCCCGTGGGACCGTTGGCGGCAGCGAAGGCAGCATCGAGTTCTTTGGCTTGCTCGATGGCTAGGTCGAAGAAGATCTCGTGCAGGCAGTTGGTCTGTTCGACGGGGACTTAGTAAACCGCGCCGCCCAGATGTGTATATATACAGCAAAAGCAAGGGGATACCAACCAACTGATGCGCCAACGCCGCTCGATGGCAAAAGGCCGTGACAACCTCGACGGCCGTCCACTTCCCCGTGGTGGTATGTTCTGTGATCCGCACCGCGTCGCTCTCAGTGATCTCGATTTCTCGAGGAGACAGAAACTGCTGCACATAAGCGCCCGTAACGTCCTTTTGTTCGGCAGGCGAGGGGAGAGGGGACGCAAGTCGCCATTCCGGCGGGATGGCGGCGAGGGTGGATTCTCGCTTCTTTTGCGCGCGTTCCTGCCAGGTCGAGAGCGAGCCCATGGTGATGACAAGAGAGAGATGAGAGTGTCGAGGAGATACTCGAGAGATGAGAGATGAGAGATGAGAGGCGATGGGTTGGGTTGGGTCGGTAAGAATGCAACATATTATATTCCATCATACTCTATCACATCGTATTATATTGATTTATTTTGTTTGTTTTGTTTCCTCGGTCTGCATCTGGGTGACCCCCTCATCCAACCATCAATCTATCCATGTTTGGTCTCGTCTCGTCTTGTCTAGTAGGACTCACAATTCCGCTCTGTCGCCTGTCGCCTGTCGCGCGCGCATTGCAGGAGGAGATGAGCGCGGTAGAACGAGTGGCGGATACATTGGCCGTGGTTGGGGACGAAAGCGCACCTCATCTCCCTCCCTCTCTGCGTGTCTTGGGTAGATAGACCAGCTCGGACGAAATGGACTCGGTATGCTTAATAATTATTGCCGTCTGCGCCATGGTGGCGCATGTACGAGGTAGAGATACGAAGATCGGAGAGCGCGATATCCCCCAGGGTTTCAGTCTGGAGCCAATGAGATGCGAATAAACGACTCGACCAAGTATCCAACGGCGGGAAACAGGGGTAGACGTAGGCGCAGTTGAATTCAATGGCGGCTACCTTTCACTGGACTCGGTACATACATCCAACCTGTCTATCTATCGATGTACCAAGGTACTAGGCTAGTTCTATCTATTCCCATTCCCCCCCCCCCATCCCGTCTCTATTGATCCTGTCGCAGTCGATCGACGGCTAGACTTGCGCCTCGCATACAAGGAGATATCCGTTATGGCCTTACCGTCTTTCTCGAGATTCTGTTTCTGGATCTCGCCACAAAAGAACCGAGTGTATCTCTCGAATATCATATCTCTTATCTTGCACGGTCCAGAGAGTGCTGCCTGCAGGATCGGATCAACCTTTCCAAGCCTGAGAGACCCCGTCCCATTGGGGGTTTCCTTATCTCTCGCATCATCCACGAGCGAACAGACGAGCAGATGGAGATGGGGAAGGATATAAAAATGGGCGACGCAAAGGTCGACCCCCTGCGGCGTCCATCTCGCTCCTCGCCATCACCAATACCGAATCCAAACCTCCTTCCACGGTGCTGCATTTCTTGTCTGAATACCAAACCTCAACCTCCTCATCGGTCGCCATGTCGACGTACTCGGTCGGACCAGAGCTCAAGGTGCTCAGCCCCGGCGTGGGCTACGGCATCATCGCAGGCATCGGCGCCGTCTTCACGCTGGTCATGATCCTGACCGCCAAGTTCCAGAACCGGTACTTTGCCTTCTCGACAAAGCAGTCAGAAGAATTCAACACGGCATCGCGGAACGTCAAACCGGGCCTCATTGTCGCGGGCATCGTCTCTGCTTGGACCTGGTCGGCGACGCTGCTCACCAGTTCCACCTTTGCCTACTCCTTCGGCATCTCGGGGCCCATGTGGTACGCCGCTCTCGGGTCGTCGCAGGTCATCTTGTTCGCCTTGCTCTCCCTCAGGGTCAAAAGAGACGTTCCGGGGGCACATACGTTTCCGGAGATTGTGCTGTCTCGCCACGGCAAAGGTTGGTTTGGTCGTTCAATTGGTTGTTTCAGCATTGCTGACGCGGCTGGCCAGTGGCTCATGGCATTTACACCTTCTTCGGATGGGTCGTCAACATGTGTAAGTCCTTCCTGTGTTATTTCCGATGACACACTCTTTGACACGGTGGACCACAGTCGTCGGCGCAACGCTCGTGCTCGGAGGATCTCAAGTGCTGGCAGGGCTCTCTGGCGTCAATGTCTATGCGGCCTGTTTCATCGTAGGCAATCAATCCTGCAACTCCCAAACCGAACCGCGAGGCATGAAATACTCACCACCGCGCAGATCCCCCTCGCCGTCGCCGCCTACGTGATCCAAGGCGGCCTCCGCAGCACCTTCGTAGCCGACTACCTGCACACGGTGATCCTGTTCGTGGCCATCTTCATCTTCGCCTTCACGCTCTACACCTCGGACGACTACACGGGCAGTCCCGGCCGAGTGTACGACCTCCTGGTCGAGGCCGGGAAGCAGACTCCCCTTACGGGAAACCGCCATGGCTCGTGGCTCACGTTCCAGTCGTCGACGGGCATCAAGTTCGCCGCCGTCATCTTCCTCGGCAGCTTCTCGACTGTCTGGCTGGACCAGGCGTATTGGCAGCGTGCGATTGCCTCGAAGCCCGAGACGAGTGTCCAGGCGTATCTGCTCGGTGGGGTGAGTCTCATGTTTTTCTCCCCTCGTCTTCGGCCATTGTTCCCCCCACCCTCTGTGATTCACAGATTACCCCGTGTCGTCTTGTAACAAAGGAATTTTCATTGTGTGTAGACTAACTCTCAATAGCTGGCGTGGTACGGCATCCCATTCGGATTCGCCACGGTCATGGGCCTAGGTGCCGTCGCCTTGACCGGATCGCCGTCCTTCCCTACCTACCCGAACCCTCTCAACGCGGCCCAAGTCGGCGGGGGCTTCGCTGCACCGGCGACGGCGATCGCGCTGATGGGCAAAAACGGCGCGGCACTGATGCTGCTGCTCCTATTCATGGCCGTTACGTCTGCCGCGTCGGCGGAACTGATCGCCGTGTCGTCGCTGTGGACGTTTGACGTGTACAAGCTGTACATCAACCCGTCGGCATCGTCGACCAAGCTGGTCAGACAGGCGCACTACGGCATCGTGGGCTATTCGCTGATCCTGTCGGCGTTCTGCTGCGCCCTGAGCGCCAGCGGTGTCGACATCACCTGGATTCTGACCGTGGGGGGCGTCCTCGTCGGAGGCGGCGGCATTCCTCTGGGGCTGATCGTCTTGTTCCCTTCATGGGTATCGACGCCCGCCGCGATTGGCGCGCCGCTGATCGCCTCACCCCTCGGCCTGACCGCGTGGTTTGTCACGACACACATCCGCTCTGGGACTATCACGGCCGTGACCACGGGCGACCTGACAAACGCCCTGGTCGGCAGCTCTGTGGCGTGCGGTATCGGTGCCGTCGTGGCCGTGATCTTCTCCTTCCTCTTCCCGTACAAGTACACCTCGACGGACCCGGCCCATATCGCCCGCGTGCAGAAGATCCAGGGAACCGCAGCCCTGCACGGTCGCGAGGTGCTGACTGAGCTCGACACCAGCGGCGGCATGGCCACCCCGGCAGTCGGGGACGAGAAATCACACGCAAGCGAGGCCAAGGCTGTCGCTGGAGTCGTCTCCGAACAACCACAGGCACCATCGACCACAATCGCGCAGGACAAGGACCAGGACCACATAGATATCTCCCAAGCCCCTGGCGTCTCTAGTTCTCCCGGATCCATCGACGCCGGCGCCGCCACCGGCAACGAGATCGTCGACTACCTGCTCACGAACCACATCGAGCCGCTCGACCTGCAGGCCTACCGCCGCGCCCGCCGCCTCGCCTACTGGGGGTGCGGCGTATTCTTTGTGTTAGCCATCGTGTTATTCCCCTTCACCTTCTTCGGAACGGGCTATATCTTCACCAAAGCCGCCTTCACGGGCTGGGTCGTGGTCAGCTTCATCTGGGTGTTTTTCAGCGCCATCGCCTGCATCTTTTGGCCGCTGCTGGAAAGTTATCCCACGTTGCGGGATATGGTGGGCATGTTGGTCCGTGATACGTTTGGGAAGGAGGGAAAGGGTAGTGGTAGTGGTGGTAGTGAGGGTGAGGGTGAGGGTGATCACGAAAATCAAGGGCCGGTGTCTGGTGCGCGCGAACACGGTTCGCCAGTTTAAAAGCAAGGATTTTGTATCGTGTTGAGTGAGGGGGCTGTGATGTGCTTTGCTGTGCTCCAGACAGAACATCTGCGGTGTCGATCGAGGGGAGACGGGCATAGACTCGATTCGATAAGATGGATACAAAAGTCGTCTTGAGTCAGAGTGGACGGAGGGCGCGAACTCGCTCATTCACTCACTCACTCAATCAGTAAAAACAGATAGAAGAGATGATGAGATGATATAAAAGTGAAAATTTTCAAGAGAGCAGACAAGTTGCCTTTTACCGAATCTCAATCTTCTCACACTAGATTTCGGTTTCTCAACAGAACCAGTCTCAAAGCAACGAAAATCAAACAAAACAGGACGGTGTCTTCCACTCGAGTCTGTTTGCATATGTAAAGTGTTCCTGTACTCCGCTTCGCTTCGTGCTTGACTTCAAAGAGATGGATATCAAGGTTCTGAGCGTATGAAAATGTATCTGCTAGATGAGATCAAATGCCCAACTAGAGGAAAGGGTTACATTCTCGCAAATTGCTCCGGCATCCTGGAAACCGACTTTACAGGAACGAACGCGTCAGATGGGACCACATCACTCCTACTCTTGCGCTCGGGCGCCGCCTCGTCCGCGATGTGTCGTCTCATGTCGTACAGGTTCATCTCGTCAATGGTCAATTTGCCCGTCGCGACCGCCGCCTTGTACCCGATCTTCTGGCTGGAGAAGCCGATGCGCTCGTTGATGTTCTCGCGCGCCCGGGCGCTAGCGGCCTGCACTTTCGTGGCCCGTGGTTTCCGAATCCACTCGTACAGGGCAAGGCCAGCTGCGACGTCCGAGGTGTAAGTATATTCAGGGCCGAAGATGATGCCCAGCGCGGCGGCATCTTCAATCGCCTGGCACGCCCCCTGGCTCTGATCCGGGAGCATCGGGTGCGCAGCGTCACCGAGGACGCATGTCCGGCCGATCGTCCAGTGCGGGTAGGGTTCGTGCACGAACAGGCGCCACGGCTTGATGTCTTTTGAGTGTCGGAATAACGCCAGCAGTCTCTCGTCCAGGTCAGGAAACGGGGCGAGCAGTTCCTCCACGCTGGCTTCGTGGTTCCACCCCTCGGATGCGTGGTCGGACTTTGATGTCGGAAAGAAGCAGTAAAAGCTGTTGATTTCCCCAGAACGACACGGTGAGTAGACAATCTTTTCAATTCCCACACCGCCCCAGAATTCAATGGCACAGTTGCGCGTCAAATCGAGGAGGCCAAGCCGAGATACTTTGCTGGTTTCGATCACGCAGCGGTAGCAGGTCGAGGTGGATTGTTTGCGGGTCGGGATTATTCCTAAGGTACGCCTCACAGCAGACTGTTGATGATGTTAGAGTTGCTGAGGGTTGCCGTATAAGAGGAAGCAAAGTGAACTCACTCCGATCCCGTCCGCTCCCACAATCATGTCGTGCTGTGCAACAAGTCCGTTTTCAAACGTCACGATCCCCTGCTCGTGATCAATTTCCTTGCACTTGTGATCCAACCGCAGCTTCGCTGGAGTCCCTTCGCCACGGCCAGTGGCTGAATCCATGAGCATCTCGTGCATATTCACGCGGTGAAACATGTTGTAGACCTGTAGAGAATTCAGTAACTCAGATCCGCTTTCTACAGACCGCCAGACAAAACACTCACCCATCCCCATTGATCCTTGTAGTCTGAAAGGTCATAGACACTCTGTACCTCGCCAGTCTTCCAGTCGTGGCGGATCAGTTTCTGCAACACCACTGTCTTGCCGATAGAAATGTCGACGTTCCATTCTTCCAGCCACCGTGTGCCATTGGCAGCACAACTAATCGAGGCCCCGACTTCTCCAGCAAAGTGGGCTTGCTCATAGATAGTCACGCTGTGACCCGCTCGACGGAGTGATGTTGCTGCTGCTAGACCACCTTGCTTGTGTTAGAATAGATCTGAGGAACCCTGATTTCTTGGTCTTGCTGCACTTACCAATGCCGCCACCGATAACAGCCACATCTAAAGGTTTCCAGCCCCTTGCCATGAGTTCCTATAGTAGATGACGTTTGTATTTTGTACAATGTCACACGACTTCCTTATCGAATTTGAGAAGTTAAGAGGCTCGTTATTGACCCCTTTTTGAAGTATACCAATGGAGCGCTGTCAGGTATATCAAGTACCTTGTCTCCCATGCCTGGTCATTAAAATAGATGGATTCTTTTGCCGATGCACTGATAACAACCCAAGACATTTCCCTTGGGACGCCTCATTCATTGGCATACTCGTTCCACAGGGTGCCTTGAACATGGTAACAATGCTTGATTGGGAAGAACAAATTGCCGATGCTCGCTTGATATCGCAACAAAGTTGTCTTTTGGCGGCCTCTCAGGTGAGAATTTGGGCGTCCTACCAAGCAACTGGGATCGCGATTCGTCCCATTGTCGGGTAATGCACCAGTGCGCTGCCCGCCAACCGCGGATCAGTGAACCATTGGCTGGGTCTGACGTCCTGCTGCAACATCCCGCCATGACCAAAGCAAAGAGAAGATGACTATGTTATGCCAGACGTAGACTATCCGTCGGCTACGGGTGTGGAATTGGAGAAGTGTAGCATGAGGAGTTGACGTTCGATGAACTGTTCGAGTGGAGTTGACGCCGGGGGTTTTCCGTGCGATACACGCATCAGCATCTCGACAGCGTTGATTCCAGCAGGAATCTCTCCTGTGAAGTGAGCTCAAGTGTCCTTATAAAGGGCAAATAAGCCGTCTGTATAGGAAAGGTCATTGCGTTCAAAGTCTACTCAACGCCAAAATGCTCGGTAAAGTAATTCTCGAAGAAGCATTCGCTCTGCCCCGGTTTGCGGAGAGGACGAGATGGTGGGCATCGATGTTCGCCGTGAATCCAGACAAGCATGCTCGGGAGATGACCGACATCAACGACATCCGGATCCAATACATGGACAAATATGACGTGGGATACCAGATTCTCTCGTATACGGCTCCTGGAGTCCAGGACGTTTTTGACCGGAAGGAAGCAGAAGCGCTGGCGACCGAGATCAATGACTACCTCGCATCAACGATCAAGGCTCACCCAGACAGGTTTGGGGCATTTGCGTTCGTCTATCCTCTCATTGTGTATGAGCAGATGCTAACTCACCTCCCTAGATCACTGTCAATGCATGATCCGCAGCAGGCAGCACAAGAGCTTCGACGTTGTATCACTCAGTATGGATTCAAGGGGGCACTAGTGAACGACACTCAACGCACAGGCCCTGATGGAGACGATATGATCTTTTACGACTCGGCGGATTGGGATGTATTCTGGTCCACGGTGACTGAACTGGATGTTCCCTTTTACCTGCACCCTCGCAATCCCACTGGAACCATGTATGAGAAGCTCTGGGCAGCCAGGAAATGGCTGGTCGGGCCTCCTCTGAGTTTTGCTCAGGGAGTCAGTCTTCACCTCCTGGGGATGGTGACGAACGGTATCTTTGACCGACACCCCAAGCTCCAGGTGGTCATCGGGCACCTGGGCGAGCACCTCCCTTTCGACCTCTGGCGTATCAACCATTGGTTTGAAGATATCAAGAAGCCTCTGGGCCTGAAGGAGACGTGTAAGAAGACGATCCGCGAATATTTTGCCCAGAATATTTGGATCACCACCAGCGGCCACTTCTCGACACCGACGCTTCACTTCTGTCTGAACGAGGTCGGCGCTGATCGCATCCTATTTTCGGTCGACTATCCTTTTGAGAAGTTTGAGGATGCGTGCGAGTGGTACGACAATGCTGAGATCAATGAGGTGGACAGGAGAAAGATTGGCAAGGACAATGCGAGGAAGTTGTTCAAGTTGCCAGCTTTCAAGGACTGCGATATGTGATGTCGCGCCTGCGCATGGTATGGGGTGCAGTCTGGTGGATCCAACCCACGTTGGTATCCCTGAGGCTTCGAGTCCCGTAGCTCTTAACTACGATAGGTGACCAGGGTCTTGCTCTAGGCGGTATCCACCCCCACAGTAGCCTTATCATGCCCATCCTTTAACTAGAACAACTTCTGTGGACCCCGCCTCGCTCGCCTAGACCACTGGTCGGCTTGCTTATCTACGTCAACTCCACCACAATAATGACTCCCTCGTCCTAATCTCCAGATCCTAATATCAATGTATGTTCGTGTTCCGCGCTCGTTAGCTACAACATGAACACAAATGCCTCGCCCCAAGGTTCGTCCCGAAGATCGACAGCGGTCTGCCAAAGCATGTCTGCCTTGTAAGGCCTCAAAGAAACGCTGTAACGCTCAACAACCATGCTCCAACTGTGTCAGACGAAGAACGCCGTCGTCCTGTCGTTATATCGAGCCCGGTCATGCCAGACATCTGGTGCCGCAGAGTCGGGATACTCAGCCGCAGGTCCTTAGGAAACCAGGAGATGAGTCCAGCCGGGTTGTGAGCACGTCGCGCTACGGCAATTCAACAGTCAGCGAAGTGTCGACACAAATCCCCGGTGCCACCGATTCAGCTTCGCCCGCGGTGTCGGCATCAACTCCCCAGAAGCTCACGGGAGGCCGTATGCTGCTGAATTCCAGAGGAGAGAAAGGTAAAGGTTCACGTTCTTGTCACTGGGAGATTTCCGAGCACTGAAACGCAGGCGGTCTAGTCTACATCGGAGGGTTCGCCTCGCTATCATTTCTACAATTCCTTCGACGGACGATCAGGCAGCAGATGGGGCCCTCCCTATTTACCGAGAACACCCGCCGCCATGTAATGCTCGAGGCCACCAATCTAGAGGATACAAATCACAACTTTGTCGAAGATGAAGACCAGAAACGAGCCATGATAGATGTCTACTTTGCCGCTGTAAGTTGCGCCTAGGTGGTTCACGAAGGAGATCACTCACAGTAACAGACAAACGGCATCGTGGATCTATTTTCTCGAGAAGAGGTTGAAGCATACTCGACAATAGTGAACACTCCAAACATCGAAAAACGCGAGTATATGACGGCTGCACTCGACCTCATCGTTGCTATTGGGGCGCAATGCCGGGCGGCAGATCAATCCGACCGCCAATATGCCGTCAGACTCTTTTCCAGAGCCCAAAAAATTGCTCTCGCCAGCGGACTCGAGGACCCTTGTCTTGACATGGTCCGTTGCTTCCTGCTCATGACCTTCTACATGTTGGGCGCCTGTCGAAGAAACGCTGCATTCATGTACATGGGAATTGCCAGTCAAGCCGCCTCTGCGCTCGGTCTCCATGTCACCGAGCAATATCGCCACTTCAATGTTTCAGACCAAAACGTGCGGTAAGTTAGCATCTTCTACTCTTGAGCCCTTGACTGGCTAACTCAGGTAGGCTTCGCACCCTAAAAACCCTTCGAGTCTTGGATGTGATGTATTGTTCGATTCTCGGAAGACCTTATTCGACGGGGGCAATCAGGACCGACCGTGTCGCACTGAACAATATCGACATCCGCACGAGCAGTCCCCGCGAAGTCACATTGAATGCAAGTTTCCGAGTCTGCACGATCATCGCAGACATTACACAGCGGCTTGATTGTGACGGATCCATTAGTCTGGGTGCCGCCCAAGAGTTCCTCAAACGCCTCCAAGAGTGGAGCCTCAGTCTTCCCGATGATATGCGACAGTTTAAGAAGCCAATTGCCCAGCTCTTGACGCTGCCTGAGCAGGAACAAATGATCGGAAACATCCATGTCTCTTGCGTCTATTATTTTGCGGTGATGCTCGTCACCCGACCCTTCTTGATCTCACATCTGATGCATCAAATGACTGGGATCGCTGGCGAAGGGTCTGACACAATGGCCACATCCGGAACGCAGGCGGATGTGCTTGATGTGGCCCAGGCCTGCATTGACTCGGCGATGCTGATGGCCAACGTCTGCTACGAAGCCCTGCAATCTAGTATCCTACTCAAGCAGATGTGCATAATGAAGTAAGAAGCTGGTTCCTGCTTTCTGGGCGTGATTTGTGCTGACTTTCTAGGGCATGGGTCTTCGCCGCTGGTCTGGTTCTAGGATTCTCCATGTTCGCTTTGAGCGAATCGCGGTTCGACATGGACGACTCGTTCAACAACGCACGCGAGGTCCTCCGGCATCTGTCCCTTCAAAGCCCTCAGGCGGAACATTACTATGAGATCCTCAGCGGCTTCGCTGATGTCATCCTACGACATCGCCAACATCTCTCCCGCGAAAAGCGCCGGTTTAAGAACAAATATGTCGACCAGATCCTAACTTTGAATGTCAGTCCGAGTGCCGGCGGGTCGCAGTCGACCTCCTCTCCACGAACGCCACTGTCCACCGAACGCAACCTTGGAGTGGTAGACTCTGCGGTAGCAGGTGGAAGTGTAATAGGAGGAGGTGATGGCGGTCTCGGGAGTGAGTTTGATCTGAATGAGCAGCTGCAAATGACCGATTACGGCCAATGGCCTCTGGAAAACGGCGGTGGCTTCGACTTTGGCATGTTTGGCTGGGACAACTTTGCAATGCAAATCTCCGAGAACTTCTCCCTTGACAACGAGGCAGCCTGGGGCGTCACTTGAGGGACTGAGACTAACGGGCGCTGTTTTCCTTCCTGGAAGCTTTCAACAGACCTTGGTCATTCTCTCCAGGCATGAGCGCGACCATCGTCGGTCTCGATAGAGTTTCGTTCTGTTACATCATCACTGAAAGAGAGCTCAAATCTGAATTCAGCGGCCACCATGACCCTGCTATGAGCCAGTCCACTATATGAGGTGGTATCAGAGGCTGGCGTGGCGAAATGGTGGCAGACCAGAGGCACTTGCTCAAATGCAAAGAACAAAAAGCCTCCCTGGCGCGGCTATGAAACTCCCGGTATGGGCTTGTAAAGCCATCTCGCACCTATTCTCCGTTATGGTGTTGTGCGAGACCAAAGACCCGTCAGCATCGAGGATGAGACTGGAAATTATATACGCCTGCGCGATGGGCTTGACCTTGAGCAGCCTGGTTGCAGCTACCTCATCTACGAATACATTCCAGCCTGGGATGGTGATCTGCCCATGCGGACCGCAGCGAGGGGAATTGGTTGGTGCGCATGTGCAAGTACCAGTGCAGTAGGCGGAGAGGGGCATGAGAGGCCAGCTGGCTCTCAGGAACTAATACCCACACTTACTCAGCGACTGTGTTAGTTAAGCGGCACGATACCTAAACTGGGACAAGGTGTCCTTATTACTGATGAACCGCGGCCACAGCCGGTGCCATTCACAGTGCCAATGGCGGGGCATGGCGGCATGGCTGTCCCGCCAGTACGACTCAAGTCGCGTCCCATTGAAAGGCTCTTTCCCCCCTGCGCCATCGCGGTTGCGGCATCGTAGCTGGCCATAAAAAAGTTGAATGAAGTTACGGTGAAACTGTCCTCTACTCACTTGAAGGTGAAGCTGTCCTTTTCTCTTCCCTGACACTGTGTTGCTACCAGGGTATAAATACCTCCCAATCTCGACTGTCAATCACTGTCCTCTTCATCGACTCTTCACCGCCGCAACCATGGCTGAACTGTACCCCGACCTCAAGGACCGTCCTGTCAAGGAGACTATCTGCCTGTTCGATGTTGATGGAACTCTCACACCTGCAAGACAGTCTGCTTCTGCTGAGATGCTGAAGACCTTGTCCAAGCTCAGACACAAGTGCGCAATTGGGTTTGTACGTGAGCCCATTGACCAAGAGAGAGGACTGCCAACGGGATTAACACTCAACTAGGTTGGAGGCTCTGACCTTGCTAAACAACAAGAACAATTGGGCACCCCTTCTCTCCCTGTCACCACCCTGTTCGACTTCTGCTTCGCCGAGAATGGTCTCACAGCCTACCGTCTGGGCAAGCCGATGCCCTCCAACTCCTTCATCCAGTGGCTTGGGGAAGAGAAATACCAGAAGCTGGCCAAGTTCTGTTTGAGATACATTTCCGAGCTTGAGGGTCTTCCTCGCATGCGTGGAACGTTCATCGAATTCCGAAACGGCATGATCAACGTCAGCCCGGTTGGTCGTAATGCTAGCAAAGCAGAAAGAGACGAGTTTGAGGCCTGGGACAAAAAGAACAACTGCAGACCCAAGATGATTGAGGCTATTCAGAAGGAATTTCCCGACTTGGGACTGACGTACGGGCACTCCAAGGACAGCGCTCGTTTACCTGAAGCTGACACACTCTAGGTACTCGATCGGCGGACAAATCTCGTTCGACGTATTCCCCACGGGATGGGACAAGACATATTGCTTGCAGCACGTTGAAGCCGAGGCAGATCCTAGCAAGGGCTTGTCTGGAATCAAATACAAGAATATCCATTTCTTTGGTGACAAGGCGTTCAAGGGGGGCAATGATTGGGAAATCTATAGCGACCCTCGGACCATTGGTCACGCAGTCAAGGGGCCCGAGGATACCATGGCCCAGCTCAAGGAGCTCTTTGACCTCTGACTTGCAGCTCGCCTCTGAGCGACGGAGACGAGATCATACATTTCCTTCAGAGGTAGGAAGCGGATACTGAGAGCCTTTGGGGCTAGACGGATATGACGGGTCGGAAAATTGATTGAACGCTTCAGACGTTAGAGCCATAGACATGGTATGAGCCAGCGGACGGCTTGATATGAGCGAACGAATTAAGATGGATTTCCAATAAAATTGACTTGCTTTCGCAGTCCATTTCGTGGTACCAACTATGTCGAGCCAGTCCTTCTCTACAAATGTCTGTGGAATCATGTGAGAGCGAGACTTGAGTGATTATGTGTGTAAGGGAGTGTCCACCAGAGTCAGCCATGTCGTCCTTGTGCACATATACTTTAAATAGTCACTAATAGCCACAATTGCTTTCAGAGGCTCTTGGGCTGGGCTAGGCTATTCAATCAGGCCCAACCGACCCCAAAGCACTTGGGTGGCACTCAAGGCTCATTATTTTTCCCCATGAGAATGAATTGATATGTACCGGGTCCAGCCACAGGTGCGTCAAGGGTCGAGAGAGGCGAGAGGTAGGTGATTGATTCGATACAAGGGCAAATGTAGCGGGTACTTTGTAGAGGGACACAGTGGACCGCCCGACACGATTGATTTGGGGAAGAAAAAGGAAAGGAAAGCTGCAGTTGTGAGTTGTGATATAGCGCCGTCAAATTGTCATTATATCACGTGGTTGAATAACTGGACATTGCACAATTGTCCGCTCCCCAATATCCTCCAGTGCTGGCTTCTCATTACTCGTCACTCCTCCTCGTGACACCAGTACCGAGTAGATTGAGTGCTAAGGCAGCGTGGCAGTTTGAACCCGCGACATCCATCCATATCCGCGCCTGTCACAGTCTCGTTTCATCGGCATCGCTCATCCCAGCTCGGTTGGGTGCAGGTAAGGGTGTAGTTGAGGCTCATGCTCGCTTTCAGCCAGCCACTATCAACTGACATCTGAGACTTGAGACTCGAAATAACGAGATAGCGACCATCCGAGCGCGCCAAGGAAAAGGCAACTCGAAAGATCTCCAAGACTTGCGTCAATTGTGGCTTTGCACCGCCACTATCTACCTAGCCTCCCCTCCCAAGCGCGGACTTTTCTCAGCCAACCAAACACACGTTTCGACGCCTTTTCTAAACACGGAGCGGCCAACCAGCCAGCCAGCCACTGCAAGTCCTTACTTGGTGCCGAGGACGTGTATGTGAAAAAGAAGGATTGTATCATCCGAGTTGCATATCATAACCGAAGACAAGACAAGACAGGACGGGGTCTCATAGGCGCTGAAACCAATGCGAGCATCAGCAAGCCTACCTATCTCCCTATGTGTCTAGGAGTTGGTAACCAACCTGATCCTGGTCCTGGTCCTAGACGTTACGATCCTGACGCTGATGCTGATCCCAATCTTAATCCTGCTGGTCACAGGAACCCCGGAATCCGGGAATGGAGATAAGGCACAACGTTTCATCATTTCCGTCGAGTACCTACCACCGACGTATGTACATTAATTCGAGGTCAGGCGAAAGAATACCCTCGAGTGGAGTAGACCTATCTCTCTTCGAGTCCTCGGAGGCGAATGAGTGGGTGAGTGAGTGGGTGGGTGGGTAATGCGAGTATGTGTGGCGCTGTGGCACAGACACTCTCCTCTCTCGCTTGTGGAACTGCACACGCAAACACCCGCCGTGCCACACCTGAGGAACCCTCGCCGAACTCCCCAAACCAGCAACGGGCAGCAACAGTAGCAGCGCTAGCTCCTCCATCAGACCAATCAAACTCCCAGAACCTCCAACAGATCAACGTGCACTGGGTGTCGTTCGTGGCGCTTGTGCTGGGGATTGCGTGGCACAAGTGTGGCTGAACCTGAACCTGAACCTGAAGCCCAGGCTGAACAGGCCACGATAGGCTGGCTGAACAGTACTCCCGTATAGGTATACAGTTGGCGCGTGCTCAAACTGGTACTGTCCCATTTTGCCCTTGCCCTTGCCCTTGCCATGCAGCGTGTATCCATATACATGCATAGATGCACTTGTACAAGTATGGATTTCTGATTTGTGAGCGCCGTAGTGCCTCAGGTCTACACCAAGTATAGAGGCGGTTTTGTTTCAAACACCCGAATTCCGAAAAGAACCTCACGAAACCACCACTTGGGGTATTTATCCATTGAGTTCCTCCACCCTCGCTCTCTCTCTCTCTCCCTACTCTCGCTTCTCCAACTGTCTTTCGACATTGGAAACTGGGACTGTACATGTCTCATTGACTGACCCTTGAAATCCACCTACCCAACTCACATACACACTCATCCACCCATTTACTCACTCACGTCCACCCACGTCCACACCCACTCACCCATCCACCCAGCCAGCAGCCAGCAGCTAGCCACCAACACAAACAACAAAAAATGCGCACCCTCCGCCGCAGCCTCAAAAAAAGCTGCATCATCCCCGAACAGCTGTACTGCGGCATCGTCCACACGGTCTGGCTGGTCTGGGAGTACAGCCAGGCGGTGAGGCGGGCGCCGCATTGAGATTTTTTCCTCGCGTCGCTCCTTGGTCCTTCCTCACTCGACGCAATGGACAGAAATTAATTTAAACGAGGTTGATGAAATCTACGAAAACGGTCGATATCAAACGAGTTGATATGATATTGGTATGGCATGGTACGATAGGATATGAAATGGGGTGGCGGATTGACAATCCCTTACCACTATGATCGATTACCAACATGACGCATGACGCATGACCAATAACCAATGGCCAAGAGGTCGGTACGAATTGAAGATGAGCGGAATTTGGATGGGAGTTGATTTGACCGGATTGCGGTCGATTGAAATGTTCAATTTGTGGAGATACATCATATCACATATGGATATCCGGAGGAACTGGGCCTGGACTCGACTCGATTCGACTCAACTCGACTATCGCTTCGCACCTCCGCTAGAAAATCGCCCGACTCAGCCTCCTCCCCACACTCATCTTCCTCTCCCCTGCCTCATCATCGCCCGGAATATCCTCAAACTCCCTCCTCCCGGTGTCGAGGTCCATGTCCTGAACCTTGACCATGAACGACCAGTCGCGGGTCCACAGCTTCCAAAAGGCAAACAGGGCCAGCGCGATCGGGAGCGCGATGTAGCCCTCGAAAAACGTCTCGGCGTCCGGGTCGCCGTGCAGCGGGAACAGATCGACGTAAAAGGTCGCGGCCATGCAGATCACCACCAGAAACACCCCGAACCACGACCCATACACGCCCAGCTGCGACCGGAAGGGGAGGTCGTCGAGCGAGCGGCCGGCGGCTTTCCAGCCCGAGCGGAAGCGGATATGGCTGTAGCAGATGGAGCCCCACACGAAAAACGACGACAACCCCGTTAGCGCGAGCAGCCAGTTGAACACCGTCGCGCCGGTGGCCGCCTCGTTGATGAACGCCAACAGCCCAAATGCCATCTGGATCACGACGGGCCACACGGGACGGCCTTTCTTATCGATCCACGCCAGAAACTTGGGCGCCATGCCCGCCTGGGCCAGTGCCTGCAGGGTGCGGGTGGAGCCGTAGGTACACGAATTCGCCACAGACATGACGGAGATGGTGATGACGGCATTAAACACCGAGGGCAGACCGCTGACTCCGGCGTACTTGATGGCAAGGACAAAGGGCGAGGCTTTGGTGTTTGCCCCCGAAGAGTTGAGCAGGTCGGGAGAGCTATTGGGCACGATGATGCCCATGATGAGCAGCGAGACGACATAGAAGCCGGCAATGCGCCAGAAGACCTGTTTGGTGGCCTTTGGCAGTGATTTCCTGGGGTTGGCGGCCTCGGCAGCGGCCAAACCGACCAGTTCAGTCCCTCCAAATGCAAAAGCAGCAGTCACAAAGACGGAGCAAAAGCCCTTGAAACCTATACAGTATATTAATATCCCTAATTGCATGATAATATTACAAGACACCTTTTCTTACCATTGCGGAAAGCCTTGTTGCCATTTTCGGCGTCATCCCAATATCTGAAGCCAATGTATCCACGGTCATCGCCGGGGATACCGCCACAGTCGACGATGACGCCGAAGATGATGAAGCCGAGCACGGCGACAATCTTGATGATACCAAGGACAAATTCGACTGGGTCTTTGGGTCAGCCTCGTGTCTCACTTCTCACCCCGCCGATGAATCCTGACCTTCTCCGTAGCCCTTGACGCCAAAGAACTGGACGATAATGAGGGTTGTGAGAAACACGGCAATCCAAATGCCAATGTTGTAGTGGTGCCAGTAGTCAATTGTGATGCCCGCAGCGGTGATCTCGAACGGAAGCGTGACCAGCCAACCGATAGCCTATTTATCGATTAGCTTGAAAAGAATTCCAAATACCGGGACTGGCACGGAGCCATGTGAGATGCTTACATATTGCCACCCCATGGCAAAGCCCTATTGAGGAGATTAGTGTAACATACCGACAAACATGGATAGATCACGAACCCAAGCAGGATCAATAAATCGAACTCCGTAAACGTAAAAGGCTCCATTGACCGGATACAAAACCGCCAATTCGCCCAGAGCTTGCACGGTACATAGTAACATGGCACCGATGATGATGAACCCAATGACCAACGAGGCGGGACCGCCAGACTGCAATGCAGAGCCAGAACCGACAAAGAGACCAGCGCCGATAGAACCTCCTACATAATAGCCATCAGCACAACCTTCAAAACCCAAGAACAGAAGCACCCACCAATTGCGATCATCTGCATGTGTCGACCCTGCAAGCCACGGCTGAGCTTCGCTTGGTGGTGGACTCCCTCCTCGATATCGTGGGTGCCATCCTTACTCCCGTCAGGGACTCCATTATCGACATCGTGGGCAACATTTGCTGGTGCTGCTTTAGAGTCGTCTTTTGTTTTCTCCGAGAAGAAGTCGATGGCCATGACGATGGATGTGGTGGTGATTGAGGGTTTCAATCAGAAGATGGCAAAGTCTAAAGGGGATTCCCCAGCTTTATCGCTTGCGAGGCAGGGTCCGGCAGAGTCAAGAAGGTCAAGCCAACCCAAGCAAGCTTGTTGATTCATTGGATGCTTATCTCGATATCGCTCATCTTCCCTAAGCTCGTCGTCCACTTGGCCTCGAGCCATGACACGCGATTGCAGGGTTGCGTGATGTTAGACGGAAGGGAGCAGCCAAGGCTGCACACTGCAGGTGAAATGGCGGGGATCCTCCCTGATTTGACCTGGGACGCCAGCGAAACGTCGCACTCTGCGCGAGGTGGCGCGCTGGGCACTGCACAGATCCTGTGTAGGGTCGCGTATTGTGACGGGGTTGCCCTGCGATTCGAGATAAGGGAATGGTGTCAGAGGTAGTGCGAAACCAATCAGTGTCGAGCGCAACGCCGGGTGTTCAACCGTGCACTGAACGTCAGGAGAGGCGGCCGGGGTAACGCATGCACATTGGTTGTCTCGGGACATCCAAACATCATCCTGCCCGTTTCAATCGAGAGATGCAAGCAGACTCCCTGGTGGACTATGGCCGGGACCGCCAAGATCCTCTATCTCTCGCCGTCGATCACCAGAAAAAAAGCTCCTGGAAGGATTGACCAAGCAAACGCTTAGACGTATGCCAAGCAACGGCCTCTGATAAGGGGATGAGCTTGGGCAACACCGTGTTGGCTCTTGTTGGTAGTCATACTCGGTCCTTGTCATGGCAGCTTGGAAGTCGACGCTGGTGCCGCCATCGTGTCACTCGAGACGGCTTTGATGGGGTTGCAACGTGCTCGAACCGAATGAAGCATGGCACTCTGGGTCGTGCTGAACTGGAAATAGCGGAACCAGCGGGCCCTCAGCTGCTTAATAACCACGCAAGTGAACGAGAAGGGAAACAGGTCATCTAGTAGACGAATAATAACTTGTAGCGTTCATGATTTCATAATGTGCAGTAGCGTCGTCTGGCATGAGTAGTCAACTTACCGGTAGCTTTAGAGGAGCAGAGAAGGTCAAACTGCGCTCTTCAATTTCCACCGCAAGGGTCATTTTGAGTGGATACACGTGACTGTTCGTCATACCTTCCTTTTTCCGTCCCGAGACTACAGCCTTGGACTTGAATTAGTGGGATCATCGATTGGAGATGAAAGGCACTGCCAGTGTACTGCCCCATTGTCCGGAACCTTTCCTCTCCTAGCATCATCACGGAGACAACAGTCGCCAACGGACAGAAGAAGCCCCTGTTGTAATATCAATTCTACGAGGATACAGAGACCTCGATACGAGTCCTCGATGCGTGAGTCGCTGCGTTAATCTCCGGACTTTGGGTCAGATGCCTAAATCCAAATATACAAAACAAAGAACACCACTAGACTTTTCCTTTCCTTGGGGTCCGAGATCACTCGTACTCGTAGAGTCGTCCAGGAAAAGGAGAGAGACCGGCAACGCCCTGCAGACTGCTTACTTCGCCCTCCCCAACACCCGCAAAACCTCCATTTCCGCATCGGGCGGGTGGTCAAGGCAGGTATAGGCAGGTAGTTTCGAAGGATTCAAATGGGATCAGGATCACCTTGAATACTGGGGGGCCTTGGCTCTGTAATTTGATGAGATGATCAAGGCCAGACTCCCAAGCACGTGACGTGGACCTGGAGACATGGACGCGCACAAATGTACTTTAGAGGACATTCTGTTCGATGTGATGGCCGTCGCATCTTCCCTCGACAAAAAAAAAATCGTGAATGATAGTTTAAGTCTGTTTATTGATCGAGCTGTCGATCATTTCTATTGGCATCAAGCCCATCCGGGCAATAGTCAATTACAGGCATGACGGGCTACTGTTTAGCCAAAACAACCAAAACAAAATACCCCCCATATGGCTATCTCCCGTGCAGATAATTCCTTTCAAATGCTCGACATGAGGTGACAAGGTACACTTTTCCACGTGTCGTGTCCGTTGAGAGTCGAATCTCTTCCAAGTCATCCTCCAACGCCATCGCTTTGATCAAAAAGAAGCATCCAAAAACGTATGCAAAGAAAAGAAAAACCTCAAATCAACGCTCGTACTGCGGTAGATCGGGGCCTCCATGGTCATGATGCAGTATTTGTACACTGTATTCGTCGTCCATCAAGGGTGCCGTCGGTGCCAGTGAAGTGACGTGGGCGTCACCTGGCAGCTGGGCCTCATGCGCTAACGGTGGCCCACTTGTTTGTGCTAGAAGTCGGCGTCGTTCCAGCTCCTGCTTGTCATCGGTGTGGCCCCCACTGCCAGTAGAAGGGGGACGCGGAGGTGGAGATGTTGAGTACGGTCGGATGGTATCTTTAGATCTTGCCGAAGCGACTGAACTAGCGGCATGCAGTGTCGAGGGTGTCATACTCCCGTCAGTCTGATTCTCGAGCGCCTGTGGGAGAGGTTCAGACGATAAATTCGGGGCGGTTGGTGTATACGGCATAGGATGATTGGAGCTTTCTCCTTCCTGCGGAGGTTCACTTGGAAGCAAGAGCTCTTCTTGCCTGCGTAGCCGTGTCTTCTCGTCGACCGTTTCTTCCACCGCAGGCGCAGGAGGCGGTATAGTCTCGGGTGCCGAGGTAGGGTATACTGGCTGATAGTTCTGCTCATAGCCATAGTCGTATCCGTTTCCATCGTAATAAGGATATCCCGCTTCATCATAATACTGTCCGTCGTAAGCCTCGTGGTAGTATTGCCAGTCCTGCCAGCCCTGGTCTGGCTCTTGCGGCGTATCTTCCGTATACTGCTGCTCTGCTGCTTTGGTTTGTCTTCTCATCCTACTGCTGTCGTGGGTTCCAACGACAAGCGACATCTCAAATGCGACAACACTCTTGGTTCGGCGCAGCGGAGCTGTGTCTAGGATATGGAGAGACCACTCTGACGTGATTTGGTTGTTGGTACCAGAACTCTGAGAAAATGTCGGTTCGCTAGATGTGAGTCTCGGCCACAAGCGAGTCTCGCCGAGCTTGCCAAATAGATCAACCACCACTTCGACATGGTATGTAAAGGATATCATGTCGCCTGGAACATTTGCGATGGTTGGGAATGAATTGTCGGGAACTTTGATAGATGTCGTAATGTCCGCTGTCATCGTTGTCGGGTTGACTATCATCATGGTGGACGTTTGAGCAAGATCCTTTCGGAAAACACTGTTGGGCGAGGCAGCTGAAAAGTACAATCCTCCTAGACCCGTCCGGGACTTCGGATATACGTCCTCATATTCCATCTTCTTGTCTTTGCCAGGCCTGTTCGGAAGTGGAAGCGGAGGATGCATGTCGATTCTGCACTGGCGGTATAACGTCGCAATCACCATCCCCCGCACATCTGCCTTGGTGTGTGTTATAGATATTCGGATCGGGATTGTGTCGCCTGGTAATGCTCCATGCCGGGGTAACTCGGCGGTGGCGGTAATAGTATTAGTGGAAGATGAAGTTGTGTTACTTCGCGCATCGCTGTTCTGCGGGCTTGGATTTTGCGGAGGCGATACATCGTCTGCAATGTGAAAACTTGGGCTACTTGCGGGTGTAGCATTTGTCTGCATCGTTTCTTCGCTTGGCGCGGGGCTTAGCGGAGGGTTGCTGATGGAATGAGTACTTCGGCTGGTCGTGCTGTTCTGCGTGTTATTCCGGCTCAAGCGACCAGCCCCAGGGCTGGATGTCGTGTGTGTCGTCACAGACGACGCCGGTTTGACAACTTTGACTTTGCCGCGCTTGGAGACAGGCTCTAACGTGATTACCCGTGATTTTGGTGTATACATGTGCTCGATATCAACCAGGTCTTGGAACTTGATTTTAGTGCTTCGACTGGTCAAGGGACTTATCGTTGTTGGACGTGTAAGAGTGGCAGTCACCAAATAGGATACTGATCCACGTTCAAACTGTTTCGGCGTTAGTGTGACAGCATGGGAAGTGCGAAGCAGTCCACATACATCAATTGTGCTGGGGAGGCCTTTTGAAGGGAAGGGAACCTCGAATGCAAACTTGTAAACCTGTTTCTTGAGAAAGCCACTGCCACACAGGACCTGCTCATGCTGGAATAACGACACCAGACCATTGCCTTGATATTGCACTCCTCTTGAACCCTGGCCGTTTATCAAACCTTCGGGGGCTGGAAGACCTTCGCCAGGGGGTATTTGGTGTTTATAAACTTTTGCATATCCATGCAGAGCCACAACCAGATGTGTAATATCGAATCCCTTAAAGACCGTGAGGACCACGTTGCCCTTGACAATTTGACCCGGAAAATAGACTCGGAAGGGATCATCGGGCTCAATGGTCATATCAAACATATTTCGAGCATGTTTCCCCAGAGGATTGGACAAGAAGGATAGTATGGACCGGGGCCGAGGCACTGGCGGGTTTGGATTCGTGAGCAGTGACTCGAGAGGCATTGCCGTTAGGACCAAAGCCATTCACTGCTATAACGGCGACGACCACCGGAGCATTGTTGGCTAAACTTTCGACACGAGGTGGGTAGGGTCTTGAGGACGAGGGGCAGGCTTTCGAGAACGTCTCAAACCAGAAGTGTGGTTCAATATGTGCATTTACTAATGAGCGTCGTGGCGGGGGGCGACAGTCAGCTTCGTCATCAATTAGGGCCCAGTGCCTGCGCAAGGAGTCGGAGGACCGCAGCACCGATCGAAAGGCGTCAGCGAGATCAGGTGTTGTCCGATTCAGCGACGCATGGCGAAGCGCTGCGGCAGGTGTATCTCTAGGAACTGTTGTTCGACGAGGTCGCGTCTGGCCTGGGCGCAGGCGAGGGGAAATTCCGGGGCTTTGTAAGGGGACAACCACAGGGCTTGCGCTGTGCTTCGCAGGATCGGTCGAGGGAGGGAGGGAACGAGTGTCGCGAGTGTGCAATGTGTTTTTTCGACCATGCGCAGGCTCTTCTTCTGGGGAGGTCGAGGACGTAGGTAAATGGCTAAGCTTCGGTCAACGGTGGTAGTGTACCACGTTGATGGGAGATGGAGTAGTCGGATTGATGCTTGTCTGCGAATTCAAGCTTCGGTGCTTGGCAGGTCGAGAATTCTGTGGTCTGATCGAGAGGGAAATGCCGGGAGGCAATATTATTGAGTCGCGCAGGAGGGAGTGGGAAGCCGCTGGAGAAGGGGGGGACGGACAGGGCTCGGGGGAGCCAGGAAGAGGTCACTGGTCACTTGGTCACAGGTGGGATGGCGTGGATGGGTGGATGGATTGGTGGACTCGGAGAGGGTCGACTGGGGGCTGGGCTGCTGGACTTATCTAATTCGACCTAGAACAGCTTGAACGGCGGAGGTGCTCAAGAGGGTAGTAGCGCAGGATGAGCCTCATTGGCATGCAGCTCGTATCGTTTCTTGGTGGTGGTGGTGGGTTGCTCCAACGAGGGACACTTGCATGTCAGACTGCAGATTTGCTATTTAGTGATCCCCAGGCAAGCCAGGTCAACTTCTGTTCGTCGTCCCCTAACCGTCGTCGTCATCAGATACTCGCAGTGGTGGCAGCGCACTGATGATGGCCCACTTCAACCTTGCTCATTTTCCGTCCAAGTTACAGGACCGTAAGAGGGGGAAGGTGGCTGTGTGTGACGAGACGAGGTGTCAGCACCACAGTGGTTTCTGAGAACTTGTCCGCGTAGATATATAGGTGGTAGATAACAGAATGGTGGGAATCATAATGGTTGAGAAAGCTGCGACTTGTGGTACCCCATACGAGGCAGAGGGTTTGGGCCATGCTTTGGGGGGGGCCAGTTGGGCTCTACTCTCCCTGTCAAGCTTTTTCCATCTTCTTCGTGGGGCAGGGGCCGAAGAACCTAACAACCCTCGAGTGGACGAGTAGGCGAGCCGGTGGAGTTGGGTGTTCCAGAGGCAGGCAGCAGAGAAAAACTCAAGCACTAGCAACCGGGGACCAACTGACCACTGAGTGGTGACTGGTTACCTTACAACGGGTTAGGGCCCGGAGACGCCTACGAGTCGTGAGCCCACCATGCCTATACCTACCTAATAGCTACTCGTGGGTCCCCGTAGCTGCCTCTGCGAAGCCCACACGTCCAGCAAACTCAGTTTTGTCCCATGAGCTACCGCACTGCTCCGAAAATGATCCAATAAGTCGGTGTCACACACACAGCCTAACCACCTACAGAGTTAACTCATCCAGAAACGACCGTCAAACCCTGCAGCAGCATACCTAGACCTGGGGTATCATCCACCTGCTCTGAGCACATATGCCGAGCATGAGCGTCGTGATTGAAAAACTGCCTGTAAGGGAGATTCCTGCCGTGACACCTTCCACCATCTGATTGACGGCCTTGAGACCAGCGCCCCAGCATCCTTGCCTTTTCCATCCAAGCATGTTTGTTCCAGTATGCAAGTCTGTCTCAACTAGGCCCGACTTTGAGCTGGCCACAACTAGACGCAGCAAAGCTTCCCTCCTGCAAGCTTTATGGTCGATCTAGGCCATCCCGCAATCAACCTTCGGAACCGGGATTCGAAAAGGTGATCCATGGTAGATTTGGTTGTTCCTGGGCAGACACATGATCATTTTTCAACCCAGGAAGCTCAATTTCTTTCCACGGTTCATTTTCAATGGCGCGGCTTTTTGGCTGGTGACTCTTCCTCAACCAGACTGTCATCTGGGGAGTCTATTCTGGGTGCTTTGGCTGGCTTAACTCGACCCTTGACTTGATGTTTGATCAGTTTTGTTTCGTCGAGTCCGTGCTCTAGTCCGTCGGGCTCCACGAACACCATATCCCCATCCTGTCCTAGGGTCTCCTGGACGGCTTCCTCGAGTAGAATTCCAAAGGCAACCAGGGCCGTCTCGTCGAAAGTTCGAAAGTCAAATGTCCCTTGTCCTTGTACGGCGCAACTGTAGAAATCCGAGGCGTACGCATGCACGGCTTTGAGCATTTCAGACTCGGGTAGCTTTTCGTGGCTAGAAAGCTCGCCTGCAGCGTCATACGACTCGTGGATCACATGCTCCGGGATGGTCGACCTGCGCAGGAGGACTTCCTCTGGTGCAAGGGGTAAAACATGTTCGGACCGCCTCTGGTCGTGGGTCAAAAATCCATTCAAGCCCGCTCTTCCAGCCACCACATCATAGACTGTGAATTGTCGTGGCGGATTGGGTGATTGCAAAGCTTCACCGCCAACTTTGTCAAGGGTAGATTCGTTCAGAGGAGCATTTTCACTGGTGTCTGCCATATTTGCCCCCCGTCACCGTTTGTGACAATGGCAATGGTGGCCCAAGTGGGACTTCGCGCTATTCATCGCCGGACCTTCCAACTGGGACGATCGGAATTCGTAGAGGAATTAGATTCCGATGAAAACTGTTTTGAAAATTGACGCTGCGATGGTTGTAGGGTTGAGATTCGGATGGCAGCGTGGTTGGACAACCAACTAGCGAGACAGAGTGATGTGGTTTCCGAAATAGGATTGCGGTGCCGCGGAGATATCGTGGACCGGCTCACGTGCTCACTTACCCTCGGCTCACCTTCTGCTCTAACGCGGACACTAGAATTTCCACGACTGCCGAGAGCCTGAACCCTTCATGGGCCTCATCGTTGGTCCTGTTAACACCATGATAGTTCAAAGAACAGATATCTCACAGCTATTCTCCAGATTGATGTCTCCCCGAACGCCAGAACACGCCGACCTTATCTAAGATACTGCAATTTACTCGCAGAAGTTCCGTATGGAGCTCATCATAGCCCCGAGGAATTGGTCATAGCCTCACTGCAAGTAGTGAATAGCTATGACCCCGTTGTTCTGTCAGGTTTGAGACCGTGGCACGGGCGCTCCAAGAAGGTCCGAGTCACACCCATCATGGGAGGCTGATAGATAATTGTCGACCTGTGCAGGTAGAGCGCCACACGAACGCAAGGTGTATAGTGACTTTGAGCATCTTGTGAGCCCAACAGACGAAGCGCGGTACCCTGATCAATGTCCAGGGCGATGCTGGTGCTGGAAACCTGTGACCTCGAGGGTGTATCGGTACATTACATGAACCTATTGTACTTGATGACTTTACCGGCAAGAAGAACCCGAACAGAAATAGCAGATCATCACTAGCTCACTGTTCGCAAGGCTGTGGGAGACATATCCTGGCGTCCAAGTGATTTTCCGCCATGAAACTAGAACTCACAGACCCTCCAACACGCCATCGAGATCCGGATAACTTTAGACATGACGCTCCATGTACAAATCTCTTAAGCACAACGTTGAAGGGCATGCACGGTACCCTCCTGGTCTCTAGCACTGCTTTGAAGCCTGGAGCTTGTGGCTGCCCGGTCGATATTGGAGACTGCAAAATAATGGTTCATCAACTCTTCACAAGGTCGAAATGGACGTTGTGCCTTCCCTCAGAGAGGATGCCTTCGACGTGTCACCCTTTATGCGAACCCAGCACCGCAATGAAACAGTCTGTCGTCGGCTGCTGACGAATTTTCTTTTCGCATGGTCGAGGCTTAAATTACTGGCGCCTTAAATTAGGAGCCTGATGCAATCGTGTCGGTACCTTGTGTTCGCCTGATGGTGTCTCTCGCCTTAGCTTTTTTTTTTTTTCAAAACAATAATCCTTGCACCCGTGTATGGAGCCAAGATTGTTCTCAGATTTTTCCTGAGTTCTTCCATCTGTGCTCGATGCTGATTTTCCAGATTTTCCATTTCGGTTCTGTGGTGGTTGTCCTGATGTTCCATAAGTGCCCGTATATGAGTTTCAAACCGACTCAAAATCTCTTCAGACTGTAACACAACGTCGTTCCTTGTCTCTCGGTTTGAGTCCCTTGTCTCGCGGTTCGAGTCTCTCGTCTCGCGCAGGTCTGATTTGATGTCATTGAGAGCAACCGTTATCAAATCTTGTTGCCAGTGTTCGTTTATGCTTTCAGCTCTTTCCTTTCCTTTGGCATTTGGCCTAGGGCGAGATGGACCGGTTCCTGCGTCGCTTTCCTCTGACATGTTTACGTTCTGGGAAGGTATATCTTCTATTTATCATGTAAGGTTAGTGTCTTCATGAAGCTCAAGAGAGCCTAGGCTATTTTATGGATTGAGGTTACCATTCGAAAAAGGAACGTTGTGCCCGCGATTTGGAGCCCCACGCGAGTTTTTAGACCGCTCTTGCTCCGTAGCTGCATTCCTAGCCTTTGTGGAGGAACTCTGAGTAGATTTTAAGTAGCCAGGCACGCTACGTGTCTGAGCCGTTGGATTGTCAGCCATAGGACACGTTGATCCGTGGACCTGTAGTGGACTGGAAAGAATCACGAAATGAGGAATAAGACATGACCGCTGGACAGACGGCAGCGTATTTATTATAAGAACCCCCCTCCAGCACCCGTTACTTACCCCGCCTCTTCACGAAGATATGATTTGTTGATAAACGAGACATATTGCGCCCGGTTACTGTAGATGGAGCAGAACTTCGAGAAAATTTTAATCTTCCTGGAGGATGATAGTAATCACAGGCATTGTTCGTAGCCATTATTGTTGGCTGGGACTACGAAACCCTAGTGCCTATTTCCGGTCATTGGCCTAAAGTAGGTAAAAGGTTCAAAAAGCTATATACCCTCAGGAATATCGCGTGTATGCTGTACGCTGTCGTTCTTTTCAAAGGTTTCTGACTCACCATTTTGGGATTCGGAGTGATGCTCCACGATCAAGAAAATCAAGCTCGTAGAATGAAATGAACGCATGCACCGGTGGAACGTAGCCCATCCTTGATGAGGACAACCTCCTTAGCGGAATTATTTAGGCTGCGTAAAGGTCTCGCGGGTAATTGACGGAGGGAAATTGAATATCGGGATGGTGCTTTGAAATCCGTCCTTGGAGTAAGAGGCAGAAGGATATGCGTGCCCTGGTCTTAGATACTACATTATGTCAGTACGTTGCCTCAGAAGCGCAATGAGGGAAAGCCACCAGCCGATGAAATATTGGCTGCCCCTCACCCACATGCAGGGTGTTGTGGTAGATTGTTCTGTCACAATTCTTCGACAGGAACCCGTGCAGACCAAGGGTATTGTCCAGGCGCTGGCGGTCTCTTTGACAACGAGGAAATTCTCAAGACTACTCCAGCTGCGCGTCCAGAGTCCAGATTCTGCCGGATCCGGAGGATCTGATACCGTAAGATGCGTTCGTCAAAATCCTGGGTCGGCGAGCTGCTATGCATATCGCGGGGCATATCGCGGGGCATATCGCGGCCCTGCACAAATTTCAGGCGCTCAAGCCCTTCTCTCAAGGAGGTTATCACGTGATGTTCTGTTTGATCCCACCGCTCTGTCTCGAGCAGTTCAAGTAGCAATGGCAGGAAAAGGTATTCGGATAGGGGATGACACAGTGACGTTGCGGCTGAAAAGTGAGGGAGACAATCTGCACATTCGAAAACGCAACCAAGGACTTTCATCGCGTAGGCGCTGATGAAAATATCACTCAGGGCGTCCACAGTCACAAGTGCTCTACACGGCGGGTTCAGCCTGATTGCCAACAAAAGTGACTCTCGTCAATGACGGACAAAACGAGTGTGTTACACAAACTATTACCGAGTGATTGGCGTCGATTGGAGGAAGGACATTACCAGGATCCAGACTCTACTAGTAGGTAGCACGCTCGAAGATACGAGGAGACAAGGGTACCCTGCCTCCGACCTCCAAACAAATCTTGTCCTTTGATACATACATTCACATGGCTGCGTGGGGGTAAAACCAAGCCAGCCAGCCAGCCAGCTCTCGGCAGGAGCCCCAACGCGTCAAGATTTTCCCCCATACGAGCGTGCAGAGTACTTTCTAGCCTTGGCTCTTTGTAGAAACCGTGTATCCATATCTTCCCCTTCGTTAGACAGACAGCACTACCCTCTCTCACCATCGTTCCGGTACCTTTTCGAGTGTGGGTGCTTGTGGAGAAGGACATCACAATACACTTTGAGCTAAGCCAGAATTAGCGCTCAGTGCCGGCGCGCCGGCCGGTTGAGCTCTAACCTGAATAGGTCATATGGTCGCGCTAATTCGGCCTTTACTGTAACCGGGTACTCTGTACGAGGACAAGTCATTGCAATGGATGGGTCACATGTGGGCCAGGCACGTCAAGGAAGGTCTTCCTCGTACAAGGAGGAACGTATGTACTTATATATGGAGGCTTATCAATATATGTGCCACTAGTACCAGTAGTAGTCGTGTTACTGTACAAGTAGGAGTTATAGGAGCGAGGTGGTTCAGCTGGGGGAATTGGAAGGAGATATTACTACCTCGTTACTTGCTAATTTGACCAGATTCACTGACGGTCCGTTGACCGACAATCCGAAAAGCGAGGTCCTCTGTCCACACGTTGACGAGAGGAGATCTCTGAGATCTAAACGACAATTCATGAATGCTGAACGCACGTGGGTGCCTCTACACACTGGATTGAACTTTCGGGATACAGGATAGACCAGGTCAGTAGATGGTACGACATGCATATCAAGAGTCAAGACACGACATATCCTATGTCTGTTTTGTTTAGCACTGTGTTGTCACCCTCGGAGAGTAATATGAGGATGTACAGCGGCATTACACTCGACTATAAAAGGTCCAGTTTTACAAAATCGTTGAAAGATTTTCGAGGCCTGGAGGCTGCTGCGCTACCACTCTTCCGCCCACACCGCTCGAAGCTCGTCGGCAATCTGCGCGGTGCGGCGACCTGACTGCCTCTGACACTCTTCGAGCAACTCAATAGTGCGACGCCGCTCTTGAACGCCCTCCGTCACCAGACCTGCAATGTACAGACACTGGGTCGAAGTGAAGCTGAAGGGATCGGTAGTGCCGGAATTGGCGATGAGCAGGATCTGTTCGCGCGACCGGTTGATCAGCCGTCGGACGGACAGTGATTCGGCGGTGGCGGTGAAGATGCCCTGGCCCTGACCATGACCCTGACCCTGTCGTCGGGACGGGGATGGGAGTCCACTGAGTGCCAGCAAGATCTGACATGCGTGGTACATTTGGATCCCGACGGCTGGTTCTTTGGGTTAGCAGGTCTTGGGGAAATGGTTTCAGGCCTGGAGTGTGCTTACCACAGTGTGGATACACATACCATATGGATGATATGTCCCTCGCGACCGGATGAGCTGTGTAGTCCTCATCCTGCTCTTCTTGTTGCGCCAGGCTCACATAGAAGCGGGTCATCGCAGGCGGAAGCATCCCTTTCCACCGCTCGAGGTCACTTCGGATCTTGTCCCTCTTTCTTTGTCTTGTGCTCATCTCCTCCGAACCCTCCACGTTGTCTCGACACGGAACCCCACTGCAAAAGCTGACGCACTGTCCAAGCAGGAACAAGGCACGGTTTGCAATTTCCACATGAGACAAGTCTTCAAAGGAGTCCACCGCACGTGGCTCCCAGTAACTTTCGTCCAAGAACATGCGTCGTCCAGCATGCAAAGCTGCCCATGAATCCGATCTGAACCACGTCCAGAAAACCGATCCCTTGATCCCAGGTGAGTCTCCGTTGACTCGCCACAGTTGAAGGAGCGAGGCGATGCCCCGGAGGTGGGAGCTGAAACTTTCCCCCATCATATCCAGCATCTCGTAGCTACGTAGAGTGATATTAGCACATTATTCTTTTGCCTCGAAAGTCAGGAAGAAGTGAAAAGGGCAATGAATCCATACCCAGAGAGCATGATGCTGGATGCCAGGATCTTGTCACTATAAGCTGAATCTGCCTCTATTAAAAGAGTGCTGAAAGCCTTGAGCGCCTTTTGGTAATACTCGACTGCGACGTCCTCGGTGATCTGGGCCTCAGCACCTGCCCTTGTTAACGCCAACTGCTTTCCTGCAATGGCAAGACAAGAGAACAAGACTGCTGGGCACTCCAGAGCGAAGATAGGGACAATAGTCGAGTATGGATTTTCCGAGGAGAATGCATCGATCTGATAGAGCGTGTGAGCTCATGCACGAACGACTGTAGGGGGAGCACGTCTACATACCCAGCCTGCGACGTGTTCCACGAAGTGTCGGAGGACAAACAGGTCCATCTCTGTTAGATACAGGGGGATATTCGATCCGACCTCCTCAAAAGGAGGCGAGCTCCTGGTTACACTTTTGGTAGACGGACGGTCGGAGACAGCGCTGTGTCCTATACCAGAGAGCTGACCATGCCTAGGATACAGTCCACTTGGAGAACGACGTATGCTTGCCGGGTGTCCATTGATAGGGACGGAGTCCGAGACGGTCAATGGTGACGTTTGAGGCGAGCTATGGCTCGAGCCTCTATCCTGACGACTCGGCGAGAACAGCCCAGCGCGTCTCACGCCTTGCCTTGATAAGGAAGGACTTGCGGTGTTCGAAGTCCTTCTTTGCCGAGACTCGTCGCCATGGTTGTCCAAGTCTCTGAAAACACCGTGATGAGAAGTCTGGAACGAGTTGTACGAGAAAGACCGTTCACTGAGATATTGAGCAAGGACGGGTCCAAAGGAGGCAGGCGTTGTGACAGCTTCAGCCTTGTCAATGGTTGACGGTCCCAGAAACGGCGAAGTCACCCTGGAATTGACGGCGGTATTGGTGCCGATACTCGACCCCCTGGCATCGGTGTATCGACTTGTGGTATCGGCCTGGTCAGAGCTCGGGCCCCTTCGATCGCGCGGCTTGGCTTCATACAAACATGGCCGATTCTTCTTCGCGCAGTTGCCGCAGATTGGCTTGCGTTCGTCGCACTTGACGTGCCTCGTGCGGCATGTACGGCTGCATATTCACCGTTTCTGGATCAGTAACGCGGCGTTATCATCCTTGCAGCGGTGAACCAACAGTAACGTTCTGAACAGGGGTGTTGAGGCACATACCAGCCTGTCGTTACGCGAAGGCGCGTGGTAGTATGCCGGGGGCTCTCGTGGCCGGGCATCGTGTCGAGGAACTGTCTGTATGACTCTACCTACTGCCCTACGTCTCGAGCCTCGTGGCGAGATGTTGGAATATCGAGGGTCCTGAGATATAGACCGGGGGTCCCAGTCTCCCATTCCTTCCCCATCCGGTACTTCGGCAAGCGTTATCATTGTCCAAAACATTGGCGCCGAGAGTCCCCAAGTGGAAACTGTGCTTGAAGGGGGGGTGCGGATTAACCCGACGCCTTGTGAAAGTGGTACTTCCTCTTATCTTATGCACGTGGAGGTGCCTATCTCCTATATTCCCCTTTCCTATCTCTGGGGGTTGGGGTTTGGAGTCGAACTTTGATATACACTGATGGAGCACTTCCGGATGTCTCGTTTGGGATTGCGCCATCAGCGGTCGCGGGAGCTAACTTGCTCGTCTAGCTTTCTTGATAACGAGCAGGTGTTTCGAAGCAATAACAACCAACCCCGCGGTCTCTTAATACGGCAGGTCGGCAAATCCGAAAGGCTTTGAAAGGCTTTGATTGGCAGCGTAGTACTTGGCTTTGGTACTAAGACCATTCGGCATCTTATGCATTTCGTTTTCTCTAGAAGCCAAACCATACAAAAGTCACCCGATGTCTCTGTGTTCGATTGTAGACTAGTAAGACAGACAGATAGTGTTGCTGCCAGTAACAGCGCGTTCTGATGCCCGCGAGTCCTTGCCCTTCATCTCATTGGGACCAGATCTCCTTCATCTTTGTCAGCCAGGAAATCTGTTCCGAGTCCTGGGGCTTCACTGCTTCACTCGGCCACTAGCCTCCGGCAACAGTATTGCTGTTGTCAAGGCAGCTGAACGCGGACCCAACCTGGCCAGCACGGTATTGATCGATAATGCTCACCACGTTGGCGTACGTCCCTCCAACAGTGATCAGGCACCCAAGCAGGAAAATGCCCACGTGCAGATAATACATGAAGATCTTCACGGGGGTACCCTTCCGGGCGCCTTCGTTCAAGACCATCCATAGAATGGCGGGGATAAAGACACCCAGATACCCGAAGCCGAGAGCGCCAATCAGCGAGACCAGACTGCCGTAGAACGGAATGGCCTCACACAGAATCCAGCCGAGCAGGCCCGTTCCGTACGTACACGACAACCAGACCGCCCAGTGCGTCTTTGTGTTTTGGGTCAAGTGGTGGGTGTTTCGCAGGATGCGGACGAAGATGCTCTTGCCGGCCACGTGCACGCAAATCATGGTGCCGGCAATCAGGCCCGGAATCGCAATGGCGTATGAGATGATCTTGATGGTCGGGCCGGCCGAGCCCAAGGCTGGGGAGGAAACCCATTTGCCGCAATAGGCATAGACGGTCATGGCCAGGGCTAGATAGGACGAAGTGATCCAGGCCATGGTGACATACACACTCTTGAAGTAGTCCTGTGGTCTTCGCATCTCTGATATCACGGGAACGAACCCGGAGGTGTTGGCCGAAGAGGAGAAGATGGCCAATGAAGCCGACCACGCGGTGGCAAAGGTTGCCCCGACGGGAGGCGAGGCCGAGAAACCAAGGTCGAAGTCTCCTGTCTGAGGCGCAGCTGCGGGGCGATCACGTATCGTGACCGCAATGACCACAATCATGATGGCCGCGACAATGGAGATGAACCCGACCCATGTGATCCAGCCAAGATTGTGAATCTTTCTGATGCTGGCAACCGAGGCCACGATGATGTAGGCAACGAAGCCGAATGTGATGGTGCAAGTGCCGTGTTTCGAGACGGCGTTGAGGGCGATGGAAAAACCGAGCGTTGAGACGCCCGCGCAGAGGATCCAGGTGAAGAGATAGACGAATTCCGTGATCTCTTTCACGACCCAGGCGTTTTTCTTCGTGAGGCCCATCTTTAGGGAAGCGATGTACGCACTGTCTGCAATGGTGTGGACCGAGGGGTACTTGAGCTTGAACTGACCCTGCAGTACGGCGCAGTATGTGTTGAGCAGGCCCCAGAACACAATGAAGATGCCTCCTGCAACGGCACCGAGATTGTAGAGCGCAGCAGGAATGGAGAGCACGCCCGCGGCAAAGGTCATCTTGAGGAAGAACATGGACGCTCTGATCCAGCCGACTGTTCGGAAGTTGACACCACCTTGCCCAGTGACGAAGACCTCGGCCTCGTCGACGCTTCCATATCTGGACCGTTCATCCTCGGGGGTCGCCGGTGTGGCTGTAGCCTCGACGTCGGGCTTTTTTTCTGTGATTGAAGCGTCCATCTTTCTCCCGAGATGGAGGAATGCCTGGATACCAGGGTAATGGAGCGGTGACTTGTTTGAAAACAAAGTGGTTGACTGAGGGATGGATTGGCGAAATTCCCGAGGATCCAGGTGTCAAGGGGACGTTGATATATACTTCATCAGGAATGGGTATCTCTTCTATCTTCCCATTCTTTGTCAGGACATGGCTAACCACGTTTCCCGCCTGGGAGATACCGATCCAGCGAACCAACCGCCACCGCGAGTCAGTCTCGTCGCTCTCCCTGGTGGATACCGGGCGGAATCTCTTATCAGGACCTGGTCGACTTCTGCCAAAGGTAAAATGTACTTCTTTGCCATGTGTTTGGGACGACAGGTGCCTGTCTATCATGCTTGCCTTCCGCGAAAGGCAACGATGGGCGAAGTCGCGGCATATCGTAAACTCTCCCAAGAGATAGAGGGGAACCGAATATTGCCATTGTCGGCGAACAAACCAGATATCGCCTATACACGACCCCTGACAAAACTTCGGCTGTATCACGTGTAAGGCTTCTTGAGCCGCTATTTCTCGAGACGAGGTCGGATATCTCCACTTTCACTATCTGTGTTTTTCGTCGCGAGGTGCTTCGGCTATTCCACATCGGGATGCTATTGGATAGTCGTGTCCAACGGCTCCACGGACGGTATCTCCGTCCTTTATCAAGCAAGAGTCGGTTCAGTCAAGACCGCGCTCGTAGACGGCTCGAAAGACTATCGCAACCTCCTCGATGCGCCTTGGCGATGGATCACAACGCCCGGAAGTCGGCACGGTCTGGGATAGCATTCCTTCGAATCTGGAAGGTCAATGTCAGTCACAGACATGACCATAAGAAGTAGCTGGTAGGCCTGCAAGCGAAGGGGAGAAGATCCTTGACATATGTCTTGAAGCACTGCATGCGAAGTGGAAGCCAGCTGGACTGCAAGAACTTGGAGAACTGCAAGGATGGCAATAGCATCGTTGGGAAAGTAAGTCGCCATTCCACGTAAACCTCGATATCGAACCCATATTTCATCCAGTGGGTGACACTTTCTAATGGTGGCAACAGAGGAACAAAGCTCGACGCTGCTGAAGTTCGAGCGCTCGTCAAAGCTGCCGGGCTATCAATACCCGATAGTGTAGTTGAAGACTGGCAGGTTCTTCTGGGGTCCTTTGAGGACTGTGCACAGCTCGTGTTTGAGGAAGACGACAGCCTCCCGATCCCAGATCCAGATCGCTATGTCCGCACAGACATTCAGATTCCCGAGGACAACGACAAAGGCGGCTGGGCAACACGATGCTCCATCAAGAGTGTCGCTCCCACGAGCACTCTGCTGGCCGGACGCACAGTGGCAGTCAAGGACAACACTGCCGTTGCCGGCGTGAGATGTACTAATGGTCTCCCGCCTGTCAATGGAGAGTGGATCCCCAAGTATGATGCCACTATCGTAACCAGAGTTCTGGATGCTGGCGGCATAATCACGGGCAAATCTGGTAAGTATTGAAACCATATAACAGTGTCCTTTGGTGTGAAAGACGGTCCAAATGACTGACCTCGGAGATCCACAGCATGTGAGAATGCGTGCATGGAACCCATCTCCAATACGTCGTACACCGGCGTCGTCCATAACCCCTATGCAGATGGTTATACATGTGGAGGTTCGAGCAGTGGATCAGGACGATTGGTCGCCATCGGCGCTGCAGACATGGCCTTGGGTGGCGACCAGGGTGGGTATGTTACGATCCTCCAGCCCTGCCGCATCCCTTGTAAAGGTAACGTTGCGACTAACGCCCCAGGCAAATAGGTCCATTCGTATCCCTGCAGCCTTCTGTGGCATTGTCGGGCACAAACCGACTTGGGGTCTGGTTCCGTACACGGGCATCCTGGGGCTCCAATCCGTCATCGACCACGCCGGGCCCATGACGGCTAACGTTCGAGACTGTGCACGGCTGCTTGAAGCCATAGCCGGCCCGGACGGCATCGATGACCGTCAACCCTTCTCCATGGCTCCGGAAACCTTGCGTTATTCGAGCGCCTTGGACGAATTCCTGGCCGCAGGAGCCGCAAAGCCCCGAGACCAAATCCTCGGGGGTCTCAAGGTCGGAGTCCTCAAGGAAGGCTTCGCCAGCAAACAGATGGACGCGAACGTGGCCAAAGCGTGTCACTCGGCCATCTCGGACCTCAAAGAACTGGGAGCCGAAGTGGTCGAAGTCTCGGTCCCGACCCACGACCACATCAGCGTCATCTGGATGTGCGCCCTGCCACTGCGCGGGGCTCGGGAGGCGCTGCTCGGAGACACGACGGGGCGCAAGAACCTCGAATTGACGGATCGCGTTGCTCCTGTCGCCCCGGCCATGGGGCCGAGTGAGAAGGCGTTTCTCTCGCAAGACTTCTTCGACGCCCTGGGCCCCGGCGCCCAGAACCTGTACATGCGGTACCTGTACGTCAACACCAAATACGGTGCGAGTCTGCACGCCAAATGCACCAATCTGCTGGCCAAGGCGACACAGGCATACGACGCCATCCTCGCCTCTGTCGACGTGTTGGTGATGCCCACTATCCCGATGCCGGCATTGCCTTTCCCGGGGGGAGCTAGTAACCCCTCTGGACGCTTCCCCGGCGGACCTCTCGAGGCCCTCTCCTACCCACTAGGCGTGCTCAGCAACACGGCACAGTTTAATTCCACCGGTCACCCGGCCATTTCAGTGCCTGTGGGGTTTGTGCCCGCGCCGGATAACCCAGACGTGAAGCTGCCGGCTGGGCTCCAGATTGTCGGGAAGCGGTTCGAGGATTTGACCTGCCTCAAAGTGGCAGCGGTGTGGGAGGAGAACAAGGACTGGAAGTCGCTGCTGTTTGCGTAGGAGGGCACAAGGAAATGGAGAAAACTTGTCACAGAATAGGAAACATGGATATTGTATGTCACAAATAGTCGAAAGGTTTCATGGTACAATGCCACCTATTTCGGACATTTTCTCCATCCAATCAAGCTGATAACTTTTGTTCGCCCGGGCATATTGTGGGTTTCGGTGGAAGTATCCTCTCTGTTCACCTGGCTGCCCTACAAGGCTGGGCCAGCCGCCCCTGGGAAAAAGGATCAACCGGTCGAAAATGCATGGCCCACACCGGGGACTACCCAGGTTTCTGACCAATGGTTGTATAATAAGTGGTATAGTAGACTCTGCCCTCTCGGATGTCTTGGAGGGTCTGGCCCACAGCTCTTCCAAACAGGTCCGACACTTCCTTTGGTGCTCTGACCCTCAAGCCCTCGTGGATATCTGTCAAGGCCCAAATCGCATTGTCGGTGTCCTGCCTCGAGAGCCACGGTACGGGAGGCACGTCGACGTGACGGAGGTTGACGAGCCCGTGGCGCTGGAGCTCCGTGACGAGATGCCGTAGCCATTCTGTGTGGGAGAACAGACTGGTCAAAGGCGCCGTGATGGCTGGGGGGTCTCGAAACGCGCCGGGATATCTCAGTGGGTCGCTCATGGCTCGGAGGACCGGCACGGTGGCGTCGATCCACTGAATGAACCCGCCTGGTTTCAAGAGTCTGACGATATTGTGCATGACCCAGTCCTTGTCCTGGAAGTAAACCGCCGCCATGATCAGCCGGACATGGACAACGTCGAACCGGCCCACATATCGGTCGGGCATGGGCTGGAATATGTCGTGGATCTCCAGCGCCACATTCTGCGGGAGCGTGAACTGCGGCGGAAACTGTTGCGGGGATATATCGATGCCCGTTATTCGCGCATATGGATAATTCACGGCCATCTCGAGAGACCAGATGGCATTGCCACAGGCGACATCCGCTATCTCGAGCCCCCGCAGGCCCCCAATCCGTGCTGCAATGTCCGGGTGAAGCAGCCATCCCAGCCTCCTCAGTATCAGATAGTGTTGTGCGGTCAGCCTGCCAGACGCCACTGTGTCGCGGGACATGATATATGGGTCTCGGTGCGCTGCTGTGTCTGCCGCCATATTTCCCTCTCGAGTCGTGCGCTCCGATTCGCGACCAGCTCCGACGAGAGGGTTGGAAGTTCAAGTAGCGAATTATGTAAAAAACCAGACGCGAACCGCGTATTTTATGCTTGAATTGTTAGATAGGACCAAGAGCATGGGTCAAGCTCAATAGGCCAGTCGCAATACCGCAGGGATGAAAAGTTGTAGCATGCTTGACCTACTTCTTGAGCACGGTTCTTCAACTTGAGTCCCCTGAGTCTTTCTGTTGAATTCAAATCTTGAGCTAAACTGGCCCCGCGGCCTAGAGAAAAATCCATGCGAGGAGCCGACGTAACTTGAGGGCATTGAGGATTACAATGCTATACCCTGAAAGGCAATGAGAAGCGATGATTGGCAGAGGAAGCGGTCTCTGTAGTAGACGGCCTCAATCAGGAGGATGCCATTCTATCGTGTGAGACCATGGGGTCGATGTTTGATCGAATCACATTCTCGCGGGCTCGCAACACAGCATGAGGGATGTTGTTTGTCTTCGGGGAGCGGGAAGTTTGATTTGTGGGTGTGTCCCATCGTCCTATCACGAAGCATGTTGAAGCGATGCCCTGGATGGCCTGAAAGGTAGCCAACGCAAAGCAGGGAGGAGGGCTTTGAGAGTTTCTGTAATCAAACTTGGGGTGGCTCGCCAAGCTGGTCCTTCCGAAGGATCTTTGGACCCGGCCAGGAAAATTTGATGTAAGGCCACCCGCTAACAGACCAGAAACCCCGTATTCCCTTCAAACTGTGCTCAACGTCAATGGACATAGGTGCTGGGAAGGTAATACCGACGACTATTAGCGCAGCAGATCAACTTGGAACGTTGTGTTGGCGACAATGATGAGCGTGATCTTGAGGGCAGGAGGACCCTTGCTGTTAGCGGTCCGATATCTCTCGGTTGGTGCCACGTCCTGTATCTCGGGCCTTCAAGCCACTTTGTGAACCAGAAACGAAGAGCATTCGTAAGAAGCGAGGGTCCTGTACCAGGTTGTGGGAAAGGATGATCGATGTCGACCCTCTTCTTTCTTTGCCATTCATGCCTTAAGCATGTTCGGGGCCGGCATTGTCAATCTTCAAACCACAGCCGCGTGGTCCGGTTCTTCGGTTCTGCTCTGAATTGGACTGTGAACTCCGGAAATCAAAAAATTCTGGATGGACGGACCCGTGTTCAGGATAGCATCGAACCACTTCTTGCTCGTTTTCTTCTGCAGCGACTATTGGCACTCCGTGGCAGAGAGAAATTGAAATACAAGGGTCCACCGCGCACTGACAGCCAGCAAAGTGTCTCGATCATATGAAAGGGAAAGAAAGGGATGCTTGGATGCTGAATTTATGAAGGTTTCAATGCTCCGTTGTCTCGATGGAATCAGGTATTTGGAAGTAAAGTATCGAGCCACCAGAGATTGTGTGAAGATCCTCCGTGAGATAGAAGAGCCTGCGGCGACAGAGATCAGCAATAGCACAATAGGAAGGGTAATCGCCTTGCGGATCCTGTACACTCAGCCACACCGATCACAGACGTCGATTTCGCGTCGTTCATCAATCTCCATGGGCAGTTCTAGATGTCGCCAGGAAGTTGGTCTCACAGCTCGATCTGTTCAAAGCTTTCCACAACCTCGAATTCATCTCTCTCTGTATCAGACAGCGGCGCGTTTCCTGGTCTGTCCACCACAGCTGCTTTCATGCCCGCTTGGATCGCTGCCCGCACCTCATTGACATTATCACTCAAGAACAGTATCTCGCCTGGATCTCTGCCAAGCTCCGCCGCAATCTTTACGTAGCTTCTGACTTCTTGTTTGAGACCCGCATTCGTCGTATCGAACCACGCTTTGATAACGTCTCGCTTGTCCAAAACAGCCTTGGGATCGTCGGGCGAAGAAGGGTCTTTGATGTGTTGGAACAGAAGCTTCTGTGCGAAGATTGACCCGCTACTGTAGATAGATATCTCTTTGCTGGTGACGTTGCTATCGCCAGAAGTGGTAGAGGATGACCAGGTCTCCAGAGAGCTTAGCACATCAGGGTAGACAGGCGTCGAATATACATGTGTCTTGTATCCATTCTCCCACAGATAGCCTATTCCAACTCAGTATTGGCTATTTATGAGCATGGAGAGGGACGAGCGCGTCGGGTTGCGGAAAAGAATACCGTTTACCTTGCAGATTTTTCAAATAAGCAATCTTTACATCTCGCTCAGTGAGGTCTTTAACGTGAGCTTCGAATGCCTCAGGAGATGAAGTTGCTGATTCAGGAAACGCTTCACGGTAGGGGACGAATTCCGGGTCATCCCACTTCGAAGCGAGAACATCAGGAAGCGCTTTCAGGGCATATGGAAACTTTTCAGCTCATGTGAGTGAGTGCTTAAATTGCTCGTTCACAGCCTCGGAATGTGAAAAAAGCAGCAGATGCATACGTGCTGGTGGCTTCTTACCAAAGTATCTTTCACGAACGTGATTGGGCAAATAGTGCCCTCTGATCGGGTTTTGCTGTTAGCCAATGTGCCATGCCGCACTACTACTGCGCCATGTTCGAGAATCTGCCTACCTATATCTAGCAGAACAGCCTCGACAGCCTTGAAAAATTTGACTGACTTTTTCACGGCCTGTTTCCGCTTCCGGGCGATTTTGGCTGGACGCCCTTCGGCAGCTTTTGCGACCGGGCTGCGCGAGCGCCTCTTGGTTGAACGCGTTGAGACCATTGTTTCAGTCTAGTTAAATATGGCCTGAAGGTATGACCTTACTGGCGAATGCAAAGCTCCGATTCCCGTTAAGAACACGTTTGACGACAATGAGAGGGACTTATTGTCCTGCTTTTTAAGCTCGGAGCTGATGTCTCTGTCGGCGACGGGGAAACTTTTCGCCAGACCTTCCTTCAGCCGCTGTTTTCATACTTTGATGAGGCTATCTGCCAAGGCCTCAGCGGCTACATCCGACACCATGTGGGTCACTCGAGTCTCTTAGTCTCGGCCACCATCAGGAGGGCAAGGCACTATGATACGACACAACACACAAAAGTACCGACTTCTCTACTGGGACCCGTGTTTCGACTTGCTCACCGCCCCCGGTCGCTTTGAACTTGTGCGCTGTCGCCCTTCCTTGGGTGAAGAAACCCTCCATATCTACGGAAAAGACGGCACTGCGCTTGGGTTATGGATTGAATGGCCTCGTCAAGGAATAGATCGTCTGGGTGTCAGCACTTTGTACCTCACAGGAGCAGGACCTGGGCATCGCTATGTGGTCTAACATGTACTATATCATGAGTTTGAAGAATATCAACGGGAGACAGGTTTGACAGGTTGGTGAGTTTCTCTTACAAGACAGCTAGCCAACCTCAATTGTTCAGATCAAGAATATTGCGTACAAAGTCATCTGCTCTATCACGCGTCGAGGTCTCGAGTGATCAAGGATATAAAGGCCCCCCCTCGATGATTATAGTCTAGGATTTTTTGTTTGTTCCAAAATTCGTGAAAGCGCCTCCTGGCAACCACTTGCAGGTGAAGTGATCTGAACGACCCTGGCTTTGCGGCTGCACTTCATATGTTGTATCCGCGATCCATACATCTGATTATCTGAACACGCCTCACCAAGCATTGCCGTCAACCCAAACTCGGCCGTCGGGCGTCGAAGCAGGTATCTACACAATAACCAGCTTGGCGACAGCTCATCGTGGGACTCAACGCATTTGTCTTCGCCCTACATGGAGGCAGTAAGATGGCCCTTGATTTTGTAAATTTCCGCGGGCCGCCTGCCTCTGGTGTCCCTGATTTTAGGGTCGGCGCCATGCTCGAGAAGTAATTGAACCAGCTTATGGTTACCAGCCAGGTAGGCAACGTGTAGCGGTGTTCCGACCCCGGTGACAGAGTCAGCGTACGCTTGAGGTTGTCCTTCGAACTCAATGGTACTGGGCGACGCACCACTATTCAAAAGAAGCTCGATGATCTCTTCTTCGCGGTTGTTCCAGACAGCAGAATGTAGAGGGTAGCCATGTTGGACTGATGCACCAAGCTCGAGAAGCAGTTTGATAGTCTCAAAAGAAGCACATTGAACAGCAATGGTGAAAGGTGTGAGGCCAAACATGGTGGGAGCGTTAGGATCGGCGCCATGCTCGACAAGCCAGCGGACAAGCTCCAAATCAGAAAAGGCATCACTACGCGAGGTCAGGTTTCTGTTGGATTTGATTATGGGGGAGAACCAACCGCCAAAATGGAGGATACTCCTTTTGGTAGGCGGCGTTAATATCAAATCCCGTATTCAGCATGAGCTCGAGGATCGGGTACGAGAGGTTCTTCACCACAGTGCAGAAGTCGAAAGGACAAGGTTTGACGCCTTTCGATAGGAGGAGAGATACAATCCACAGATAGTCCCTCTCCACCGCAGTGCGCATGGCGTAGAATTTGTCCTGGACCGTGAAATCATGGATGTCGTTGGCCGCGGGCCGGCCAAGGAGGCTTTTGACTTTCTCAACATCACCAGAGGCAACTGCTTCAGTCAGGGGAGTTGGCTGGGCGGACCACATTGATTTAAGCGCACCAAGGTCATCGAAAAGAATGAGGATGAATTATGAAGACGAACAGGAGAGAATGATGTGGTGACGCCTCGGTTCGGTTTAGCGTCCACTTTAGCTCCTAGTGGCCCTTATTGATAAAGTTTATCCGCCAAGTTTAAAAACACTTGAACTCGAAATGAATGTGGGTGGTTTGGTAGTTGGTGGAGTAGTTTTCTTCGACTGGAGAATGTGATCGCGTGAGGCCATAATTTAGTGGTCAGCCACTTGGCGTGACTCTCGGACTGAGGAGGATGAAGACGAAGATGTTGCTCCTACCGCTGGATCTGCTGGATGATGGAGGGGCTTGGGCAAGTGTCGATTCTACTATTTACATGAGGTGCTATCCTAGATCTGCACTACGAACCTCATTCTTTGTCCGAAAAAACCACTCCCCGTCTCCATGTCGCCTAGTTGTACAAGTCCTATGCACGTATACCATCCTTGATGATACCTTCGACCTGCAAACACTGACGAACCGACACAACACGATTTCCCGGGGGTCTGATAGCTCTGCATAGGAGGGAAACAACCGCCCCCACAATCTGCATTCTTCAGGACAAATGGTGACGAGCCGACACTGTTTGACCAAGCGTTGGTCCCGATCAAGCAAGAAAACCAAAACCTTGCCGACCCCTTCGGATGTATGGTTCATATCGATCGTCGGATGCAGTGTGTGGGTCAATAGACGAGACCCACGAGCACAGCCGACACAAGAAGAATTCCCGCTCCGAATGAACGAAAGGGTGGAGTTGCCCAGCTGCTTGCCGTCACAGAAGCGACGGTGACGGTGCTGCTTTCCGACGTGCTCGATGAATGCGTTGGCATGCTCGACAGGGACGTGGGAGTTGTTGTTGGTGCGGAACTACTCAGAGTGGTAGATATCGACGTCAAAGCGGAGACGATATCGCTTCCTGTCTCCAACGGAACTGTCAAAGTAACGCTGCTTGGATTGGTGGCCTGACTAGGATAAGAGGGGTCTGGCGTCAGAGTCGCCGTGATGGTCGTCGTTCGAATGGCTGGTACGGTGGTCTATTCTCTCCCCATCAGTATGGCAAGCTCAATCTGATCGAAAGGGACGCAGAGCAAAGAGGGCCAACAAACCTGAGACGTGGACGAGCTACCGCTGCTGCTGAGACTACTGCTGGTGGCTGCAGTGGCCGTCTCAGTAACACTTGAAGTCCCCGTCGCACAAGTCCAAACCATTTCCCGTGGAGTTCCTGACGACGAAGACGACTCATCGCCCTGTGCGCCAACCACCCAGATCAAATTGCGATCCCACATCTGCACGGTGGCGTCCACGCTGGCGTTGCAGAACACGCGATCATTTAGACCCAAAATGTCGTCGACGGAGGCATCTGCTGTCGTGCAAGACCCGCTCAAGCAGGCTGCTAAGGCTGTGCGGTACGAGCAGTCTGTGCAGATACATCGCCGGAGCATGGCGGAGGGGGAGTCGTCGTCGATAATACCCACATTATTGTCATTCATCGTGGCTGTGGTCGTGACAGAGGCCGAAGCAGATGCATAGGAAGATGAAGGGTCTCCATTCCCGTCCCTGGAGAGAATGGAGCCGCACGACCCAAAGGCCTGGAGGAGCGCGGTGCTGTAGCAGGTCTGCGCGCAGGTCGGGAGCTGCGTCCAGTTTGTATACAAAGACGGGGCGCCAGCCACAGTCTGCTGAAGAGCCATAGCGGCGTGGACAACTGTGCCCCAAGCCAGGAACCGAGCCAGCAGAATCATACCTTGGTCAGTAGACCTACACCTTGTTGGTGTATGTGTCTCCCCGCTATTCTTTCTCGTGGCTTGTGGAGGCCGTGAGTGGAGGGTTGAGCCAGGATAGTATCCGATTTCGAGATGAGATGCTGATTGTTCACATGTACACATTCATGTCATGCATGAACCTATTCGATATTGCCGTTCGTGTTCATGTTCGTGTTCATGATTCGGTAGATCTAAAAATCTCGGAATCAAAGATCACAGAACTACTCCTAAGAACGAATAACTACTAATAAGAGACCGTGTCACGAGTCTTGTCAATAACAATAGTAATGTCGATGTCAATAACAGTGTCACTACCACTGCTGCCACGCGCGCGGACGAGAAAGCCCGAGATATGTCGTTAGACCCCGGGGCACGAGGACAGGGCACACAGGGACAGAGGGACATGAATACTACTCATCTTGTGGTCGCACAATTATACATATCAAGTGATCCTGTGATTCAGTGATGCTGTGATATCTACGCTCCCTTCATCCTCTGTCAACAGTGGCAACTGACCCGTCCACCATCACGCCGAAGAGCAGAAAAACCGGCTGCGGCTACGGCTACGGCTGTGCCGAAAAAGAAGAGGAAGAAGAAGAAGAAGAAGGCGAAGAAGCAGAAGAAGAGTGACAAAAAGGTCATATCATAGGTTCTGTCATCGAATTAAGTACCCATGATACCCTTGATACCGTTGATTACCGTACAAACCACGCATTCTCGGGCGTGACCACATGTGAGGAGACCATCGATTCACTATCCAACACTAGATCCATCCCTTCCTCCTTCTCCAGATCCCCGTTCGCATCGCCTCCTACTTCTCCTTCTCCACGAACTACCTAGCTAGCTAGCTACTCACAAACCAAGGACCAAGATCCATGCACTCACAAACAGAACCGTCGCCATATCCAGTCCTTCGAATGGCAACGCCAGCTCTCCTGCACCCCCGGTCTGACTTGGAAGTAGATTTGTGCTGGTGCCCGCGCTTGTACTTATACTCCGGCTCGTCATGGTAGTGATTGTAGTACCAATACCGGTACTTGTAGGGTAGCTGGTGATAGAATGAGACGTGAATGTCAGGGGTGGAGATGGAGATTGGCTTTGCGTTACAGGACCTGTAATGGTAATAGGGGCGCCGGTGTCGCTGGTGTTTATGCTGCTACCATAGCCACTGGTCCCGTACGTGCTGCTGCTGCTGCTGCTGCTGTGGGTGGCTGATCCGGCCGATGTCAAGGTCACCAGGGGCGGGTTCGGGTGGGATATCCCAAGCCGCTACCAGACTGTTGCCCACTTGTCACAGGCGTCGAAATGACTATGGTACCTGTTACATTTTGCCAATCGGTAGTCGTGCTCTCGCATGACTCGGACGTAGACACAGAATGCGTGTCAGGGCCTCCAGGGCTATTTGAAGGGAAGCTCGAGTGAACAGTTGTTGTCACATAAGATGTGCTCGTGATCGAGATGGTGATTGTCGTGTTATGGGAACAACCCGGACCTTCTGGACAGCCACTCCCAAGGACACCAGAAGTACACGTGGTTATTGGGGCTAGCGAAGCTTGGGTATACGTCGACTGGGTGCCAGTCAAGGGGGACACAAGAGACGTCGCGCTGTAGGTATCAGAGCCGGAGGCGAACGAGGGAAGAGGATAGGAAGGGGCTGAGATTGCAATCGAAGGGGTGTAAGAAGAGGAGCTGATGTCAGAAGTACACGGAGACGAGTCCACGACAGTCGCAAATGTCGAGTATTTAGGCGTACATGCGGGACTGACACAGGTGTCCGACGTAAAGCCAGGGTACGAGAAAGTAATGTCCGCCTTTGCTGCGTCAGAAACAGTCATTCCACGGTCAAAGCTTGAAGATCACATACCCACGTCGTTGACGCCGGCTCAATATCCGACAGCGTAGATGTCTCTGCCACAGTTGAGCAGGTCGGGTTGATGGTCGTAGACATAGTCGCTCCGAATCCCCCACCCACAGTCCATTCTGCAGATCGCACTCCCCAAGTAACAACTGCGTCAACAACCATATTGCAAAATACTTGGTCGTTGGTCATCAGCACTTCATTTGATTGCCCCTGATCCCGACAGCCGCCAGATCTGGAGAGACAGGAGCTCAATGTGTCGCTGTAGGTGCAACTGGAGCAGGTGCAGAGACGAATGGACAACACGCTGTTTGTAGTTCCGCAGTGGCTGATCACGGACATGAGGGCTTCGCTGAAGCATTCTTGCGCACAGGAAGGAAGGTCGTCCCAGCTGTCGAACTGGGCGCACGTATAGCCGACAGCCAGAGACAGGATGAACAAAACAATTGATCTCGCAACAGCCATAACGATGGACTGAGAGACGGAGCTATTGCATTATCAAGAGCATACAACGAATGGTCAGAATGCAAAGGGAAGAAGGTACACAAACCGATGACCGACGCCAACGACCGCGATTTGGAAAACAACAAGAACTTATAGGCATTGAACAAAGTCGGAGGCCACTGTTGCTGAGAAACACCGGCCGAGATTTGATCTGGAAGCAGTGATACCGTGCGCTGCTGTGATGCTATGAAAATGTGTCATACTCAGGTCGGTTGAACGAACGGAAGATGCGATGCCCCAAACATTGAGCATCGGTCCCGCGCAGAAAGTTGAAGAGACAATTGCTAGCCCTCTACGGCGCACCATAGTCAGAGACTTCTTAAGAAGGTAGACACTGGTGGCTGCGTCAGGGCCTCAAACGTTTTGAATGACAAGTTGCAAAGAATTGACGGCGATAATCTCAACCGGAATGATTCTGAAAGTCTGTAGAGAGGATAGCATGGACATACAGAACCACTTGGAAATTTATGCATGATGCCTTTTGAGGAAGAAGCATAAGGCCAAGAAAAGTAGAGCCGCTCCCCAAAGAAGGCACCGTGTCACCCTCCGGAGATATCTTGCAGAACCACTCAAGACGCACAGCATAAACTGTGAAACCCTGAAAGGTAAGAAGCATGCAGCGATGGCTAGTCATCAATGGAGGGTCGCGGATGTGCCAGTGGCGAGCCGTAATTGTGTTGTCGAACGTGCAACCACCGTGCCGTCCTTCAGGTAACACTATCGTCCAATGCTGAATCTTAGCTCCAGTTGTCTTCAATCCGGACTCCATGCCCATCAAGTATCCAAAAAGGGAATCGGTTTTGCATGGCGTTGCTGAAATACCTTAGTCGTCGTCCCGTCACTAGAATATCTTGCCAACGAGAATCCATGTCACGAAAACGCCCAGTCCTTTCGCTACAATCTCCAGAGCACCAGCATGAGCACGAACAGCAGCATTGAAAGACTGCACTGCCATAACACTCGGGGTCGAGTATTCAGTCCAGGGGCTGCTCAGGTTGCCGCTTGATGTGGTGTTTGGGGGCAAATCCACGACAACAGTCGAGGTGCTGGTGATTAACACTTGAGTCGCGGTCATAGTAACAGAGCCTGGGTCGGTACCGGTGATTGAGGTGTTAGACGCCCAAGACGATGGAGGGGTTGACAACGTCTGCAAAATATTAGCCATTCAGGCATAGGACAGAGTCATGCACGGTAAAGTATGTATGCAACATGCCTGAGTCTGAGTAGGATCTGAGACTGTGGCCCGATAGCCTCCCCAGGGACCTCTTCCCAGAGTGATGGTTCTTGCGCCATTGATCAACGTGTAATCAAAGCCACTATCCACAGAAGCGTTGCAGAAGACGGCGTTTTTGAACGTCTCGATATCGCGGTTGAAAGGGTTGGAATTGCAAGGCACGTTGGCTTGGAGGCAAAGGTCGAACTTTGTGACGGCGTCAACATTTCGACAGAAACAGTCAAGGGATGTATGGGCGCAGGTAGAGAGAGAAGCGTTGACAGATTTGGTGAAGCAATCTTGCTGTGAGTATGGTCAGCCTGAGGGAACGAGGCACAGCTTCATGGATCGACCTTACAGCGCAGTAGGGAAGAGCGGTCCACCTCTCGTAGTACGCGCTCACGAATGGAGAGACGACCAAGAGGAGCGAGCAAAGGAATGCGGATAGTGTAAATGCCATCATGAGAATGTGTGATAGTAATAAGTGCTGAGGGGAAAATGATGGAGAAGACGTTCGAGGCCTTGCTGAAGAGTTCTTGAGAAAGGATCAAGCAAAGGGAGGGAGAGAGAGACAGAGAAAGGGAGAAGGAGAGTCGTTACTGTCACCCTCGACACCAACACCAACAACAACATCACCTGACCATCGTCACTTGCTCCTTCCCTGAATCGAATAAGTGATATATTGTACATTCACATTTTGGTCCCAGATGACACTCACCTGCAACCAAGACGTTGCTGACAAGTGATGCCATCCAAATGCCACACCTCAACGCTGGCAGAGACTTACCAAAAAAACCACTTGAAAGAGCAAGGTTTAACTTACCACAGACGAGATTGATCCCGGTTCAGGGGGTCGAATCGAGTCTGTGGAAAAGTTTTTGTAACTCGGCATTTTCGTCCTCGTGAAGGATATTCGTGAGTGAGTGAATGTGTGTGGATGAAAAGGAGATGGGAGGGTGAAGGACTTCAGACAAGCGACGGAAATGACAATGAAGAGCTCCCCAGTTCCACGACCATCGAGTTGGTTGATGCGTTGAAGGGGCTGGAAGCCACCCTTTCACTCCATATATCACTACACCTTCAGACTGGACGACCTCCCTGGCGAGGCTGAATGTCCATATGAGCTTCATACCGCATTCCGTCACGTCGCTCGTCCACGTCATCCACCCTATCCATCCATTTTTCAATTATTCAGTGACTTCTCCCACCACGCGCATCTTTGGTTTGATGTATCATCTTTAACCCGTGCCACCACAGTCGAAATCGAGTTCATACTGGCATTTTGACCCTGCATTGGGAATGGTGGCAGTCCCTGTCCATTGGGATTGCCCGACAGGATGAAGTTCGTGAGGTAGGCTTGAAGGGTTTTGGCCACTGGGGCAATCAGGTCCTGCGTGAGGTTGGTGGGTTGGCCGTTGTAAAAGGTATATGGCACATCATATCCATGGAAGCCTGGCGGCACTGCGAATTGATACGAGTAGGTGTTGTTGCCGTAAGCTTTGTTGAGGAAGTAGGTGTTGCAGGTGAAGGATGATTCGGTGACGAACAGGATAGTTCGCTCAATGGGAGACTTATAAGGCTGGCTTCCATCGTAGACAGCTGGATAGAGTGTTTTGACAATGTAGTCAACCGCCGCGGGAGGTGTGCCGGGATTGAGCATGACTATCATGTTCTCCAACTGGTCGTCGGTTTGTACGTAGGGTGGCGTGAAAGATGGTCCCTCGCTGAGTGTATGTGAAACCATGACGCTCAGATTCTTTGCAAATGCCCCTGCATTGAGCAGAGTACCAGGAAGCGCGGGCACAAAGACCCCATCAACAACTGGCCCGTAGGTAAATCCACCATACTGAGAGGCTCCCACCTGCAGTGCGTTGGCTTTGATTACCGCCTCAGAGGATGCTTGTCTGGCCTCCTCGATTGTGCTGACGTTGAGAAGCGACAGGAACGACTGCGTGGCGTTTTCCTGGACGAAATATGATGGCGTCGGAAGATAGCCGGGTGATTGCGAGATGGCTTGCTGGAAAGGGACTTCCTTCAGGCCCCCAAAGGCGGTGATCTGGTGGACGATTGATCCTCCTCCGGCCGACTCGCCCATGACAGTGACCCGGTTTGGATCGCCACCGAACAAATGGATGTTGTTCTGCACCCATTCTAGAGCCAGACGCTGATCATAAAGGCCTGCATTAGACACTCCTCCGGCTGCCTGCAAGGTAGGGCCTGCAAGCCAACCCATGGCGCCTAGTCTGTAGTTCATGGCCACGAAGATAACACCCTCACCTCCGTTGGCCTGACTAGCCTTGATGAGACCACTAGGGTTTCCAGACCCCTCTTTGGATCCGAGAGTATACCCGCCGCCGTAGATCCTGATCCCAGTAAGGAAATGGTGTCGACATCAAGCTCTTTGAACTTACCAGACTACCACCGCAGCACCCGCATTTTGACGTCTTCTGACTCTACTTTTCGAGCCGTCAAAGACCTTTTTGGGCACAATCACATCCAAGAACAGGCAATCTTCAGACATCCGTGGATCTGGTGGGGTAGGCTTAGCATTTTGCAAGGCAATTTGAAGTTGCTCCTCGGCCTGGGTGTAATTGAACGAGGTCGCGTTCCCTGCTATGAGATACTGAACGAACTCGGAGGAGATTGGATACCATCCCGGAATAGCTTGCGGACAGATTCTGTCGACGCTGCCGTTCTGCACCACATTGTTTCGGCCACTGGGTGGCACAGGAGCAGCAAAGCGAAGGTTGCCTATTGGCGGCTGCGCATAACGTATATTTGAGAAGTTGTACGTCTGTCCGGTTTGCTATGAAGTGGAGTCAGTTTGAGCGAGATTCTTTTTGCGACCATCGGAATACATACGTTGAAACTGATCGCCTGGTGGATTTCATAGCCGAGATCAACCTGAGGAAGCGTAGCCTGCGTGTGGACAAGCGGAGTCAGAAGGGCAATCGCCACAAGTGAAAAGGTGGTGGATGACAGCATTCTCCGAGAACTGATCACCGGCGTACCTGTCGAGCACCTGAGACAGATCTCAGCAAGAGGTTATGGATGGGGGAGCAGCGCGCATATGAAATACTTCTTTACCGCCACTGTGTTGGAGAAGATTTGATCAAAGCCAGTGACTGGGGCAATGGTTGACGCGGGCTGGTGCAAGTCCGTCCATCGACCGCGTTTCCAAGAGTCGAGAGCAGTTTCTAGCTTCCAGATCGGGAAATAGCTCCATGCGGAACACGGCAATGAATTTGAGGGTGGGACAACCCCAGCTATAGCTAGTCTGTAAGAACGGGGTTACCAGGGTCGAGCATGATCTGCCTCGGTATCATATCTGGGGAGACGAGCCGATACGTTTGATCCGTCGGCCAATTCCAGAGGAGGGCAACTAGGAGACACATGGGGGGCAGGATAAGTTGGCCTGTTGACGTCAGTATATCGAAAGCTGGCACGGTGGGCATGAAGTGGTGATGCGGGATCACGGCGGTGTCGGGAATGTATCCATCTCTAGACACACATCCCGGGCCTGGAAGGGTGGTTGGACGCGAAGTTGATTCTTTTGTTCTTCCGCTCAACTAGGTATGCAACTAACGAACAGCTGCCACACCATGTTGGATGATGATTTGATCTGTTAGAGGTACGACGTATTCGTGGGATGGTGGAGAACGCAGCACCAGATACGTGGAGACGCGGGGAGGTTGTGTGGAGCAAACAAGAATACAAGCTTAGGTCATGATGCAGTCTTCGGCAATGTCATGGCAATGCTGGTCGGTCCATTATCAATCCGAGAGAATCGTGGTTGGCACGGTTGGGAACAATGGAAAGCTCCACAAGGTCGAGACACAAGGAGACAAAAACCTGTTTGTGGCTTGCAAGGAGAACGCAGCTTCTTAAAGAATGTGGATAATGATAAGTTAACGATAATAATACACCAACAGCCCAACAGTCAAGGGAGTCCAGCACCCATTGAAACAGTCTATCTTCGGCCTTGCTTCACATCCCCTCGTCCAAACCAATTTAAGAATCGCACCAACAATCACACTGTAGTTAGCCTCGATCAGCACCAGCGACCTTTCCGCCACACCTCCTCCGCATTGGCCTTGCCTTTGCTTTCGGGCACAAACACAACCACAAATATAGCCCAAAAAACAGCAACACCTACGAAAATCCACCACACGTTGTGCATAAGGACCTTGTTCAAGACAGGGAAGAACATGGCCACCAAGAATGTTGATAGCCAGTTGGCTGCAAGAGCCCAGCTAGAGACAGCTCCAACGGCTTCAGGTCCGACAAGTTCGCTTGCTAAGATGAACGGAATCGGGCCAAGCCCAACACCAAAACTGGCCACGAATAGGGCAACGGCAGCGATCGTGAGGGCTTGAATGTGCTTTGCGAGCCCGGCGTACAACATCCCTGATGCCGCACCCATCCCTATAATCGAAATCAGGAGGCAGGGTTTTCGGCCAATCTTGTCAGGCAAGGGCGCTGCCAAGATTGTCACCACCACATTTACACTTGAGACAATGACCGTAACGAGGCCAGCTTGCTTGGGCATGACCTTGCCCAGAATGGCGACGCTGTACATGACGACGCTGTTGATACCACAGAGCTGTTGAGCAATCATGGTACCCGTCACGGCGATCAAGGGTTGTCGATACTTGGGCATTTTGACGACTGCAATGATAGATCGGGATGCTTCTTTGAGTGGCCGCGCACCTCTCGGGGACGCGAGGAGACTTTCCTCTTCTGCTTCTCCCGACATGTCCCAGCCCTCCATCTCCTCTCGAATATCCGCCGTTTTCCCTCTGAGGCGCTGCAGGATTCCTCGGGCCATTCGCGGTCGATTGTTTGCCGCAAGCCATTTGGGAGTTTCTGGCGTGAAAAAGAGGCCCACAAACATGAGGCCGGCAATGAAACCGCCCGTGGCCAGCACCCAGCGCCATTTGTTGTATTTGGACAAGAAATACCCGAGGAGCTGGGCGACAACGATGCCAGAATTGATCTGGACCTGAGTGAAGGCTCCGAAGAGGCCACGGCGCTTTGGGGGCGCCACTTCAGAGATATAGATGGGAGAGACGACAGTAGCTGCCCCGGCTCCCAATCCAGAGAGTGCACGACCCAGGGCCAGCAGCCATAGTTTACCCGCCAGTGCTTCAGCAACAGGTCCGCCAGCCAGGAAAAAGGTTGCCAACCTCAACGCAAACAATCGACCGAACCTTGTCGCGACGGCACCGCTGAAGAGGGCTCCGAAGAGACCTCCGACGGTAAACATGGACTGCACCATACCCCATTGGAAGTCGTTCATGGGAATGCATTGAGGAAGTCCGAGGGCTACATATCCGGGGAGTTGGTCGACTTGGCAGGTAATGACCTTCTGAGGGGCATTGAGTTCTCCCTGGCGTTTGTCAGTCATGTCTCCCCATCACAGGTTGTGGTCCAGCAATACTCACCAAGTGGTAGCCAAAGAGGAGAGGACCAAGAGTGACCACGTAGACAGTGGAGATGAGTAACAGGGTGAAACCTTTCGGCTTTGGAGGTGCCATCAGGCCCTTTGGGGGCAGACCCGGGGAGAGATTGACCTGCGTGTAGAGCCCATAGCCACTGCTGGTTTTCGTCAGCGCAGTTCGTCCCATGTTGAGGAAGACAGTTGGTGATGGCATACCAACCCAGAATGCTCTCAGGAAGACCTCCCTCTTTTACTATATGGACCGAAACACACAAGTGACACGATAACAGGGGGAACGATACTGGAGCCCAATGATGTAGATTGTTGCGTAATGATGCAGATTAGCTGCGCGCAGGCAGACAGATTGTTTAGATTCCCCATGGTTGATTGAGAAGGAAGCGGCGCCCTCCGATGAAAGCATAGCAGGAGAGAACGATGGGATTGGACGCCGTAGACGACAAGGAAATGACCAAGTCGAGCCAGCGCAGGCCCAGCACAGGCCAGCGAATGTGGGCGCAGGTGGGCGCAAGCAGGCGAACGGGGCAAAGTGCAGCCGTGCCGTGGCCTCACCACATCCTATTGGTCGGCATCCACAATGCCAAGTCGTACATCAAATCGACAGGCTTCGTACCAACAACACCTCCTGTTGCCTCTCCGCAAGGCTTGCCGTCCTCGCCGTCTTCAAACCTCGCCTCTATCGCCGTCAATGTCGATCATTTCGCCTCATGGGATTTTATGCTTTTCGATTTTAATGTGCATCTGACTATCAACTATTTTCTAGCAGATTCCCATCCCGCGGCCTAATTGCAAGAAAAGGCGATTTGTTTGCTGATCCACAAGACTCCTTGGTTGCCACTCGGCTTTGGGCCATACTTGATCGGCGGAATCGGGCGGAGGCTGCCTATTCAACGCTGTGAGAGACAGCCTCACCGGGGTTGTTGGCGAGGGAGATGAATGCTGTCCGTTCGATGATGTCGCCAATATCGTTCCGTTCGTGTTAGATTGTACGTCTGTTTAAAGCACAACACCCGAGGTCGTACTGGGGGGGGACTTTGGACGAAATGTCGATTCCTGGCATGTCCCGCTCAGGCACAAGTCTGAACATTGCCCAACAACTCCGAAAGTCCACTCAGTTGGCGTTAGATGGTATACACTCCTTCTTAGTGTTCTTCCCTTTCGACCCCTATCTTCATTGGCTGAGCAGTGCAAACGGGAGCAAGCTGATATAAACCACTAGATTCTGGCCGGGGCCATGACAAGAAAATACCGGGCAACAACTATACAGCGAAGGTTAAAATCGGCCACAAGTATACTATCATCGGTTTCATTAGCAGCGGCACCTATGGTCGAGTATACAAAGCTGTAGAGAAGAATCCAAAAAGTGATTCGACCAGCCCTTCAGGGACATCTCCACCAAAGGAACTATATGCCATCAAAAAGTAACGTCACAAGATTTTCCTATAAGCAAGGTCTACTCTGACCCACAAACAGATTCAAACCGGAGAAGGAAGGAGACAATGTCCAGTATACAGGATTGTCTCAATCTGCCATTCGGGAGATGTCGTTGTGCACCGAGTTGTCTCATCCAAACGTGGTTCATCTGGCCGAGATCATCCTCGAGGACAAGTGTGTCTTTATGGTTTTTGAATACTGCGAGCATGATCTTCTCCAAATCATTCACCATCATACCCAGCCGACCAGGCGACCCATCCCCGCTACCATGATCAAGTCGATCCTATTTCAGCTCCTCAATGGCTTGTACTATCTCCACCAGAACTGGGTGATTCATCGTGATTTGAAGCCTGCCAACATCATGGTCACCAGCTCTGGACATGTGCGCATCGGAGACTTGGGACTTGCCCGACTCTTCCACAAACCTCTCTCGTCACTATATTCCGGGGACAAGGTCGTGGTTACCATATGGTACCGTAGCCCCGACCTGCTTCTGGGTGCACGTCATTACACGCCGTCCATCGACCTCTGGGCTGTCGGATGTATCTTCGCTGAACTCCTAAGCCTCAGACCAATCTTTAAGGGAGAAGAAACAAAGATGGATAGCAAGAAGACAGTACCGTTCCAGAGAAACCAGATGGGCAAGATTGTGGAAATCCTGGGCATGCCTCGACGAGAAAACTGGAAGGGCTTGGTGGACATGCCGGAATATCCGCAGCTGCAGTCACTGATCGTGTCCCGTGGCGGGATGCCAGGAGGCTTATATCCGAACCCCCCTACGTCTCTGAACCGCGGTTCTGGTGGTAACAACGGCAGCGGTCTGGAGTCGTGGTATAACAACTGCATCCGGCACGCGAGCTACCCTCCAGACAAGTCTCCTGGCCAACGCGGGTTCCAGCTCTTGTCGGAGTTGTTCGAGTACGATCCCGACCTACGCTTGACGGCCGAGCAAGCTCTCCACCACGAGTACTTCAGAAACACCGATGATGGGCCGAACAAAGGCAAGATATGGGTCAGCAGTAATTGCTTCGAAGGGCTGAACGAGGTGTATCCACACAGGAGGGTAAGCACTGAAACGAACGACATTGGGACGGGCAGCTTGCCAGGGACGAAGAGAGGGGGCTTGCCTGATGACACGCTTCTCCCAGCGTCAAAAAGGAGATAGCATTTCCATGACTCTGACCTCGGCAATTGGACGCCACTATTGTTGCAACTTGACTCGAATCATTGCGGAGACCCGCGATCTGTCCTCGCTTGGGAGAACCCCTACACGAAACGTGGAGTCACATCACATCCCTCCCAGGCCCGGCCGGTACAGTGGAATGCGTTTCACCTAGCTCTACAGCGCGAATTGGCCACGTTCACCGACGAAGAACTTCAGGGCAATTGGAGTAATTCTCTCAATTCGTTGCCCTCACAAGTCTTTTGGCACTACAACGAGTGGAGATTGAACTGACGATGCATTTATCTGCGACTGACTCGGATCTTTTCGTGGTGAAGATGGAAAAGAGTCAAACCGTGCACCCCGAGGCGGAAGTCACTTTGGCTGCACGAGGTATATTGACACCACATCTTGGATGTTGGGGCACACGGGACGGTCTGTCATTCGGTCTCACGGCTAGCATTTGGAGTTTCGTCCATTTTTTTCAGCATATGACCAGCCCGGGGTACTTGTTTGGTTTGCAAAAAGATGCAATATTTTTTTTCACAGTGACCAGAGCTCATTTATGCTTTTTCCTTTTTCATAGGTCTGTTCTTTGGATTGTCATTCCACCATTTTTCGTAAAGCTCCGAGCCTCCATCTACCAGTGGAAAAAGGGTTCCCATTGATACCGCCGTAGCCGTTGATATGCCATTGCTAATCATAGGCAAAGGGTGAGGGTCCATAAGATGCTGCACATGCAATCCCTGGCCAGCGCTCGACTCTTCGCAAAGGCTCCCCATACGACTCTCGTCCTGAAAAGTTCGTCAAGACGAAATCTTGTTTGTCCGCTCCGCGTGAGGAGGACCACCCGTCAATATTTCAGATGATCCTCATTCTCGTCTCCAAACCCCCCAGTCACCTCCCCGACACACATGCATCAATAATCAGAAGGAGAACCCCCTTAAGCCTGCGCGGTCTTAGCGGCCTGCTGCGGGTTGACCTTCTTGCCGTCCTTGTTGTACCGGACTCGCGGGGGCGGGGCACGGTTTCGGCGGCCCACGCGCGACCGGACTCGCACAATCTTGCCGTGGATGGCGCACGACACGCAGTACTGGAGCTTCAGGTACATCTTGGGGACGGCGTAGTCGGCGAACACGGACGCATCGGAAATATCACCTATCCCAATTCCTCGTCAGTCTACACAATTGTTCTCTCATTCCCGGTGTTGGGGGTTTTCCATCGACAAGAAGTACGTACGGATTGCTGCCGATTCGACCATGTTACGGATGGTGAATCTCTTGATGGCTTTATCTTTGGGCACGCAGCGAGAGCAGTTGGAACACCGAACAGGCTTGACTCTGCCTCTGCCCTTCTTGTTGCGACCACTGGTCTTGTCAGAAAATGGATTGGATGGCACTGGGGGATGATGGCATACTTGGAGGCTCGTTTCTTGACCATTTTGACGTTCGCTAAGGGTCAGCGGTTTTCGAAGGTATGCTCAAGAGCCCTCAGAGCGTTGTGAGGGCAATGGTGGAGGTGATAATGGCGGGATCGATAGGTGAGGTGCAGAGGAGCTGGGCGTGGGCAATGCGAAATAATTCCAAAAAGTGCATTTTTCGAGGTGCGGTGGGTGCCAAGTGTGACTTCGGCAGCTAGTCCCAAAACAGCTAGCGATAGGTCTGTAACTGGTAACCTCTCTGAGGGCTTGGCAAACGGCCTGCCTCCTACAAGATCGGTCAGATAGTCTGCCACTCGCATTAACCATTCAGTTGCTTCTGAATGCCTGTGGCTTACGTATGCATATCATCACCTACGCTGTACTCATAAGACTATCAGTGCAGCTTCAACACGGAGAGCCCGGAGAAGCGATCGTAGTAAATGCTATCAAATATTGCAGGAGTTTCTCTGATACGTGCGCATCGAGATTTAGTTTTGCTGTTGTATTCCTCCTCCAGATGGGCGCATTAATCGGACAGCGCTGCCAGACTCTTCAGAAGTTCGGATTGAACTGTTCGGTCGGACCTGGCGAGGCTGAGTGAGTCCTGAGGCTGATGTCCCGGGCTAAACTAGTCCCTATTGGGAAAGGCCAACCAATTGCGCATCTTTCCCTGCGGCCATGATTTTAAGCTATTTGTCGACCCAAATGTGGTAGTTCTTTGAGCAGCTGTTATCGCACTGCTCTCACGGCGAAGACCGTGTTGGCTTCTTGCTTACAATGTCGCTGTCAATATGCACAGAATGCCTTTCACGGCTGCGGATCTCATCGACAACTCCCAAAAGTCTCGCCGTCACCGCAGCGACATGGACTCAATCAACGTCCTTTCACAGCTCAGCAGCACAATATAAATCCCCTTTGCTGAAGAAGAAAACCTCTAGCCAATCCGGCAGCGGACCTCCCAGAGCTCGTCAATCCCAATCCGCACGCCTGAAGAAAAAGAGCCGCGAACGTCCCAAGTTACCTCCAGTTGGCGAACGTCGAGCCCAACGTCGTCGGATCGTCCTCTCCAACACCAATGCCTTACCCGTCTCGGATTTAGAGACATGGAGTAAGGAGAATTTGGTCGACGAGAAGTTTGTTGGACACATGTTGGCGCTTGATGGTGGTCTGTTGGATCAATTGAGGGATTCAGGGGCGTTCAAGACTACCCAGAACTGGAGTCTCTTTCGCAGGCCTGCGACTTTAATACGAGAGGAGACACTTCGCATAGCGAAAGAAATGCAGGATGTCAAGCAGGAGGGCAAGAAGAAAAAGGTCATCAAACATCTAATAACTGGCGAGAAGGCTAGTGGGAAAAGCGTTCTCTTGTTACAGGCCATGAGCATGGCATATATGGATCACTGGATCGTGCTGAATGTCCCAGAAGGTAGGCGGATTTCCATGTTCATCCGTGTTCAGAGGCGAGATCACTGACTTTCGCCTTTTACAGCCCAGGACTTTGTCAATAACACGTCCTCGTACGCGCCACTTCGACACGCCGAGGACGAGTCTGAACATATGTACATCCAACCACACCTAACCCAACTCCTGCTCACCCGCGTTGCCACCTCGAACGAATCCGTCTTGAAGTCTTTGAAACTCAACCACGCTCATTCCAAGACACTCTCCCTCAAGAACAACTCCACATTACTGGATCTGGCTCAAAAGGGCGCAGGTGACCACCACCTCTCGTGGCAAGCATGGCAAGCCTTCTACAAAGAGCTTACCGAGCCTGGAAAGGACCCGCGTCCACCAGTTTTGCTTGCTGCCGATGGCGTTGAACATTGGATGGGACCCACGGCATACCGCGATAGCGACCACAAAATCCTGCATGCGCACCGATTCATGTTGGTGAAGCAATTCGTCAATCTCTTGTTCACAGGCAACACGGGGAATACGTTGCCTTTTATCAATGGTGGCATGGTCCTCTTCAGCACCTCGGGCTCAAATACTCCCGCCTGCCCGACTTTCAAGCTCATCCTTTCTCAGATGCGGGCCTTCCAAGAGCACTCTATCTCTCCCGCGCACCCAGATTTCCCCCTGCCAAAGCCCTACAGCAAACCCGACCCGCGAGTTTTGGCTCTCTCTGGACCAGCGACCCGGGGAGCTTTGAATCTGCTGGAGTTGAAAGGCTTGAATAAACTGGAATCGAAGGGTTACCTGGAATATTTCGCAAAGAGTGGGCTTTTGCACAGACGCATCACAGACGGTTTGGTGAGTGAGATGAGAGGTTTGAGCGCAGGCGGCGTCGTGGGTGAGTTGGCAAAGTTGAGTAGACGGGTGATTGCTTGAATGCGGCGAGCTTACTCGATCGCTCTGGTCAGTTGTGATGGTGAAATTGCATGTAGAACAGAAAAGAGAAAGGGTTCTGAGAGTGTCAATCGAATTTGTTGTATTTACTGTACACCAGAGGATCGATGGAAAGCAGCCGATCTACAACATCGCCTGGCTTCGTCCCCATACCTTCGAAGAGAGGTGTTGTAACGAGAGTGCTTCTAGACAGCATAGCCGAGCTGACTCGTTCAGACCGAGACAGGGCATCCACCGGAGAACTACATCTGTATACCTAGGTATGTATATATATATATATATATGTATGTATGATGCAGGTACGGATACAGCTACCAATCTTGTGTTCTACCGTAACATAAGCCCACACACGCTGCTCACTCATGAGGCGAGATATCTCAAGTCGAGAGTCTAGAGGACGGCAAGATTCGAATCGGGATCATTTACTCTAGGGACGCAAGAAGATATCAAGACCGTCATCGACATGTTGGAGTGGTGTCCAAGGTTCTGGTGGAGGTGGGCAATGAAGTAATCACAATTGAGGGTCAGACACAAGGAGAAAGAGCAGTAGTTGTGTCCAGAAGATAGGTATGTAGGTGGGTAGGTAGGCACAGAGTATCTGGTATGTGTAGTCTCCTCCTCCTTCTTTCCTCTCCTCTTCTCAGGCCCGAGAGAGCAGCAGCCTGCCACGCTTGCGTTTGCGTCTGCGTCTAGGCAACCCAGCCGGCCATTCAGGGTTCCTTAGTCCCTCTCTTCAATTGTGTCTGTTTCACTCTCTTGTATTCGTCCTGCTTCTTTTCTTCTTCCTCTTTCAGTCTGGTCCAGAGTACCATTGGGCCGTCTGCCAATGGCCTAGAAAATTGCGAGGGCGTTCGGTGGGCTGCCGACTCCGCCGGGGACGTTCAATGGGATACTTGTCAAGAGGAACTCGTAGCGGCCGACTTTCTTGCAGTGCTCGCCGAGGGCCTTCAGGTCCCACAGTTCGCCGATGTTGAGGCCGAAGAGAGAGAGGAAGTATTGATGGAGAACTGGAAAGCGCAAGGGGTTGTTAGCCAAAGAGCAGACTTCGTAGGTGGATTGAACCAAGGGCAAATGAGTCAGAGCGTCCCACTGGGTCAACTTTGGGTGGTATAGCGAGAAGACAAAGGGAAAAGGAGCTTACCAAGGTCTGCAGTCGTGCCCACCCGGTTGCCTTCGTCCTCGAGCGTAGGAGGGAGCACCTCAAACGCAATCGCGTCTCCCGCAACAGCAGCAAAGTGGTGATTCCATACCCACTTGGCCGACTCTTTGCAGCCTTTGACGCCGACTGACTTGTGAGTGCCTAGCATGCGTTCCTGCTCTTCGGCACTAGCTGCCCCTAGGTCTTCTGTGAAGCCGGAGCGAATGATCAAGATATCGCCGTGCTTGAATTTCGTGCCCTGGTGAGCGGCCACGGCCTCGAGATCCTGCACCGAGATGGCGTGCGCTTCAAAGCAGCTATACTTGATGCCCTTGGCTTCAGCGTAGGCACGATAGTCGAGGAGGACTCCCCGTCCCACCAAGCCGCCACGGTCGTGCCAGTGGTTTAATGTGGGAAAAGCCTTGTCCAGGTCGACGTGGCCGAAATCCTGAATCAGCTGCTCCTTCTGCAGATCGGCGCCATTGTAGCCGAGGCCGGTGGGTTGATGGCTGAAATGTACCAGACTGTCCCATTGAGAAGAACATTGCGTATTGAACTCGACCTCGTCATCGAAGCCCGAGAGGTGAAGAGGGCTGTCTTTGAAAGAGAAGACCTTGTGCACCAAGCCCTTTCGTCCAAAGCCCGGCTTCTGAATCGCGCCGATGGGCCAGTTGAGCGATACCGAGACGCCGTCGCGAGCCTCCTTGAAGGCCTCCTGTACGACTTTCGGGGTCAGGAGGTTTATGCAACCAAGGTGGTCCTTCTTGCCGTCCTTGTCGAAGAGGCCCCATGCACACCCGTGGGGCATGCCCTCGACCTTGGGGAGGGAGTCGAAGTCTGGAAGGTTAGTGTAGTCTGCCATCTTGGAACAAAGAGCTAGAATGGAGTATTCAGTATTCGAGAGGGATCAGGAAAGCTGGGAAAGGAAGTGTGTATCAGGACGAGAAGTAAAGGGTCACACGGTTAAGTACGACTCGCTCGAGTCAGCGCGGGGGGACTCTACGACTCTTTTTATAATGTAATCGGAAAGCGGTCCCCAGCATATCAGATGCTCGTAAAGCTGAGCTGTGCGTTCCCCTGGGGACCTCAGAACCGAGTTCCCTTTCACCACGCGCGTCAGAAATAGCGGAGATCAATCCCCATGGAAAGTCTTCGCCAAAGGAGGGGCAAGTTTGGTGGCACGCTCCAAAACAACCCCCCTTGTTCCCCCTCCAAAAACCTCGGTAAACCAGGAAACGAACCCCAGGTGGGGAAAAGATACTCGAAGCCATACCTAAAGAGTACTGCGCAACGGAGGGAACGCGTGAGCAGGGATAACAATTGGGCGGGCCGCAGGATGGGAGGATCGTTGGTATATGAGAGGCCAAGAGAGGTTTGAGATTGGGGGGAAGGATGGAGAAGGATCGAAATCAATTATGACCGAGGTTGAAGCTGAGGAAGGTTGCGCGGGTTTAGAGCCACCGGATACTAAGATACAAGACCAAAACAGGAATGAGAAAAGAGGGCCCCAGACGACAGGATGAGGAGTCTTTGGGAACTAGAAGTCAGCGGAGCATGACTCAAGGACAGAATGGAAGATAGATGCTGCTTTTTGTCCTCCTTGAATCAATCTTTCAATCACAAAACCACTATATTTGGCCAATCCAAGCTGCAAGTCCAGATAGTGCCAGTTGCAAACTCCACCCTGTATCTGTTGCGAAGCGAAAACAGAACACAACAAGCCGTACACGTATTCGAGTAATTGTAAATGGAGAGTCGACAAGACGGAGCTGACCAACACGATCTGTCCTGTCCCACTCAGTCGTCGTCTGCATCACCCATGTCCTCGTCGTTATCTTCGTCGCTGTCCCCGGCTTCGATCCATACCAGCCGAGTTCCATTATTGGCAATTTGCCAGACCTAGAATCCTGAAGTTAGTAACCAGAAAAATATGACGGGAATCGAGTTCACTCACATCCAACAATTCGTACTCCTCCAGCGTTCGGAGGAATTGGTCACTCGTAAATCCTTTCGCAGTAACCAGCTCCCTGACTCGCCCGAGATTCAGCTCTCCCCTCGCACCCCGACCAACACTCGCCGCTCCCGATTCCCTAATGCCGCGAATCAGGTCGTATATCTTGGAGCTCACAGTCTGATCACCGTGCGAGCGCTGATCAGTGTACAAACTGGCCTTGGACACCTCGATCAGACGTAGTGCTTCGTCAACGTCCTCATTCACCACCTCGTTGCTGAACCTCAGTCGAGCCAGTGCCTGCGACAAGCGCAAGACGCCCAGTAAAGTACGTGGCGACGTGTGGGTAAATTGCTTTTTAGACCCTTCATCACGCTTTTGTTGTTGGCGCATGCGAACATATGCACCTACCATATAATCACTCACGGACTTCGGTACATTGGGTCTGAATGTCCGTGCCTGGGCGATATACTGTCTGACTTCGTGAGGCGAGAAGACCACACCTTCCCCTTCGCGTTCCGGATGCCGATTGTGCATGTGCACGTGGCAGACATGCTGAGCGAGCTCCTCATCTGCTTCCCGGGAGGGTGTATCGAGGATCAGGAAAAGAATGTCAAATCGAGAAAGTAGGGCAGCAGGGAGGTTGATGTTGTCCACAGGCGAGATCCGAGGGTTATACCGGCCATAGAGCGGGTTAGCTGCTGCCAGGATCGACGTTCTTGCGTTGAGGGTGGTAGTGATGCCGGCCTTGCTGATCGAGATAGTCTGTTGTTCCATGACTTCGTGGATGGCAGTCCTGTCTCCGTCGTCCATCTTGTCGAACTCGTCGATACAGCAGATCCCGTTATCTGCTAGGACGAGTGCACCACCTTCCAGAACCATCTCGTCGGTGACAGGGTCACGCATCACCGCAGCGGTCAGACCGACACCACTGGATCCACGACCCGTCGTATATACGCCTCGGGGGGCGACTTTGGTGATGTATTTGAGTAACTGAGACTTGGCCACACCAGGGTCACCCATCAAGCAGACATTGATATCTCCACGGATGCGCATTCCGTCACCCATTTCCTTGGTCACGCCGCCAATGAGGAGAAGAAGGAGTGCCTTCTTAACATCAAGATGCCCGTAGATTTCTGGCGCAATGGAACGAGCGAGGTATTCGTACATGTGTCCAGACGCTTTGTAGGATTCGATCTTTCGGATAATGCGCGGATCCGTCTTCAAATCTTGATAAGCCTTTTTGTGTTGTGTGATATGCTGTGCTTCAAGATAGGTATCCGTCAACAGACCAGCCCGAATAGCTCGGAACCCGGTGTATGGAGTGGGCAGGAAAATGCCATCAATGTCAACAACATCGCCAGGATTTAGCTGTCGCGCTAGACTCCCATTGCAGTGGATAGTCAGCGTCCTTGGGATGTGGCCAACAGGAACCTGGTCTGCCATCTCTTGGATTTTGACTTCCTGGAATGGTAGGAATTTTGAGGCGCGGGTTGATGGGAATAGCTGACCCTTGGAGTCGTTCTGCTTGCATTCCTCTGACGGGCACATTTGCAAGGGGGTGAATTGTTTGGAATATACCGGCTGAAAGATTTCTGAGCCGCAACGATCACAGGTGTAAGCTTGAATTCGTATGCTGGGCTTAACATCCGATACTCGTGTGGTGATGCCGCGCACAGTGATCAAGTGACCCAGGTGTTCCCCCCGTACTTGTCGCACGGCCAGCGTCTTTTTCGCGACATCGGCACCTGTAGGCGTTACAGGTTTGAAGTTCAAGGTGTACCTTCTGGTCAATTCTGGCGGAAATGTAGACACTGGGATGGCAGCTTCTGCATCTGCTTCGGCGACAGACGCCACAGTCTCGTTTCGTTTGGCTCTCTGCGCCATGATGATGTCGAGAACATCGTCCTTAAATCTAGTCGCGTATTAGAGCATAGTATGAAAAAAGTGAGGCAACTGTCATACGATATCTCTTTGCTTGGCTTGGGCATTATCTTGTCCACCGCGTCCGCAAATAAATCAACGTAGTGCTTCGTATTGTTTGTAACAGACTCGACGAGTCTCAGGTTGACCTCGTCACTCAACGACTCTTCAAACTGGATAGCTGTCAGCTGCAGGATACCACTGATTGAACCTAAGGCGCACCTCTTTCAAATCATCCAGCTCTATTACAATGTTTTGTCGCTCGCGATCTGCAACCTCTTGGAGCATTTCCATGTACTTCCTTTTGGGTCGCCTCCTGGTCCGGCTGTCATCTTCGTCTGCAAGGTCGTCCATAAAATCATACTCGTCGCTTGTGTGGTCGCCATCGAGGTTCAGGTTATTGATTGTTTCAGTAGCTGAATCTGAGGACGTCTTGGAGGTTTCGAACTTCTCTAGAAAGGTTTGAAAGGCATCGAGTTGCTTCTCGTAGTCAGCAATCGCTTTATGCTGCAGGAGCGCCATTGTTGCGTGCGACGGTCAAAAATACAGAGGAAGTTGGTGTTGGAGCGAGTCGAGCAATTCACAATCGACAAGGGGGGGTTGGGGCAAAGCTGCATTGCAGTCTGCAGAGCGCGTCGCGTCGCGCGTTAAGTGCTACTGCAGAGCATAGGATAAACCAAGTGCCAGGCCACTTTGGCCTGTTGCAGTCTAATGGGCCAATAGAAGAAATTTATACTGTCAGACAGGATTCAGAGAGCGAATTCTAGATGACTGAGTGGAAATCATTTCTGTCAGACAGTCCGCTTCTCCTTGCCGAGGCTTGATCAGTAGTGGCGATGGCCTCCGTGTCTTCGGAAGGCTATCTCGCCAACATCCCAGCTTCATTCATTGATTTTCTATATCACCATAACACGTTTCTAAACTACCAAGGCTTCTTGTTCATATCTCCACTCCTTCACCCGAAGCCAATCTTCGCTGTTCATGTCCTTCAGAGTCTGTCTCTACTGACCTGCAACGCTGCTCCCCTGATTGATTGGACCTACAAACCTCTGCTTAGCTTTAACAGCAATCCGAGAAAATGCCTCCTCCTGTACGCGCTGAGGTAGCGCTAGTATCCCTCCAGAATTGCCTCGTCAATCTACCCCCGGGACTGATTGCGTTGATCAGCAACACCAATGTCGTAAGCTATCCTCTTGGAAAGCCCACATTCTCTCCGCTCACATTTGTCCCAGCCAGCTCAAAATGTTGTTGTCGAACTACAATACCGGTCCCAGACTCTTTCCTCTGGCGCCGTCTCCAGTGGCAATACTGCTGGCTTTCAACGATCTGCTTATGTTGGTTGGACTGGCATGCCTAGCCGGACACGACCAGCATCGCTTCTGAATAACGATCGGGCACGGCCGGGGAGCAGAGAACAGGATGTTCAAACCGTTGAGATTGATGCAACGTTTGCAAAGTTGCTCGGACTCTCAGAAGGCCAGAAGATTGGCATTTTGGTTCATCTTGACCCGCCTGTCGCTCATAGCATCAACATCGAGCCATTGACACCTGCAGACTGGGAAGTTATTGAACTGCATGCCACTTTCCTGGAGTTAAACCTTCTATCTCAGATTCGTGCACTACCCAATCCCGCATACAGCAGTAAAACTACCGTTCAAGCGGAACATACCCATCCCTTAACTCTACATTTATCACCAACGTCAACCGCAAATATTATCGTTACCTCCCTGGTACCGCCTGTTCCAAACACCATCCCGTTTGCGAAAATAGCTCCGGATGCAGAAGTCATTGTTGCCCCCAAGACCCGGCCCAAATCTACCAGGAGTGACAGGCGAGATGCGAGGAGCACGGCAAGCAGGCGAAGCGGCAAAAGTGGTGTCAGCAACGCCCGGAACAGAACAGGTCCCGTGAGACCTGCATTATTCATGCGCGCAATCGACCGAGCAATGGCAGGCAGCTTTTTCGATGAAGACCAGAGCATATCCCAAAACGATGACAAGCTCTGCATCTGGCTCAGTGACGAAATGATTGCATCTGAAAGCCTCAGAGCCGCTACATGGGCAAACATCACTATTATAAAACCGGCCGGTATGAGGGCTCAGTTGGACAGTAGCCAGGTCAACCGACTCAAGGAAGAAGAGAACAGCGAAGTTGGAAGGCCGGCTTCTAAAATAGTGGCCCAGATCCTTCCCTGGTCCACCCCAATCGATGGTAATCACGCAGTCCTGTCGACTTCGCTTTGCCAGATGCTTGGTGCAGGAGGGATGGTCGGACTCATTGTCCGGGTCCAGGCTACTGGGCCACCCCTACCCCGTTACTCTATCAAAAGGTTTCAATTCTATCCGTTTCTGCCCGTGAATTCAAAAAAAAAAGACGGCCTCCAATTTGGCGGAGATTCGAAAGCAGCTAAACAAGCGCTGGCCGACAAGATCCGACTAACTTTTGCTGGAGATGAAGGACTGCTATCTGGGCCAATCACTGACGGAATGGTACTTCCACCCTCTGGAGATTCCTCCTCTGCAGCATCATTTGATGGCGGGATTCTGAGATTTCGTCGCCCTGCCGAGGTCGAAGAAGATCATGATAATTCGTGTTTATGGGTGCTGGGACAAGAGCAAGACCATGAATTTGAAATCAAGGCCGAAGTGCCCCGGCCTCTGGAGCTGACGACCATGTTTCCCACCTTCGCCCACGGAATACCTTCCAAACTTCCCGCTTTGATAGGTGTCGACGGAATCATTAGGCAATGCCTTTCAAATTTAACCCTATGCTCTTCTGTGCTGTTGACCGGTGGAGTCGGGTCAGGCAAGACTTCACTCGCACACTGCATCTCACAGCGGCTTAGGGAGGACTACGTTTTCAATGTGACGTACTTTGATTGCCAGAAACTGGTGACGGACGAAACCAGGGTCTCGACAGTGAAGGAGACTCTTACGAGGCTGTTCATGTCAGCGTCCTGGTGTGCACGCTTGGGCGGACAATCAGTTGTCGTGCTGGACGACCTGGATAAGATTTGTCCTGCTGAGACTGAACTCGAGGTCGGCAACGACAACGGCCGCAGTCGCCAGATCACCGAGGTTCTTTGTGCTATTGTACGCCAATACTGCAGCATTCATTCTGGCGTTACTATGTTGGCCACTGCACAATCCAAGGACTCGCTCAACAGCATCATGATTGGAGGCCACATAGTAGGTGATATAGTCTCCATCAAGGCTCCTACCAAGGAAATCCGTCGAGACATTCTTGTGTCTCTCACAAATGATGGATGGCAGCTCAATAATCGGGGCCACAACCGCAACCAAAGTGATACTCAAAGCATGTCAGAGACTTCCTGGATGGATCCATCAAACCCGTCCTCAAGGCCGACGTCTTCTGCTTCGTCACCACCGGCTGAGGGATTCCGTGTTGCACCCAGTCTCGACTTGCTCGATGTCGCCGGGAAAACTGATGGCTACATGCCAGCTGACCTCGTCCTTCTCCTGGCTCGCGCCCGAAATGAAACTCTCACACGTATGATATCAGAAAATGACGACTCAGATGCACCACCGACCTTGACGAAGGGTGACTTTGACGCCGCATTAAAGAACTTCACGCCTTCTTCCCTCCGCAACGTGACGTTGACCCACTCGACCACCACATTCTCCTCGATCGGCGGTCTGCACGACACCCGTAACACCCTCCTCGAGACACTCCTGTATCCAACAAAATACGCACCTATCTTTGCGCGATCTCCTCTCCGTCTCCGCTCAGGGCTGTTGCTCTACGGGTACCCCGGCTGTGGGAAGACACTCCTCGCCTCTGCCGTAGCGGGCGAGTGCAACCTCAACTTCATCTCTGTCAAAGGCCCGGAAATCTTAAACAAGTATATCGGTGCCTCTGAAAAGTCGGTTCGAGATCTATTCGAGCGCGCCCAGGCTGCGAAGCCATGCGTCTTGTTCTTTGACGAATTTGACAGCATTGCGCCGAAACGAGGACACGACTCTACGGGCGTGACAGATCGAGTGGTGAATCAGATGCTTACGCAGATGGATGGTGCCGAAGGACTTGAGGGAGTCTACGTGCTAGCGGCCACCAGCAGGCCAGACCTGATTGACCCGGCTCTTCTCCGACCAGGACGGCTGGACAAGAGTCTGTTGTGCGACATGCCAGATATGAATGATCGACTGGATATTTTGACGGCGGTCAGCGCGAAACTACGGTTGAAGCCCGAGGTACAAAATCGACTACTCAGCGTTGCACAGCGCACCGAAGGATTCAGTGGCGCAGACCTTCAGGCGCTCATGTACAACGCCCATCTCGAGGCCATCCACGACTTGTTAGGCGACAAGCCATCCGACCGGGAAAAAGGTCGGGAACTGGTCAACGGTACCAACAACAGCAGCGGTGGCAGTAGCTCAGGCGGGGGTGGGAAGCGCCGCAAACACCACAGCACACAAGGGAAGCACGATTTCTTCCACTTTCTATATTCGGCCGAGGAAGACGCCCTGGCAAGGAAGTCACTGGGCACGGGGGCCTCGACAATGGAGTCGAAAGCGGCCATTGCCTCGAAGATTGACGAATTGAAACTGGCGCGGAAGCGTGAAAAGGCGGCTCTGAAGAGCAGCTTCGCACGCCGGGCACCTTCCCATGACCTAGGAGGCTCGGGTGGAGGAGCTAGTGGTATCTACGACGGCACGGCTGACGGAGACGCCGACGGCGCCGAGGCCAATGGATCCCGCAAGGACGAGGTGGTGATTGACTGGCGACACATGGAGAAGTCGCTGGCAACGACACGCAGCTCCATCAGCCCCGAGGAGAGGCGACGGTTGGCCGCCATCTATCAGGAGTTTGTGGTGGGGCGAAACGGCGAGATGCCCTCCGGTCAAGGCGGCAGGGAAGTCGGGGGCCGGACGAGCTTGATGTAGATAAGATACATAAGCAACGACGTAAGCATGGCATTTCGGTTGCTATGTTTTTGATATCAGGGCCGAACGTAACAGGTCCTCGCTTATCTTATGCTATGGGGACGCAGGGACGGTGACTTTGGTCTTACCAAATATGTATACTCTGATATACCGCATGTGGATAGACAGACGTGTGGGCTGTAGGCTGTGTGCTATGGGTGTGGGTGTATTCCGAGGTCTGTATGTGTGTATACCGTCAGCACAGCCACCCCGGAGACCTGCGAGTAGCTGAACCAGACTAGATCAGACCAGGCCAGGCCAAGTGGAACGGAACGCAGTGTGAACTTCACTTTTCAAGGTACAGCCCTCATAGACGGATGGCGAGTCCTCGTGCGAGTGAGTAGTCGATGGATTCATGGGACCGCATGGCCTGGCATCCTGGGTGTCTCGCCACTTCGCCATGTACGAGCGGGTCCTCCATACAAGCTACCTAGTATGCAAGTGAGATCCACGGTACGAGGTACCACTCACTTCACTACCTAGGTAGGTAATGTGTTTGTCCAGCCTCATGCGTCCGTCTCACACCAACACGAATACATATATACATACGAACAAAATACGTCGTATTAGACAACGCAC